TCAACAAGGCTCAATTCAGAAGTCGGAAGAGATTTAGAGAATTGAAGACCGGCTGCGTCACCAGCTGAATCAACTTGTGAGCTTTGACCACAGGCAAAATGAAATTCAACATATCAGCTATGAAATATGAGGGAAGAAAAGTAAGCAGTTTTATCAATCTGCGACAGCAAAAGCACCTCAAAAGTGAAACTGGAGAAGATTCAAAACCCTCAACAGAAATATCTGAAGGCCGGGATACCATATCCATCCGAGCGTTTCCAGCACTAGACAAAAGGTCAGAAGCAATTTTTCCTGATACTGGACCATAACCATTACCAAGCCCAACATCGCCAGATGAGCTTGAAGCAGCAGATAAACCGTGTGAAGTTTGGTTTGACTGCTTTTGCCACGGTAGTTGAACAAAGTCCTGAAAATGCATATAAATCGCTTAGTCATACAACCGGAAAACATGCCAGAGGCAAGTATATGTTCAAAACACCACCTCATAAACTCGCTGCTGAGACAGAGACAGGTGTCCCGGTTTTGGGCGGAGGGACTCTGGTATAAAACTGACAGAATTTTGCGATAGCATGTTTGGATCAAAAAAGGACGATCCAGCACCATCTCTATGCTTTCTCCGCAATGACAATTGCTGGGCAATGTCCGCATCAATAGTTTGTATTGCCTGTAGGGACACAGACATAAATATATCACTGAAGCTTACAGCAAGGCTTAATCATAAAAGTAAAATAAATAAAAAACAAGAAGGAATTATCCCTACTAAAGGGAAGTGCCTACACTCTATTCTACACCTATTACAATTATTATTTTAAAATTAATAAAACTAAAAGCTGGAAAAGAAATAAAAAGCGGGTTCAATTATACACAAACCTTCTCTGTAGCCGCCTGTTCAATGGCAGCACAGCCCAAATCAAGGTTGTCATTGGTGACAAGTTGCACAATTTGTTCTAGAACATCATTTGCAATATTCAGACCTTGGAGCGCGTTCCGTAGATGACCTGATATTGAAGTGCGTAGAGGTTCCTACAAATGCCAGAGAATGCACAAAAAAACCAGTAAGGAAAAACAGAAACGGTTGGTTTAGTTTAACAGTGCAAAAATATAATAGCATGAAGGTAAACGAGATTTAAATAAAACTCTTGAGAATCCTCATAAGCAGGAAAAACCTTGCATGTCACATGGGCCAAACTCCCAGCTAAACTCGCAACCATCAAGTGAGCTGCATTATTTATACGTGTTTCATCTGGTTCCAAAGCATAATCCTGTAGTCAAAGAAGAACAAATGAATCTACGATTAATAAACAAGATCAAATCTCAATAAGAAATATCAAAACCTCGAGATTTTCTGCTTAAAAAACAAACAGAGATGCAACAACATAAATACTGCAAATATGAGGTAGAGACTGAAGCTTGTGGTTGATGGGAATCAAATAATGCTAGTCGTGGAGTGAAACGCAATGGAAAACGAATAGGGAGTAAGGAAAGTACTGGAAATAAGAAACTTAAAAAACAAGCAAGGCTCATGGAAGCAGAAAAAAGAAAAGAAAGAACGAGTTTTAGATTGGCCAACCTTCAGCACAAGCTCTTTTGTTGTTTGGCAAGCAATACAAACACTTCGCTGAACAATACCAGACACAATCTCCTTGATAGCTCTGTCCATGGCAAGTGGTACCACCCTGAAAACGGATACAAGTTTAAGAGTGTCATAGATAATACGTTCGATGTGCTACAAACACAATGGTTTCACCAGTAGGGGAACATGAGTCACAAACCTCTGAAATGGAAATTGCATACCAAATGTGCTTAATTTCTGATTGATAACAACATGATTTCCAATGTTGGGAAGTGCTACTGACAGCTGCTGGCCATCAAATTAACAGTAGAAAGGGTTTGAGTAAAGAATATAATTTATAAATTTGGTCGACATTCATAAAATGAAAATCGTACCTGGCTAATAGAAAACAATGGGGATGGAGTTGACTGAAACAGTCCTTGAGGTGACGGGAGCTGATCAGGCAAGCCTAGAGTTGCCACTTTTTCATCTTCCAAAGTATTAGTATAAGCGCGTTGAGGGGCTACATACTGAAAAGAAAAAACAAGGGGCTAAATATTGTTGATGACAAAAAAAAACCGATACTATAGGCCAATAATAAAAAGTACACATAATATAACCTGTGATAATAACTTGGAGGGGGCATCTGTATTAGGTGAATTTGTAACATCAAGAGGTAGGTCTATTTGCTTAAGAGGAGAACTTATTTTAGGCTCCGGAATTATTTGTGGTTGAGATATATGTGTTACTCCAAGATCCTTGTTGCTAAAATCAGGGTTCCCATCTATTTCTCTCTTCCGATCCTTTAGAAGGGAAGTTGGCGCTACTTCCTTCAAATCAACACCAAGGTTCTTGAATAAAACCTGAAGAGAAAGACGAGATGAGAACAAAACATGAGAACAAAACATTGAATATACAACGAGAAAATATGTAAACTATTCGCTGATGCTCAGGAGAAACTATCATCTTCCTAAAATCAGGAGATACCTCTATGTCAAACTTCAGATTCATTTTTAGGTTTGGCATTGAATAGATCTCAGCGAGCAGCCCGAGTATAGCCATCGTCCAGGGGTTGGGAGGCTGATACGCAATACTATTTTGGCATGGCTCCAGAACCTGCAGTGGCCGCACAAAATTAGGACCCAAGACATCAACCCTATAAAATCTAGGAGCAGCAATCAACCATAACCAACCTTTGAAGTAAAAGGAATGACTGCTATCATCAACCCTTTTTCATATGCCTGCACAAGGAAAAGAAAAACAGAGTTCGCTACTTACACATTGACACAATTATTACAAAAGAGGAGATAAATTTGATGGAAATAGTAGCAAATACCTCCACAATCAAGGATTTGGGATCTATTTCCCGCGCCCTTAAAACGTAATTCCTTCCAATGGTCAACTTTCCAAGCCAGCTGCCTAAATTTTTAAGCAGAGAACGCTCTTCCGAACTTGATTTTATGAGCTCCGAACCCAAAAGAACCTGCAAAACAAAAGAAATTAAGTAAATAAATATTTGTTTAACAAAATGAACATCCATCACAGTAAATCATTTGTGGAAAGAAAAAAACTACCTTGCAATTTTCGTATGTATTTTGAAGTATCTCCTTAAACAACAGCTTGGAATCAACTTTGTCCAAGAATTTCAAGTACAAATCATGAAAATTGGGCTCGATGCTGGCTCTATCAAGTATTCAACACATGCAGGGAAAACAATAAGAGAAAGCGGGAAACCTCACACAAATTGCAAGCATAAAAACACAACTATTCGTACCTTTTCATAACCATATACTGTGCGAACCAAGGATAGTACTGTTGAGGCAAAATCTCAGCAAACTCTTTCCCCTTAGATTCTATGTTCGCTATAGAGATATTATTGATTATGAAAGAAATTTTGTCCTGAATATCAGAAGGTGGCGCCTGCAAAAAAAAATTATTCTTGTCATTCTAAACATTAGACAGTTGGCATACTGACAATTCGTTCATTATGCAATGTAACCAAAATGAAACAATTCCTATTGTAACTGCACAGCACAGCAACGTACCTCGATAGCGTTTTCCCTTCTCTCCGCTGCTGCAACCAGTGTTTCTATGTTCAAAGCAGAGCCAAACCCTATGATAATCGAAGATTAGGAACATTCCTTCTCTAATAACTCAAAAAATAGATATAAGATTAAGTTGACTGCAATTACTGGTCGAAGTGGCACCACGTGCTGGACGAACAAAACCAGCTGAGGTTGATGAAGATGTTGAAATGCCAAGAGTCTGCAAGAATAACAAGCGAGATGAACTGGAAACTCCTCCCACCCAAACCGCAGCCATAAAGAAAACACAAGAGTAAGTAATCACCTTGGCAATGACAGAATTATCAGTGGAAGCGGTAGATGACGAGGGCAGAACTGGCTTCGCCTCGTTAGATGGGACAGTTGGCACTTTGCTGCGGTCATCAATATGCGCTTCATTTTTCTGTTGAGGCTGTCCATAAGAAGAAAGCTGTAATGCAGATTGGCCAATTCCAGAACCATTCAACTGCCAACACAAAAAAAAAAAAAAAAAAAAAACAGACGTATCAATTTCCTTCTCGCCTTAAATTTTTGGAAAGTCGATTTCTGATCAGGAAAGATAAAGACCAAACCACCCAGACCACGAAAAATACTGATAACTCTCGAATAGAGTATACATAATGGCTAGAGAGCTAAGCTATTTTTCCCCCCTTTTCACTAGACAACTCTGACGAATATGATCTCATGTATAAAACACTCGCAGAATCAACTTATAAAAATATTTAAAATAGCTAAAACAACGACAAGACAGGTACTGAAAAAGAGATATCAAAATAGACCGCAAGACAGCAATGGCAAGACGAATAGCGCAGTCGGTCAAAAGAAAAGTTGTGTATCAACACTATACCTCGCCATTTCCAGGAAATGTCTGTGAGGGTCCAGGGTGTGAAACAGAGGCATCTGATTCTAAATTACCAGATGATATCTTTGAAAGTACTTTTTCAATAACCGTGACTAACTCAGGGTGAGTGCTACGCAGATGAGATATTTGCAAAATATGGTTGCAATATTGAGGCAGTTCAACCAGACGGCTCAGGAATTGTTCCAGAGCTTTGCTTCCAAATAGAAACATCTGCATGAATCAGGAAAGAACGAAGATGATGACAGATCCCCCACATTAAAAAGCGGAGACAGAAATAAATCACAAAATAATCCATACTTTTGAATCTGCAGGTTTACGCAAAGAATCCAAGACTAGACGCAGGGCCATTCCCAGTGTAAGGGAGCTTATAAGCTGGTGCTTGATAACAGAACCTGAAATTTGTATAATTTGCAACAGATTCAAAGAATGTAACGACAGCAATTAAAAAAGTTGAAGAAAAGAAGCTCAAACAACATGTCACTGGTAATTTTCAAATTCAGGAAATTCTTCTGAAACATCATCATCTTGCAAGACAAATTTGCCAAAAGGTTGCCCAGGTTAAAGTACGCTAATAAATGTTGAGGACTAGACACAATAACATGAACAGTTAAGCAATATCATGGTATCGATTATAACAGTATCAAAGTGGAAAAAACATCCTTCAGACGACCCACTCACCAAAGAGGATGGAGGCTATTTTCAGTTGTCTCTCTGGATACTTCGGGAAAAATCGATACTCCTCGAACAGATTAGCAATCATGCAATCAAAAATTAATTTCTCCCTGTCAAAGAAAAACGAAACCTCGTGGTTTACTTTATGCATGAGGAGCCAGGTAAACATGATAAGAGAAAATAAGTATAGTTTGCCATTATCAAACCTTTGAACCAAAGAGTCCTTGTATCGAGAAAGCATTTGAACCATTGCATCAACACTCAACTGACCAGAAAACATTTGATGGAAATAAGCGTTTGCTTCAGCCTCAACATCATCTCCATATGCATTGGAAGCTGATGAATCTTTGGCTTCACCATTCTGCAGCTTCGAATTACAATCCAAGATTGCAGCATTGACCTTTTCTATCTCTTCGACCAGTTGAGGTGAAGAAATAACATTATCATGAGCTTTTAAAACCTGTAATACATTTTAAACAACTTAATCTCAATAGATGGGAAGCAATCGATGAGCTGAATACGAAAAACAAAAGGGGGAACTAAACTAACTTTCAAAAGCAAAGTCGTTGCTTCCAAATGAAGATCTAATAAAGGATCAGAAGGATGAAAATGTTTGGAAGTAAAATCTTCTGGCTCGCTAAAACGCACATTCTTGAAAAATTTGAGACACTCCTGAAATATGAAGAAGTGAAATGATAGATACCATCTTCTCATCTCTTAAGGAATTACAGTAATAGAACTTTGATTGTGAAAAAAAATACGTTACCTCAGCAAAGAGGTCCTTATACACATATAGACAGTTTGGCAACCAGTTCTCAAGGTCCAAAAAGCCTTTCAGTGAGGCAAGGACTGCCAACCTGATGCTGAATGAGACTGGAACTGATTCTAAAACAACAGAGAGAATCTGAAATAGATATAGAAAAACTCCAATGATTAGTTCATAGACACAGAGAAGCTGTTGTAAGAAACATAACATGTTAAGGAGATCAAATGAGCCATCGTCACACATGTTAAATATAACATATTCACCTTAAGCTCATGGCAGATTTCGATTACTCTAAGCATGCTGTCTGCTTTAAGATTTTGGGCATTTACAATCCCCCACAGAACTAGTTCAGCATTCTGATGCCAGAGATTTAGGATAAAAGCACTATCCTGTGAATTCGTTATTATCACTGGAAGAAGAGCAGAAACCACCTCACGCTGGATGAAATTATAGGCAGTCTGCAACAACAGGATTAACATACTTAGCCAAGCAAAAAAAGTCAAGATTTCGCACATACATCACCAAAGATCAGTCATAAAGAGTTACTTTGACGTGTGTCATTCCAAGAAGCAAGGTTCTAGGACAATGTGTGAGTGGATACTGGAGCAACGAACTAACTAATACAGTATGACCTCTCTCGGCCAGTTGGCATAGCACATCTAAGAGATCGAGAGACAGCCACGCATGATTGGAAAGACCTAACTGTTGCTCATGGCTGTGCATGTTGTTATCTATATATACCTGGAAAAGCAAGTGGTCAGAATAGTAACAGTATCAAGGAACAACAGCTCTAAACACAGATGTGTGGTTTCTCACCAGCTTCCTTGGAGAATACATAAAGGTGAATACTTCTGGTGGGGCTGCTACTGCATGCTTAAGAAAGGATAATTGACCTTCCATATTTTTCCAGACAGAACCGCATACAGCATCAAGAGGAAATGGTTCCTGCAAGAACCAGTTTAACACCCTCAAACAACGCTGGAAGTGGAAACAACGTAATGAAGTAAACATATATTGAAGAGACACACCTTGCAGGCAGTTTTATATAGTCGCATGAAAAACAAGAACGACTCCATATTAGGGATGTCAAATCCATCATGGTCGAGATTCTCAATTACTTTCCTCCAGCTTGTGCCAGGAGCCTGATTTAGCAGAAAAGGAGTATGAACCATGTAACACTTAAGATGTAAGCTAAATGGAACATTAAAGACATTGATAAAAGAAGGATAATGATGCACACTAGTCACAGAAAGATTAATGCAAAGACTGAAACGAAGTTTTAAAGCTATAAATGCTGTTGATTAGACAAAGATTAGACAAAGTATAAGGGCTTCAGATAACTTACAAGCTGCTTGATTGTTTCAATTAGAATGTCAACATTCCACGACCTTGGCGTGGGAAGTTCAGTTGGAACGGAGCAGCCAAGGGCCAGACTGAATGTTGAAAAGGAGGATTGATTATCTTCAAAATCAGCACATGTACGAGCAACATTACCAAGAATTCTTGAGATAGTAGCCTCGCTTAATGGTGCGAAACTAGACAAGATCTCTTTGCATTGTTGGGCATCAGCAGTGAACCCACAGCCTAATTCTTCCATGAGATCTCCAACACAAACTTCCTTGTCGATTTCAGCTAAGATAGCATCAATCTCGTTTTCAGCAGAATCACTGTAAAACCGTTGAGAGTCAGTCAGGATCTGTACATATGGACCAAAAAGTGATAATAGATGAAAGCAACTCGTGAGTAGCACCTGAAAACATCAGCTTCCTGAGAAAGGATAGGAGTTAGAGCAAAAGAGAACTGATCACTAGGTTGAGCAGAAGACAAAATCTGTAGGAAGGAATCCAAATGCCTGGAAAGATCCTCAGATTTCTGGAGAAACAAAAGAACGTTTTGAATTTGCTCGGTTGACTCAATCTGGCCAGTATTGGCAGAGAGATGCTCAATCTGGGCCAATAATAAGTTTCGTCCTACAAAAGGAAAGGCCAAAAAGCCATCATAAGAAAGATAAGACCAAAGAGATAGGAGAGGTAAGACACGGGGAAGAATGAGGCAAACCACTAGTCTTAGCATCAGATCTTTCAAAATCGGTCAGGGCCAGAGCAAAGCTAATTTTCTCGGAGATTGAAAAGCCCAATGCAGTAGTCAAATCATCGACAAAGTCATCAGTGAGCTCAACATCCTTCAGTGCGTGAGAAAGCACGGTCCCAGAATTGGACGTTTTCATCACACGTTTAAATACCAAGGATACTACTTTCTCAAGCTGCAAGGCATTAGGCTGGCTTCTCCGGCCGGTGAAGCAATCCAGGCATGTCTTGAGAACTGGAATACTAGTCTCGACTTCACAATCAACCAACTGACATTTGTTATACGAAACAAAAAAAGCATGAGAAGAGGAAATCATGCATTTCTCAAATGAAGGATGAAGTTAGGCTGCTCTCAGAAGTAGACCCATAGACATAAACATTTACAATAGTCGAAACGAGTACCTGACAAATCTCTTGGGCGATGGAGTCGGCATCGGAATCACTAAAGCTGTCGAGCAGGAACCGGGTATGGCCGGCGACCTTGGACGGAATCATCAGCATGGCGATCCCGAGATCCAAAATCCAAAATGATAGGATAAAGGACGAGGGGGTTCTGGGTTTTCGGGTAGCAGGAGATCCAAGAGGGGATACAGATACAGATTACAGAGTAGCTAAGCTAAGCTAAGCTAATCTAATCTAGGGATTCACAAGGCTCTCGAAGATCTGCTGCTGGGAAGAGGAGATTTGATCGTCCGATTTTTAGCGTTTGTGCTGTGGTGAATTGGCCTTTGCCGAAACTGCGACATATAGTGTCAAAGACCGCCACTGCTAAGCCCATTTGTGTCTTTAATGGGCCTCCATTACACTCGCTCAGTTCGTGCGAAATTATATTGGAACATTTTTGGGCTCGTCGATTATACTGCCCCATATCACTCTCTAACTCCTTTTCTAAGAAACATCGTCGCAGAAATCATAACCCTTTTAAAGTTAGTTTATCCGACCGACCATATTTGAAACCTTAACGCACGCACATGACCGTGTGCCTAATAAGACACACCAAATGAGATATCGGCAAACGGCTGCATTGGAACTTGGAAGCAGTGACTAATACTTTAAGTGTTAACTTGAAAGTTGGAGTTAAGGAAGGAAAACCTCAGGTGAAGCAATTGGAAACATATTAATCAAACCCATTATTATAGTTTCTTATATGTCTTAAATATATCAGTTCTATATATTGAATGGTGATAAAAACGACAATTATATGTGTGCATGGAGAACCGGGTCAAATATGAGGAATTCCAACCATACTAAACATCCTGATCGGAATCAGGCCAAGTGGCCAACAACAACATTTTTTTTTTGTCACCTGATTCTAAAATGACACAGAGCTTGTGGTGTACTTGAAACACTATGGGGTATTAATTAAGATAGCTGTTATCTTATTTGTACACACGACTTTTATCATAGGGAAAAAGCTGCAACAATTGACCCCAAAAAAAGAAGGGCAAAAGGGAGATTAGTTGAAAAAACAGTGAAATGCGGATAGAGGAAGAGAAGCTCACACTGTTTTTATCACCCATTTGTTTTGCACCTTTCTCTCAGTGGTTTTTTCTTTTGTTTAAGGTGTTTCATTAAAAAAGGCCCATAAATGTTATCGAACACAGAAAGACATATGCATAAAACTAGGCGGGGCGTGTCATCTTCTCAGGAGTTCATATCTTCCATTCAAATCCAATACTCCCGGATCGGATCAAACAGTTCTAGCTACTTCTACACATCAAAACACTCTTTTGATCTTCGCTTATTAATAACAACACACTCGTAGATCTTACTTTTTTCTCTTGTAGTGTTTCTTCTTACTAATATTGAGTTTTTCACATGAAAACAAAACAAAAAGTAATAATTGAGGCTACTTGTGTTTCATCAAAACCATATAAGCTATGACTTTGGATGCTCTCTTCCCCCCCCCCCCCAAAAAAAATTTAAAAAACCTCCTTCGATTCTGCTTGTAATCATTCATGACTTTCCAGCACATAATCTTTATTTTCTTTCTAAATGTCTGAATTTAATTTTCAAAATATATAGAAGCGGTTAAATTCAATGAACCTAGTAAACATAAATAAGGGAGATATGTGTTCACAATAATTTACATGGTTCTGGACAGTCCAATCCTTGTCAAGTAAATAGTTACAAGACTTAGGTTGAATACAACATAAGACCTTATGTAAGCGTAACAGCGATATACATAGATTATATTTATTTATTTATTTTTTGCAAAAAAATCATTTATTTGCCGTACAGAATCCATATCCACTACTACCAATTCTCTATACATAGGGGTAATGTGTTATTGCGTGTGATGCGGTCCATAAACAGAATGCTAGTCATCGAAATATCATCAGTTCCTCGATCGGGTTAGCTAATAAGTTTATCTAGTCATACAAAGTAGATTAAAACGATCCAGGATATTTGATTGTTTGTGTGTTATAAACTGTGAAGGAATGGATGGGCCATTGGGGGTTTACATCCCCCACCACGACATAGGGACAGTTGGTTAGTGCCAGAAAATGATCACGTGCAGCTTTGCCTTTGCGGAATCAAATTGCAGTAATGTAAGTATCTCTGGTTATCCAACACAAATGTGACACGTGTGTTTGCTTTCAAAAAGAAAAGTAAACGCGGGTTGGAATTAGGGGAACCATATGTTTATATATAGAGACTCTTATATATATGGCCATGTCCTTCTTCTAGTATACTAGTATCTAATAATCTAGGAATATATAAAAACTTGTATCTTTATTTCACTGTAAGTAACACTCATACAATTTGTAATCCTTTGTTTCACCACTGACTCCGTGGGTTTGCTAGTTATTTATATAGAGACAAGAGTGTGTAGTAATACTAAATCAAGTACGCAAGTGTGATACTAACTAATCGTACGCACACATTTTTTAGATTGGAAGTTGGACGTCCTATCATCGATCGGTTGTTGTGGCCTGGCCTGGTTGGGTACTATTATACTACTACCTAATCTATCTAGCGTTGTTAATCAGTGTTATAAAACCAAACCAAGTAGTATAAAGGTGCACATTTTAAAATTACACAAACCCTTTGTATGCATACATAACATAATTAGCTTCAAAACGGGGGACAGCTTAACGAGAGACGAACCGACCTCCCTCTCTATTTTTTTGTTTTGTTTTGTTTTTTTTTTCTATAGATATATATTCTCGAAAAATAAAATAAAAAGGAACCACGTGGCCGTCATCGATCAGTCACTTTCTAATATCGAAATTGGTTTGGTGTAGTTTTCAAGGAAAATTCCAGCACCATGTCAATAATTCAGTTCCCCTAAATGAACAAACGATGAAGGAACCACCATGCACCACTACTCTCCCCGGTATCAAATTGTTCATTTCACACTAGCCAATTTCAAAACAGAATCCGATAACTAAGTAGTGCTTAATTAATAATCAAATCCCCATTAACTAATTCAATTCGAAGAAAGATAAAGGGAATACATCTTAATATTTAAAGCAAATGTAAGGAGACGTCGACATTACACATCAATTATCGTTGGACTTAGATGATAGAGAGTAATAACATTGATTAAGCTGCTAGCGAAGAAAACTACACTGCCACTACCCAGTTGAGAAAAACATTGAATTTGAAGAGGACGTGGAGGACGAGGCTGTCGTTTGGAACCGGAAACACTCCAACGAAATTGTAGTCGGCGAGAGAAGCCCGTTGGACGGCGACGACGACTTCATACCCGAATTGTTTGGTGACTCTGCTGATGATATCGCAATTAATTAATGAACAATATAGCTACCTAAAGAGATTATACGTAACTGGATCAAGTAATGAATAAAGTACTTGGAGTGGTGGTGGTCGAGGATTTGCCGCTGTCGTGGACTGCGGAGGCTGACTGGTGACACTTGCGGCGGCGGCGGTTGTGGTCAGCCAGTCGCTTACGGCAGCTCCGTTTCCCGTTGTCGAATTCCGAAAGCAGATGGAACCTGTTGTAGTCGTTTTATCATTTCCAGATAAATATTCTGAATCAGTACATATATAATTACTAAAATATAAGCAAAAGCTGAGTAGTACGTACAGTTGTTTAATCTTGGGCAAGAATTAATTAAGAAAAAAAAAGGGCTCTCTCTAGTTAAGTAAAAAAAGTAGAGAAGAAAAAATGAGTTTGGGTTGAAAAGGAGGAAAATGCCATCGGGATCCCCCACAGGATACGTACTGTTCTCTCTCACTCTATCTCTCTCTCTCTCAATGATTGTGATTGTGATGAATGATGGTGAATAATGATTAATTAAGCAAAGGTCATTTCCGTCATTTAATAAAACTAATTAACTAACTAACTACGCCTGTCTACATGGGAACATGATTTGGTTAAGCATGTGTACGGACGAAGAAGCATGCCCCCACACCAACACCATGGATTTACAAAGGTAAAGGTGTACGGTCTCTTCTCTAGCAAATGAAGAATTCAAAGAGAGGTGGGATCTTTAGGAGACAAACCTGCTGCATTGCTGGCAAAAGCGCTGGCTGAGCCCGGCGGCCACAACCGTGGAAGCTTTGGAGTGGAATTCGCACACCTTGTGGCGGCGGTGATAGTGCTTGGCGTGGCTCAGATCCGCGTTGCACCCCTCCGCTTGGCACCTCGGAGTGCTCAGCGAGTTTCCCATCCCCGACTCACCTGGTCGAGACCGCCTGTACAGCCGGCTCACGAAATCGTCGTCTGCGGCGGAGAAGTATGTACGGCCTCCCAGATTCAGCCCGATCCGGTTCGACGTGAAATCGAGCGGCCGAGAGACGTCGACTTCGGTCTTGGGGATGAGGAAGTTGTAAGAGGACCCGGATCCTGGCCCGGTTCCGGCTCCGGTCTGGTCGAAGGAGAAGAGGGAAGAAGCAGAGGAGTGGGGATGGTAGAGGGAGTCGGATGAGGCGTAAGGAGTGGTGGTGGTGGTGCGGGGGTCGTAGAAGGAGTGATGAAACTGAGCGGTCTGATGACCACCATAGACGGTCAAATGCTGGTTCGAGAAGGAAGAAATGAGCGGTGGAGAAATGTTGTAGGACTGATGCTGATGGTGGTGGTGATGATGATGGGTCGGGTCGAAGATGGACAAGGCTCGGGTCGGGTCAGAGTCCTGGTGGTTTCGATCTTCTCCGGATAACATAATGGCGGAGGGGTTGTCCCATTCGTAGTCCAACATGTTCCAAGAATAGAAGGGACGGCGTCGTATAGAGAGGAGATCCCGAGAAAGATCTTCTTCTGAGACAAAGAGAGAAGAGAGATGCAGAGAGAAGAGAGATGGCTAACTAATAAAGGAAGGGTAGAGGAGACATGTCGGTGCCGAATAGGTTATGGATTGGTTTTAATAGACTGAAAGCAAGCGACGTACTTTGCCTCTATTAGAATTAGAGTCTTTCCCCTCTGCAATTTTCTCTGCAAATAAATTCCATAAACCCTAACTTTCTATTTGGGGGAGCTTTTCTCCTTTAACTTTCAACCTCTCTCCCTCGACTTTCTCTCACTATCTCTAAAAGATTTCTTTTGGGTATTTATTTTTTTAAATGAGGAGTTGGATTGATCTTCAATTCAAAAAAAAAAAGTATGTGTCTTGTCCTAGTTATAAAGTGAAGATGGAGAAGAAAGGAACTCATCACATGGGTCGTAAACCTCCCATGTCCAGTGTGAGTGTCTGTGCCCTTTTCATTAACTTATAATCATCAATCATCCACATCCTTCTTCCCTTTTACTCCTTTTTCTATCTAAATTAATTGGAATATACATAATTTGATGTTGCATTGACTAATAGTCAGTTATTAATAAGTACGTGGAACTATTTAGTGTCACTGAATTTAAGTTACATATACAGACAAGTTAAAAAAAAAAAAAAAATGGTAAAGGAAAACAGGCAAAAACGAACAAAAAAGAAAGAGCAGTTGTGATCGTGTGGTTAAGGATGAAGCGGTGGTGTAAACGCGTTTGTTCTATTTATTAATTACGTCGGGACCCACGTCTGCGGATGGGCCACAATGTTTTCAACATCTCATGAAAATTCATTTCTTCTTTCTAAAATAATATGGATAGCCGTTTATTAACATTATATTATATTATGTTTTCTGGTGTAAGAATATGATCATAAATATCCCCTCGTCTTTTTGAAATTTAGAATATGATCATATACTATATATTAGTATTATATTTCAGCAGCAAATAAATATCTCTTTTTGTTGTTGCACAAGCAGAAGAGGAGAGGAGAGTTGAGTAAATAAAAATAAATAAATAAAAAAAGGCAGAGTACAGTAGTAAATAGCTATGATAGGAAGAGGCCAAGAAGGTACTGAGAAATGCTGTTGGGGTTTAGAAAGACAGGATGGCAGTTGCGTAAATAAGTTGGAAAGTGAAGGTGGATCGTTTAAGGGAAGACAGAGTGACCGATCGTATCTGCTACGTACTCACCCAATTATTCGCCTACTCTCTCGCTTCCCTCACGCGCCACGCTTTCTGTAGCTGATCGACGGCTAAGATTCAGTGAATGCACGCGTGGCACTATGGGGAAGAGAGTAGCATATTCGCGAGAGTGAGATGGTAATGAGTCCAAAAGAAAATTAGAGGAGGGGAGTGGGGCCCTCCTTTAGGTGCCAAAAGGCTGCCATCGACGTTGACCCAAACCGTACGGACTGTCTATTATCCTTCCCTTCTCTGTGTTTTTTCTTTTTTTACAAATACCCACTTTCTATTTTCATATTTCATTCATCCACATACACTACACAGCACAATTATGTTTTTTTTTTTTTTCGTGTTTCAGTGTTTGTTGTAGAATGCTGAAATGCCCGCTCCTATTAATTATATTTTTGGGTTAGTATATTAGTCAGTGTGGGATGCTCAGATCTTAATCCAGCCAAGGAGACAAATGCATGTTTATCAAGGTACAACGTTTTAGATTATACTAGTGTTCAGAAAATCCAAATTAAATTAAGCTCGATCTTTATCAATCTAACGATTTATTTTACCATGGTGGTACTGGTACACGTACAGCAAATAACCCTTTTTGAGAAATCAATCGATAGGAAAAAAAAAACAGTCATTAATATTTGGTAATGTGTGGTGCACGTAAGAGAGAGTCTAGTAAACAACTTTGTGTAAAAAGTAGATGCAAAATCCATAAATCTAACCCATACAGAAGATAGCTGAAATATGTATATAGGAAATGTTTTACATAATGAGAAGAAGATAAGTGAAAAGTTGATGAGTAAAAAAAAAGAAAAGAAAGGGTGGGGGGATGCACAAGAATAGAGAAAAAGACGAAGAGAAGGAAGGAGGATAATGCTACACCAAACGTGTTGCCTTGTCAACATCTCTTAAGAGAAACCACTTATTGCACTTACTCAACAAAGTCCCCTCTTTGTTCTCTTCCACCATTTTGTTGTATATGTGAATATACGAATCTTTTCAAGCGATCTCGTTGTTTTGGCTACGTACATCATGTAGATTGATACTGAAACTTGAAAGGGAAATGTAGATGTGTTGGTGCAGCCACAAAGTAGTCATGACTCATGACTCATGAATGGGGTTAATTAGCATTAAATATGGATGTAATCAAACAATGTATTTACTTAGTTAAGTTAGGTTTAGGTAGGCGAAATAGATGAGTGAAGTGAAATTAAGTGGGATATATGATATAGGAGAGCTGGAATAGCCTTGTAATGGATGGATAACACAATGACTAAGAGGGGGAGATGTTGGCCCTTTAATAGATAACAAAACAATACACGCATTGTGTGGGGTCCCATTCCATCTCTCTATTTGGGCCAATCAATAGCCCATTTAAACCACTTACATCTGGGCTTCAGTTAGATACTAATGAGTGAGTAATGAAGAATGAATGAATGTTGTTGTAACTTGGTCAGTCAACTGTGAAATGGTTTGTGGTTCAGGACTCCATGCTTTGTTTGTCTCCAAGCCTCAACGGTATCTCTCCATTCTTTTCCTTGCGCTTACTGTCTCAGTCTCGAAAACTCTTTTAAAATTCAAATTCGTCGGTGACAGGTTTCTCCGAGCGAGCAATGAAGCATCGAAATCAAAACTCGCCAAAGCTAGCAGCCACGAAGGATCGAAATCAAAACTCGCCAGGTCCATGGCGCGCGCTGTCAACTCGAAGCCGTGGTCAGAGGAAGTGGAGTCCTCACTCTCATCTCTCCTTCATCCGCCTGAGTCCCTGTCCAGAACCGCGGTACTCCAAACCCTTCGTCTCGTCAAGGACCCATCCGATGGTCTTCGCTTCTTCGACTGGGTTTCCAGCAAGGGCTTCTCTCACAGAGAGCACTCCTTCTTCCTCATGTTAGAGTTCCTTGGCCGAGCTCGCAATCTCAACGTCGCCCGGAATTTCCTCTTCTCCATCGAGAGAAGGTCCAACGGCTGCGTCAAGCTCGGGGATCGCTACTTCAACAGCTTGATCAGGAGCTTCGGAAACGCTGGGCTGTTCCAGGAATCAGTGAAGCTGTTCGAGGCCATGAAGAAGATGGGCGTCTCGCCTTCCGTTGTGACATTCAACTCTCTCCTCTCGATTCTGCTAAAGCGTGGCAAGACTGGCATGGCCCATGACCTGTTCGACGAAATGCGCCGCACCTACGGGGTCACCCCGGATTCTTACACTTTCAATATATTGATTGGCGGCTTCTGTAAGAACTCCAGGGTTGATGAAGCCTTTAGGATCTTTAAGGATATGGAGGCTTATCACTGCAGTCCTGACCTTGTTACATATAACACAATCATGGATGGGTTATGCAGAGCCGGCAAAGTGAAGATTGCCCACAATGTCATGAACGGAATGATGAAGAAAGCGTCTGACGTGCATCCCAACATTGTCAGTTACACCACTCTCGTGAGAGGCTATTGTATGAAGCAGCAAATTGATGAGGCGTTGCTTGTCTTTCACGCCATGTCGACTAGAGGCCTCAAACCCAACGCTGTAACTTACAATACTCTCATTAAGGGCCTCTCGGAGGCTCACAGGTATGATGAGATCAAAGACATTTTCAGTGGAGGGGATGCATTCACCGCTTTTGCTCCAGATGCCTGCACTTTTAATATTCTCATCAAAGCCCACTGCGATGCTGGGCATCCAGAGGCAGCCATGAAGGTGTTCCAAGAAATGCTCAATGTGAACTTGCCTCCTGATTCAGCTTCATTTAGTGTTTTGATTCGTGCTTTTTGCTTGAGAAGCGAGTTTGATAGAGCCGAGACGCTCTTCAATGAGTTGTTCGAGAAGAAAGTTTTGCTAGGCAAGGATGGATGCAAGCCTCTTGCTGCAGCTTATAACCCAATGTTCGAATACTTATGTGCCAATGGGAAAACGAAACAAGCTGAGAATGTTTTTAGGCAGCTGATGAAAAGAGGAGCGCAAGATCCACCCTCTTACACAACTTTGATCACGGGTCACTGCAGAGAAGGTCGATTCAAGGCTGCTTACGAGCTATTGGTTCTAATGCTGAGGCGGGAATTTGTGCCTCATCTTGAAACCTACGAGTTGTTGATTCGTGGGCTATTGAAGATAGGTGAAGCTCTTCTTGCTCACGATACCCTACAAAGGATGCTTAGGAGCTCTTATCTTCCGGCTGCAACCCTTTTCCATTCTCTACTTGCACAACTTGTGAAAAGTAAATTTGGTAACGAGTCTTTCGGCTGCATAAGGCTAATGTTGGAAAAACGGATAAGACAGAACATTGAGCTTTCAACGCATGCTGTCAGATTGCTTTTTAGCAGTGGTCAGAAGGAGCAGGCATTTCTGACTGTTACGTTGCTTTATGATAACGGGTATATGGTTAAGATGGATGAGTTATTTGATTTCCTCTGCGAGAAAGGAAAACTACTTGATGCGCACAGACTTGTGCTGTTTTGTCTGGAAAAGAGTCAAATGGTAGATACAGGCACATGCAACACAGTCATAGAAGGACTCTGTAACCTTAAGAGACACTCTGAAGCGTTTAGTTTGTACAATGAATTGGTAGAAGCAGGAAACCACCATCAGCTTAGCTGCCATATGGTTTTGAGAAATGCCTTAGAGGTTGCTGGAAAGTTGGAAGAAGTTGAGTTTGTGTCAAAGAGGATGGCTACACTGAGAAAGTCAGATGATTAGAAGAAGGGATATCATCTTAAATCTTCTTGACCTCAAGCAATCTTTATAAAGCGTTTGGCAGTCCCTTTAGGTATTGCCATGTGTCTCTCTGTTTCCGTTTCCGTTTCCGTTTCAGTTTTGTGTATAAAATTATCCACTGTAAATGGTAAGTTTCTTGTTTCACAGCAATTATTTGACCAAAAAAAATTGTTTCCACTGTCTCTGAAACAGGTGTATCAACTCTGTTCCTAACTTTCACCTTCATGATACCTATTTACTTATCCTGGGAGAAAAAGGTTTTGTTGCTTCCTCTTTCATGGTCTTTTTTGCATTTCTAACCAACACCAAACCTTAATAAAATAAAATAACCACTACTCTCTTTCCATGATCCTCACTCATCAGCACCAAACTCTCTCCAAGAAAACCTCAACCCTTCCTATATAACCCGTTGCTTTTGTTGATATTCTGCATCCAACGCCTTTCTTCTCAATATATTCAACAACTGGGTTTGCTTCAGTTTGCACCTGAAAAGAGATGTCGGATTCCGGGATGAATGGTGTTGAGAAACAAGGCAGCATAGTCGCAAGGCGTGTAGCAAATCCCGGGAAGGCAACAGTGCTTGCTCTTGGCAAGGCCTTCCCAAGCCAAGTGGTTCCTCAGGAGAATCTTGTGGAGGGATTTCTTCGCGACACCAAATGTGATGACCCTTCTATCAAACAGAAGCTGGAACACTTGTGTAAGCCTTTCTTCTTCTTTTTCTTTGTCTTTCACACAGCTATGCAGCTCACTTATGTTTTGTGCTCTTGTTTAGGCAAAACCACAACCGTGAAGACGCGTTACACGGTGTTGTCGAGAGAGATACTGAACAAATACCCGGAGCTGACAACAGAGGGCTCGCCAACAATCAAGCAGAGACTTGAAATTGCAAACGAGGCGGTTGTGGAAATGGCATTGGAAGCCAGTTTGAGTTGCATCAAGGAATGGGGAAGGCCGGTGGGAGACATCACTCACATTGTCTATGTTTCCTCAAGCGAGATCCGGCTACCTGGTGGTGACCTGTACCTCTCTGCAAAGCTGGGCCTGAGGAACGACGTGAACAGAGTGATGCTCTACTTTCTGGGATGCTACGGAGGTGTGACAGGTCTCCGCGTGGCCAAAGACATTGCTGAGAACAACCCCGGAAGCCGTGTTCTGCTGACGACCTCTGAAACCACCATCCTCGGTTTCCGGCCACCAAACAAAGCTCGTCCTTACGACTTGGTGGGGGCTGCTCTGTTTGGAGACGGAGCAGCTGCGGTGATCATCGGAGCAGAGCCGAGGGAGAGCGAAGCTCCTTTCATGGAGCTGCACTATGCTGTGCAGCAGTTCTTGCCGGGAACACAGAACGTGATCGACGGGAGGCTGACGGAGGAAGGGATAAACTTCAAGCTAGGACGAGACCTCCCGCAGAAGATAGAAGAGAACATAGAAGAGTTCTGCAAGAAGCTGATGGGAAAGGCAGGTGATGATTCGATGGAGTTCAATGACATGTTCTGGGCTGTGCATCCAGGAGGGCCTGCGATTCTGAACCGGCTTGAGACAAAACTGAAGCTGGAGGGAGAGAAGCTGGAGAGTAGCAGAAGGGCGTTGGTGGACTACGGGAACGTGAGCAGCAACACCATACTCTACGTGATGGAGAATATGAGAGACGAGCTGAAGAAGAAAGGCGACGCCGCACAAGAGTGGGGTCTCGGCTTGGCTTTCGGTCCTGGAATCACCTTCGAAGGCCTTCTCCTCCGCAGCCTCACCACCTCTCCCTAAATTTCAGTTTCATTTAAGTAATAATATCCAGTTTCAGCATAATGTAATTCCAACATAAATTCACATTGTTAGAAATTTGATTAAGCTAATATAGTACGTACTAGCATGACACATGAATCTTTTAAATCTCTCAATTATACTATTACTGTATATAGCATGTGTGACTCGGAATGTTGGAAAAGGTCAAAAGCAGCACCACGTGTCATTAGCGCAAGGACAGAGCAACTAGGAACCACAAAAAACAAGAAGACCCATGACTTCCACTAAAAACAAGGGCTTTTTCTCCTTTTTAATTCACAATTCACACTTACACATACCAACAACACTTACACTTGCACACATCGATCGATCGAGCCATGATGAACTCATCATGCATCGATTTCGTCATGTTCAGTCGCGGACAACACGATGAGGACAACATGTCACGTCGTCAGTGGAAGAGGGAGAGATCGGCCATATCCACTCATCATCATCATCATCTTAACTTTCCGGCCCCTAACGAAGACGAAGAGCTTGCCAACTGTCTTGTGTTGCTGTCCAATTCAGGGGATGCTTATAACAAGGGGAAGGGCAAAACCGTCAAAAAGCAAAAAACCGCACAGGTCTTCCAATGCAAAGCTTGCAAGAAGGTGTTTGCGTCGCATCAGGCGTTGGGAGGACACAGGGCAAGCCACAAGAAAGTGAAGGGTTGTTTTGCCTCTCAAGATAAAGAGGAGGAAGAAGAAGAAGAAGAAGAGGAATACAAAGAAGACGACGATGAAGACGAAGCGGACGACGACGAGGACGAGGAGGAGACAGAAGACAACAGATCAACGGCTCACGTAGCAAGGAAGAGATCCAACGCTCACGAATGCACCATCTGCCATCGCGTATTCTCTTCGGGACAAGCCTTGGGAGGTCACAAGAGATGTCACTGGTTAACACCTTCCTCCAATTATCTTCGTATGACGCCAATTCATGATTCTGCCGGAAGATCACAGCCGTCTCTTGACCTCAACTTAGCTTGCCAAGAGTATTCCGTTGATCCAACGGCCATGAGCGTAGGGATGACAACTGCGAGAGATGGTGGTGGCAGCAACCACAACGCTACTCCATCTAACTCATGGTTAAAACTCGCAAGCGGTGATTGGTCTTGACGACCCACTAATTAAATTAAATATATCATTCGTTGCTAATTATATATTTCTTTAACTTTCATTCGTTTATATTCTTTACATACAATTAAGTGCATTTTATATATAGACTTGTATGGATTTTATATATACACTTTACGCCATTTGCAGTCTAGAGTGGCATATATATAATATTTGTATTTTATTGTCAAAAAATGCAATTTATTCCATTATCCAAGAGCCAAAACTATCAGAAATGTGCTCCTTTAACAACACAATTTGCGAAAGCGCTCTTACAGTCTTACTACACCGAAAACACACGAACACTTTTTTTTTTCCTACACCGAAAACGCATGAACATTAGTCAACGAAACTGATAAATATGGTGGGTCTTTGTAATTAAGGTGGTTACAAAAAGCAATAATAATGCAAAACATAAGTAAAAATAAAGTCAAAACATTTGAAAAATAATATAAATCACATTTAAGGCCATGCCATAGTTTAGTTGGATGCATTTTTTTTTTAAGGAGTATATCCTATAAGGTATTATTTGATATATAGTAATAAAGATATAAATGTGTTTACATTTTTTTACCATTCATATAAGGTAAGACGTAGGACACAAGACATAATATGATTTGTTTGATAATAAAAATTATAGAAATAAAGAAAAGAAGCAAAATGTAAGGGTTGGGGTGAAGGAGAAGCAAGAACAATAACAAGACAATGTATGCGGGCCGACTAATCCACTACTCTTTTCTTTTGGTCTCTCCATCGCAACAAAACTATTTTTGTCTTGTTCAGTTCACCAGTATTGCGGTTTGAAGGGCTGAGCAGGAGCCGCTGTTATGTCTTTCTCCGACAGCAGTTTCAGCTTCTGCGAAAACATTTTAGTGTATAAATCAGTGTTCGAGGTTCCATGGAGTATAATTTGTCTTTATAAGCCATACATACTGAATGTCATCAACGGTTAAAAAAAAAGGGGATGAATGTTAGAGTGTGTTACCGTGATGTATTGTGGGGGATCGTCGAAACTAGTGGAGCCTAGTACCACTTCTCTCCTCAAACTGCTTGTCATCTTGTGGCAAACCCGAAGCTGCCAACAAGAAAATAATGTTATGTTTAAATTTAATGCGCTGCTGACACATAACATAACATAACATTCACGAGTCATGAGTCAGCTGGGATTTGTATGATGGCATACCTCGGATCTGGTAGCCCCGCCAATAATGAATACAAAGATGCGTTGGCCAAGCTTCTTGAAGTCCGCAGAAGCAGTTTTCAAGACAGAGTCGGAGGAAGATCCATCGTCAGAAGAATGAGGACGTGCCCAGGTTGCAGTACGTCTTGACCTCATAGAATGAGGGGTGGCCTTTCGCTCTGGAACCGCTGCAGGAGGAGCACTAGTCTTCCTCACTGATCCTGTTCGTGCTTCACTCTCTTCCTTTTCACTTGCTTCCTTGGTGTTCATACATAGATAGTCGCTCTTTGATAGATCCCCTTTCACGAGTTTCTCAAGCAGCTCCTGCAGAAGAAGTAAGAGAATATATACTTATATACTCAGCGATCCAAATGAATTAAGAGCGGGTAGCTAGAAATCTAGTTAGGTACCTCTAGCATGGGATAAAAGCGGAACAGTTGCCATGATTCTTCTTCACCAGACCGATCTTTCCTGTTTGCTTGTTTTGTCTATATATATGCCAAAAGAGCATTCATCATTCTCGGTCACTAGAGAGAGTCTAGTCTAGAGAGAGAGAGAGAGAGAGGATATCTATATTTTTGTTTACCTTTCCAGCGTCAAATTTGAGGGAGAAACTACCGGATTTAGTCTTGCTTTCTGGAGATCCAGCTATCAACTTCATGTTGCTTATAACCTTCATATCCACGGGTGACAATCTAGCAAGCTGATAAATACAAATATATTAACAAGCTAAGTAAAGCCTATTACATATGCAATACTGCTATCACACCAGAAAAGAAGTACCTGCATGAGCTTTACGCCCTTGTCACCTTCGAACTTCTCTGGGTACACTGTTGCATAAATCATCAATAGCCGCAATTTGTTTTCCGGGTTTGTGTCCTGCATTCAACAATGTGAATCTGTGTGTCAATGTCAAACAAGGATATTTCTTTTTTAAATCTGTTTCAAGGGGCACCTGATTTGTCCTGAGAAAGTTGATAACGTCCTTGGCACCTGCGTCCCCAAAAACAAGATCTTGTTCCAGCTGCCCTAGATCCCGAAGTCCCGTGTCCCTTATTATTCTGTTTATTTTTCCAGCTAGCTGAAATTTGATTGATTCTTCATTTTACTAAAACTGTTTGCAACCACATGCAAAGCCTGGACTACTGAATTGGTGAGACAGACAAACCTCTACATGAGTGGACAGCTTGTCAACTTGTTCTCCATATTGTGGCAAAGCCTGAACTATTTTCTGCAGATCACGCGTTGACATCTCGCTCCCCTCTCTGCGTCGCGTTAGCAAAATGTTAAACTATCAAGAGATGGTAATTTGGCAAGATTAAACTCTCAGCACTACTGACTTTGATCTCATTTGTGCGGCTTTGTTCTTTGAGACAAAGTTGGTCATCTTCTCATGCAACCGCTCGCTAGCCTAATTGCAAACAGAGAAGAAAAAAAGACATGGTACTATCAACATGGTGACCTCTATTCAGGGAAATATAGAGATATCGATGGTATATAGTACTAATAGAATTATACATCTGCTATATGTGAGTGTCGAAGCTCAAGCCAGACTGGATCATGGTCTTCAAGCACTATCTCCTTTTTCTCCGGAGGCCCACCAGTTTTGCTAGGAACCTACAAGCATATATAAGAACATTAAGCAAAGAGGGAAATTAATAAGACAAATGTATACAACTACTGAGTGTACCTCGAGAACATGTTTATTCCCCTCCATATCAAGCAAATCATGGCACATGGCATCATAGGTCCATTCGTGTATGATGGGAGCGATCTACAGTTTGCATTCTCATTTTAGATTAAAACCTTTTTTAAACGAGTATGTATATATATATATATATTTGGTATAAGATGATGAGCCTTAAAACCTGATCCACTGATCTGTCCACAATGAGCAGCTCACATGTTTCGGTCTGTGGGAAATTGGGAATGGCTTTATATTTGGAGATACAATCCCAAATAGCAGCAGCAAGCTTTGAGGGAACCATGTCCCGCGACGCATTGGACCTAGCAGCTCGATATCGAACGAAGGGAAGTTCCTGATGTATAAACAAGATAAGTTAAGGAAAGAGAGTGAAGCAAAAACTGTAGAGCTTGACAGCACCAGATTGTAAAAGAAAGTGTACCTTGAGTGAAGCAAAAACGGTAGCAATTCTAGTAGCCATCATATTCAAACAAATATCAAAATGGCGTGACTTGTCAGCATCTTCAGCATAGAGCGTTTCCAATGCTTGCTCATGGTCAGTAAGAAATCCCTGAGTATGAGTATGAGTAAAGGTAAGATCAAACAAACAAGTCTGTTTGCATATATACACTTGAACATGGCGAACCCCTACCTGATTATCTATGGGGAAGTACTCCATGTTCAGCTGTACAAATTAAGGACGAAGATCATCATCAGAAGTCGATTACTATAACCCAAAAAAAGAAAGAGAAGAGAGGATTTACCTCTCGCAAAGCACCAATGCGGGGTAATACACTACAGTCACTTTTGATGTGATTGACCAATTCTTTAGGGATAGTTGAGCTGAAGAATATATATGCCCTGAAAAAGGATCAAGGGTAAAGGAATCATAACTGAGATGAAAGAGGAAAGCCTTTTATTTAGCAGTCTTGATACTTACTTCCTGTACAAGGGCTCCCTCCCAGACATGTCAGATAGAAACATGACAATGCTGATTGAAAGAGAAAGAGAGAAGTAAGAAATGAGAAGATATATATATATATATATATATATATATATATATATCTTTAGATGGATTAGGAGGGAAAGAGAGAGTGTGGGTATTAATAAAATTACTTCTCTTTGGATGGTTGGATAAAGTAGATAGCGTCCATGCCAGGCATTGGCTCCCTTCTCTTAAACAGTTCTTCTACCACTGAGAGAGAGAGAGAGAGAGAGAGAGAGAGAGAGACACCCCCAAATCCATCAAATCCATATATATCATCCTTTTTTTTTATAATCAATTTCAATGGAAAACAAAAAAGAGAGAAAGGGGTATTTATTTATTAATAGAGAGGAGTCTTACAGGAAATCCCTTGATCGGTGATATCAGCCATTTTGCAAGACTGAGACATAACTTTGACCGTAACTCTATCCATTATCAGTATCTGCACATATAACATGAGGATGCAACTACTCTCATCATCTTCCAAGCTTTTGGCAATGTGATGGATTATTTTAAATGAAAAAAGAAGAAAACCACCTTCCAAGCTTTTGAATCCCCGGTTTTCGTAGATCCAAGCATCTCGTGCAGCAGCCCTGAAACGATTAATTTCATCACCCTTAGAATCACAAGAACAACAACAACAACAAGATGATAGAAATAGAGAGAGAGAGAGAGAGAGATTACGATCGCGGCTGATCTGACGAAAGAACTTGTAGTCTCCGCCGTCGCGGGCATGCGAGGATGAAGACTCGGAATCGGAGAAGGACATTGATGGATAGATGAGATGAGGATCGGAGGCAGTAGAAGATGAAGAGAGACGACAACTGATTTCATCATACAGGAAGAGGAAGAGGAAGAGGAAGAAGAAAGGGGAGAGAGAGGAATTGTTTGTGTGAGTCTGTGTGGCTCAGCTTACAATTAGATCTCTCCCAAACTATTATTAGACTCACTCCTCCACCTCTTTTTCCTTTCTAGTTTTTCCCCTTCATTTTTCTCACTTGGAAATTCATACATATATACGCCCATGAACATATTACATGTGTTTATTCTGATTTCCTCTATAGCCTTTTAACATTCGTGTCATATATCAACATGATCTAGGTTGCTCTCATGCATATATAACATCATCCCTTTGGATTAAACTTGAAGTCACCTGTTTTCCTATGTTAGACAGCGCTGAATCATATATATGATATATCCATACATATAACATCATAATACTCACTCTCTCTGGTTTGATTTAGTCTATAAACTATGAACATTAGTTTGAAATATCCGCTACATAATGAATAATGAGAGATCCAAATCATCTAGTCTACTCTATGCAGAGTGTAGAGAGTGTTGTAAGGTCGCCGCCAAAGAATGACTGTTTTTGTATCAAAACAAGAGAATATAAAACAAGAGAATATATAAGAGGGAAGGAATGAACCCAACAAAGGCAAGCAAGGATGAATATGTTCAAAGTTTGATTGCCGCCTTGTAGTAACTAAGGTACCATCTTACAAACTTGTTGAGACCTGTCTGCAGATCCGTGCTTGGCCTGTACCCTAGCTCTCTCTCCGCTGAGCTTATATTCGCATGCGTGAACTGCACATCCCCGTTCCTCGGCAGCTTCATCATCTTCCTCTTGGCTTTCACTTTCAACACTCTCTCCAGTATACTCACCAGTTCACTCACCGCCACCGGTGACGTGTTCCCCAGATTGAATACCCTCAGCTGAGCCGCACCACGCTTCTTCCCTCCACTCCCCGTGCTCTTCTCCGCCGTGTCCAGAGCCCCCAGGCATCCTTTCACTATGTCATCAATGTATGTGAAATCCCTTGCCACTGTCCCGTGGTTGGCTCCTTGGAAGATGGAGATGGCTTTCCCCTTGAGGATATCTCTGGTGAAGAAGAAGTAGGCCATGTCCGGTCTTCCCCACGGGCCATAGACCGTGAAAAACCTCAAGCCGGTGAGGGAGAGGCCGTAGATGTGGTTGTAAGTGTGAGCAATCTCCTCCCCGGCTTTCTTGGTCGCAGCGTAGAGGCTCGCGGGCTGATCTGTTCGATCTTTCTCCGAGAAGGGGACTTTGGTGTTCAATCCGTAGACCGAGCTCGACGACGCCCACACGATCGCCGGCTGCGGATTAGCGGATTTGCAGACCTCGAGGAGATTAACGAAGCCAGCGATGTTACTGTGGACGTAGGAGCTGGGGTTCTCCATGGCGTATCTGACGCCGGCTTGAGCGGCCAAATGCATAACGTGAGTGAAAGGGACGACCTCGAAGAGCTTCTTCAGGAGGGACGCGTCGTTGATGTCTCCCTCCACGATGAACACTCCGCTTCGCTCCAGGAGGGCTTGCCTTGACCTCTTGAGCGACGTCTCGTAGTAATCGTTGAAGTTGTCGAGCCCTAGAACGCCGTCTCCCCGGCGCTTGAGAGCGGCTGAGACGTGGGTCCCGACGAATCCGGCGGCTCCGGTGACGAGGACGGAGAGGCCGTTGCGGGAACGAAGACGGGCGGAGGATCTGACACGCTTCTCCCAGGCGGGACCGCCCCAAGAGTAGGTGCGGAGAGAGCGGCGAGAAGGATCGGAGGAAGAGGGATTGGAAATGGGAGATCGGTAGAAGAAGATGAAGAGCAAACCCACAAACACCAGCGACCAAAAAGCAAGCTTCGCCACGGAGGATTGCCACCGCGTACGCTGCAAGTGAGGAGATTTATATTTCCCAGGCGTCGAAGGATTATCGTCCAGATGCGACATTTGCTTCATCGAGAGAGAGGGAGAGCGAGATTCAAGGAAAGAGTTTCAAATCCAGATTCAATGTTGCCCACTAGATCTCAGCCTGAAACAGGGATTCAATTTTAAAAAAATCCCTGCTTAGATGGGAAAATGAAACAAAAAAAAGCTCGGGGGTGTGGGCGATAATGGCGTCGGAGAATCTTCTGGTTTCGTGGAAGCGATGGTTTGTTTGGTGGGCGTTTTTAGTACCTCCGGTTTCACAGGGAAGATCAACCGATTTCTTTTTTTTTTTTTTTTTTTTTAAATTTCGAAAACAGTTTACTTATTATATACACATACACACAGACGAAGACGAAAGTGAGGGGGGGGAGTCAAAGATAGAAAACTGTAACAAATCATGTTAATTGGACGATACTGACGTTTACTTGGATTGATCAAATGAGATTAGTGCTCCACTACTATGTTTAATGCTGATAATTGTAAGTTGGCAATGACATCCAACGGTGGTCTATTTTGGTTTTATGATCAGACGCTTTTTAGGGGGTTACCGACTTATAGCATACATCTCTTATTATTAACTTCCGATCAGAGATATTCAAGTGATCAACCATCACTACTTAATTAAGAGAGGATAATAGTACAGTTTTGAGTGGGATGGGAGATTAATTGTATGCACTTGCGCTTGGTAAATACTAAATTTTTGTGCTTGTATAATGTTTACTTATACAGCTATACTCCGACATCTTCACGTGGAACTATAATGGTAAACAAATTCAGCAGTATTTGAAAGGCTAAGTTAATTTGAAAGCTCATATTCACATGGGGGTAAACTATAAACTATAGAAGTAGAGAGTAGTCTTGAAAGAAGAATTTATACGTGCATCTAAACATATATCATGGCCCACACCTCCTTTTAGTTATGTTCTTCATCGACTGGTATCAAGTAACCAAAATTATAAATTAATATAATCATCGTTGAAAGATGAAACCAAAACAACGTGGAACCGCCCAAGCCATGTGATGTAAGAAATGAAAGAGACACTAGCAAATGACCGGTCTCGGCGTCACTTTTTATGCTTTATTTGATAAAGAAAAAACAGTTTATTATGTACAAAGTTGCACACACGGGTTCATATCAAACTTCCCTAACTGTTAACTACTCCACTTATTACTACAAGTTTTGAATGTTTAACGAGATTTTTAAAGTTACAGATTAGCTAGTGATCGCATACGGATAATATATACAATTACAGAACATGGGGCTGACAAAGAAAAAAGACGGGATAATAATGGGCTCCATCAATATGAGTGGGCTTAGTAAGCCCATTAATCAGAAAAGAAATCTCTCTTTCTCTCTTTTTCTTTTGTTGGATGCCAAACACAATGAAAAATCGCAGCCGCCTTTTAAAGTTTCCAACAAGACGATTGTCGAGATTCCGTATTCGGATTGCAAATTCCGTTCCGAAATCAGAAAGGATCGATGAAATTGGGGGTGTAGGAGTGTTGGTGATCATCTAAATCTGTCGAAATAACAAAGGATGGCAAGTCTCGCAAAGGCGTATTGTCACCAGATGCACCACAGCATCCCCTTCAACCATTACCGACCTCTAAACCTTCAAAACTCGATTTCTCTGTTCGCCATCACATCTCCTTCCCTTTCACCCACAGACCCAAACCCTCTTCACAACCCTAATAACAATAAACAGCCCCAATTCGGCCATTTCATAATCCCCACCGTCGCAGTCGCTGCTTCCGCGTGGTTCTTCCTGCGCCTCCACCAGAACCCGCCAATCATCACCGCTCCTACAGATTCGCATTTGCAGCAGCTGGAGTTGGAGGAAGAAGGCGCAATCAGAGAGCTCCCTTTGCAGCACAAGCCTGCTTATGTCAAGGCTCTTCACTTATACAAAATCAACCCAGGTACGGTCTTGAAACTGCTGGACGTGTACGACTCGGATAACTACGAATCCTTGAAAGCCCGGATTCGCTTGTCGGCGGATTGGCTGGAAACTGCGAGGAGGGAGCTGGAGGAGGTGGTGGAGAGAGACCCGGGTCGGGTCATGGAGTACTCGCAGGTGGTGGATGAGCTCATGGAAATTCTGAGGGAGATGGAGGTTTATATAGATAAATGCGAAAAGGAGAGGGTTAAAGGATACCTGAGATCTTGCAATCGCTTGCTTGCTCGTGTGAGGAGAATGGAAGCTCAGATTCTCCATGTCCTTAGAGAGTTTCACGAAGGAGGAGATACTTAGTATCAAGAGAGGCACAGGGGGGGCTGCTGCTCTTTTCTTCTCTTGTTCGTTTTCTTCTCTTATCTGTAGCAACAATTGTCAGCTGAATCTGGAAAATATATGGTTGAAACTTGTTTACTATTTAGTTTGGTCTGTTAAATATAGCTGAACCAATAGGCGGCCCGCCTGCTCGAGATGAGAGTTTAGATCGCAGAGGAATGCTAAGTAGAGTCAGTCCTGAGGAAATATTGCGCTTGAGCTCTGATTTTCAGTAATCTGCGGAATGTACAGGCTTTGATTTGACGAATTTTGCTATCCGAGCCAGATGTGTTTGCTGTGTTGTTTCAACTAAGATGATGGTAATGAGGTCCTCTTTAGGCAGTTAAGTACACGTATTCAAGTGCTGTTGCAGGTTTGAGTCCCAACGCGCTAACTTATTGATTCGATACAAAGATGGTGAAGCACAAACCAAAGAGATCGCTACAACGACTAACTGACTAAGGATAGAAATTAGTAGTATTAAGTTAAATTCAGGAATCCCACATGTCCTATTTATACGAAAGACAACACTCGCACAACAAAACCCAATTATCCAAGTGGTTGGGGGGTACATATACTCGGATACATCTATTACGTACAAAATGAATATAAGACAATCATGCTGTTTTGGTGCACTGACAAAAAACGAAAACAGCACGCGGTACATGCTCCCTTGATAGAAACACCAGAGATAATTAAGCTCATATGTTCAACGACTGGGCAGCTGAAAACTCATTGAGAAGTAACCCAACTCGTTCAACGACACCAAGCTTCTTAAACCACCGAGCCAGCACAGCAGAAGCTTCTTTCTCAACCATTATAGACTCTTTCTCAAGCTCAACCAAGAACCCTAATGCTTCATTCAGCTTCTCTTCCTTTTCATACGCAGCCAATACAAGTGCCACGCACTTATCTGTAGCTTTGATCCCCGCTTTTCTCATATTCTCAAATGCCAAACGCGCATTCTGGCTCTCCCCCAAGACAGTGTATGCGTTTATGAGCAGTCCACAGAGCTTTACGTCAGGAGTAATCCCCGCGATTTGAACTGCACTGAAAACCCGATTGGCTCCTTGGGCGTCTCCACCCATAGAGTAGGCTCTCAACAGTGCCTTGTAAACTTCTTTCCCCGCACAGATTTCTTGAGAGTCCATTTCTCTGAGTAAAGCCTCTCCTTTCTCGGGAGCGCCTGCTCTTATGTAGGCCATAATCATGGAACCGTAAGATCGATAGTCTAGTGGTTCCCCGAGCAGTTTGATATCGTTGAAAGTTTCTTCAGCCAATTGGTGATACCCTGCCTTGCTGTACAACTGAACCATCGCAGTTAGGGTGACTTGATCAACGAGAAAGCCTCGATTTCTCATAGCAACAAGAGTTTTCTCAGCGTCTGAAACTTGGTTTAGCTTCCCATAGTAATGGATGATCTTGGTATAATCCCGGGGGTTTGCTTCAAAGGAATCCTCGAGTAGCGAAAACTCAGCCACCTAAGGAGGAGATGCATACAAGGAAAAGGAAACTTAAAAAAAGCATACTAGTGTACCAAAGGAGTAACACATGAAATGGAAAAAAGAAAGGCAATGGAGAGTACCTTGATATAAAAGGGAGAGTCAAGATTCTTCAACTCTTTAAGCAGAGAAAGCCAGTCAGCTCTAATGGGTTTCATCCTCCTGACCCAAGCAGCTAAGAGATGGCAAAAACTACCCTTTTGGGTCGAGAAGCATATAATCTGCTTCATAAGCGCTTGGCAACGTTTTGACATGTTAATGGGAATTCGAGTGATGGCCTCGTCTTCTTCTTCTGTCAGATTGAGACCTACATCAACCCACTTAAACTTAGGGCTCTCTCTCTCTGCTTCTTCCTTGTCTACAGTCAACATTCCTGCTGCACTACTACATTTGCAACCAAAACGCCTACTTTTATTCTGACCAGATTCTATAAACACGCGCTTGTGGCTTCTAATAACAAAGGGGCATCTCAAGCCGAAGCTCAATACTGCGTTGCAGCTATAAATCCCCATTATAGACCTCCGAGAAACACTAAATCTCAGAATCGCAAACAACTATACACTTCAGAATTGGAAGGCTTCCAATTAAGGATCATAGGAAAACACAATTAGGATTCTCTAGCTGCTTAGAAAGGAAGTGTGAAGACAGAGAGATGAGCGAAGTTAAGTTGATAGACAGACAGAGAGATTCGGTGGATTCTGGATAGATTGATTAAACCGGTGGAGAGAGAGGGAGAGAGTGAGAGAGGGAGAGAGAGAGCTTGTTGGCTTTGCTCTCTACTTCTGGCGGATAGACAGAGACACCAGCAGCTAACACCATAAATGTCTGCTTCGCTATGGGCCTTTATTGGGCCTAAATAACGGAGGATTAGTAACATGGGCACCCGTTGGAATGACGGCCCGTTTGAACATGATAGCATGAAAGTTTATTCTTTTTTCAGAACTGGTGTCATGTGTCAATAATCTCTCTTTTATGGAGCTACAATACATATTCCGATCTTGTCAAATTTCACTTTTTAACGTTCATCCCAGTCACCGAGGGCCGATCGTATTCATATTATTACTAGTGGCTAGTGCTTCTGATAGCAATTTATTTAATTTGATTAATGATATCACACACAGAGTCTAAAAACAAACTTGGTTTCTCCTATTTTTGGTGATGGAAGTGGCCGGAAAGCATGACCGGGGGAGTCCACCGGGACGGTCAACAGATACAGATTTTCTCACTTACTGAAAAACCAGATTTGCAGGATACACACCAAAGGATATTTAAGTCATTTCAAGTGTATTAGAAAACGGCGATCCGAATCTGCTTCTCCTCTCTCGGTTTTGATTACTTCACTGAAGCTCACTTTTCTGTTCGTCTCCTCTCCTTCTTCTCCCCTCTCTGGTTTTCTCTGCGTTAGATGTCATTTATCTAAGTCGAGACGAGACGAGAAATATTGGTTTTGTTCGATCCGCAGTTGCTCTCTCTGGCTACATATTCTCTTGTAGATCTGAATTGGTGAGTCGTTGAGCTCCCCCGCGAATTCTGGAATGGCTTCTACGGAAGTCGATTCCCGCTTAGGCCGAGTTCTGATCCCTGCTTTGGATAAGGTCATTAAGAACGCCTCATGGCGAAAGCACTCCAAGCTCGCTCACGAGTGCAAATCCGTCATCCAACGCCTCAGATCGCCTGACGATTCTTCTCCCGTTGCCGACTCTGATTCCGGATCCTCCATTCCTGGCCCGCTTCACGACGGAGCAACCGCTGAATATTCTCTCGCCGAGTCGGAGATTATCCTCAGCCCTCTCATCAACGCCTCCTCCACCGGCGTTCTCAAGATTGTCGATCCCGCTGTTGATTGCATCCAGAAGCTTATTGCACATGGCTATCTTCGCGGTGAGGCCGATCCCACCGGCGGTCCTGAGGCGCTACTCCTTTCCAAGCTCATTGAAACCATCTGCAAATGCCACGAGTTGGATGACGAAGGCCTCGAGCTGCTCGTCCTCAAGACGCTCTTAACTGCTGTAACTTCAATCTCGCTGAGGATCCATGGTGATTCTTTGCTACAGATCGTCAGGACTTGTTATGGTATCTACTTAGGAAGCAGAAACGCGGTTAATCAGGCCACGGCTAAAGCCTCGCTCGTGCAGATGTCTGTCATCGTCTTCAGAAGAATGGAGGCAGATTCCTCCACTGTCCCGATTCAGCCCATCGTCGTGGCCGAGCTGATGGAGCCGACGGACAAATCTCAGTCAGACCCATCAACGACGCAGTCCGTTCAAGGATTCATCACCAAAATCATGCAGGACATTGACGGAGTGTTCAATTCAGCTAACGCCAAGGGCACCTTTGGCGGCCACGACGGGGCCTTCGAGACTTCATTGCCTGGTACCGCGAATCCTACAGATTTGTTGGATTCTACAGATAAGGATATGTTGGATGCCAAGTACTGGGAGATAAGTATGTATAAGTCGGCCCTCGAGGGAAGAAAAGGAGAGCTGGCCGATGGAGAAGTTGAGAAAGACGATGATTCTGAGGTTCAGATTGGGAACAAGCTGAGAAGAGACGCATTCTTGGTATTCAGGGCACTTTGCAAGCTCTCCATGAAGACGCCTCCAAAGGAAGATCCAGAGTTGATGAGAGGGAAGATCGTGGCTCTCGAGTTATTGAAGATTCTGCTTGAGAATGCCGGCGCTGTCTTTAGAACCAGCGATAGGTTTGTTTTGCTTATCTTCTTCCATGATTATTATAGGCCACATTAGGTAGTTTGTTATGCTATCTCTAGTTTCACTCTTTTTCTCCTACCATCTGCTTGATAGTTGCTTTGGCCGGGATGTTATTTAGTTATGAATGTTTTTTTTTCTTCTAAAAAGTTGGCATCAATTCATGATGAAACAGGTTCTTGGGCGCCATCAAGCAGTATCTGTGTCTCTCCTTGCTGAAGAATAGTGCTTCAAATCTTATGATCATTTTCCAGCTTTCCTGCTCGATTTTGCTTAGCTTGGTTTCGAGATTTCGTGCTGGGCTGAAGGCAGAGATTGGGGTGTTCTTCCCCATGATTGTTCTAAGAGTGTTAGAGAATGTTTCTCAACCTGATTATCAACAGAAGATGATTGTGCTTCGGTTCCTGGACAAGCTCTGCGTTGATTCACAGATTTTGGTAGATATATTCATCAACTATGATTGCGATGTCAACTCATCCAATATATTTGAAAGGTATGCATTGATATGTTGTTGTTGCCTTAGTCTACGTTATTAGGTTAGAAAACATCATTTGAAGTGACAATTATCTTGTGCCGGGAATCTGTTCTTTGTTTGTGGTAGAAGAGCTTAGAGCTGAGATTTTTAACCGTTTGAAGTGAATCTCATTTCCGTGTTTGTTACCTGTACATTTTTTACAGGATGGTCAATGGTCTCCTTAAAACTGCTCAAGGAGTGCCCCCTGGTACAGTTACTACCTTGTTGCCACCTCAGGAAGCAGCCATGAAACTTGAAGCCATGAAGTGCTTAGTTGCTGTTTTAAGATCCATGGGAGACTGGGTGAATAAGCAGTTACGTCTTCCAGATCCTTATTCAGCAAAAGTGCTAGAATTTGATGATAGAAATCTTGAAGAAGGGAGCCATCCGGTGGAAAACGGTAAGGGGGACGGGGGCCCTGGGGGTTTTGAAAGATCAGAGTCTCAGTCTGAATTGTCCAGTGGGACTTCTGATGCCTTAGCAATAGAGCAGCGCCGAGCTTACAAGCTTGAACTTCAGGTTAAAGTTTACCTAAAATTTGATTCAGTGTTCATTTTCTTTTGTCTCAGTCTTTCAGCTAAAGATTGATTTCGTTTCATTGATGGCAGGAAGGTATTTCTATTTTCAACCAGAAACCTAAGAAAGGCATTGAATTTCTAATCAAGGCAAAGAAGGTGGGAGACTCGCCAGAGGAAATAGCCGCTTTTCTAAAAGATGCATCGGGGTTGAACAAGACTTTAGTAGGGGATTATCTGGGGGAAAGAGAAGACCTATCCCTTAAAGTCATGCATGCATATGTGGATTCTTTCGAGTTTGAAGGCATGGAATTTGATGAGGCTATTCGAGCCTTTCTCCGGGGGTTTAGGCTGCCAGGAGAAGCACAAAAAATTGATCGTATCATGGAAAAGTTTGCGGAGCGGTACTGTAAATGTAATCCAAAAGCTTTTTCTAGTGCTGATACGGCATATGTACTCGCTTACTCTGTCATTTTGCTCAACACAGATGCACATAACCCTATGGTGAAAAGCAAGGTATTAGCTGTTCCCTTTATAACCTTACTAGATCCTAGTCCAATCTAGTTACAATGCTCAAACAAGGTAACTCATTTCTTAAGTTTTCAATCACAACTTGCAGATGACGGCTGATGGTTTTATTAAAAATAATCGTGGCATAGATGATGGGAAAGACTTGCCTGAGGAATATCTACGTGCATTATATGAAAGGATATCTAGAAATGAGATAAAGATGAAGGATGATGGTTTGGGTTCGCAACAGAAGCAGCCAGCAAACTCAAGCAGATTACTTGGCTTGGATACTATCTTAAATATTGTTGTTCCTAGGCGTGCGGAAGATTTGTACATGGAGACTAGTGATGATCTTATCAGGCATATGCAAGAGAGGTTTAAAGAAAAAGCTCGCAAATCTGAGTAAGAATCTTACTTTATCGTGCTTTTTAATTTGCACGCTGCTGTGCGGTGGGCTGTTTCACGCATGTTGATTCTTCTACCATTTATTCATTCCTTTTTGGGGCATCATTATATTCTGATAGTCGCTCTTTGGGAGTTGGTCAGGTCAACATTGTTCTTATTGTTACGTATATTTTCGATTTAGCCACAATATTCATATTTGGGGTTCCTCGAAAACGTGTATCTTGGGTTTTTGATTTTTGTTTACCACTGTAGGTCAGTTTATTATGCAGCCTCGGATGTAGTCATACTCAGATTTATGGTTGAGGTGTGTTGGGCTCCTATGTTGGCTGCTTTCAGTGTTCCACTTGACCAGAGTGATGATGCAGTAATTACAACATTATGTCTGGAGGGTTTCCACCATGCTATCCACGTCACTTCTGTAATGTCCTTAAAGACGCACAGAGATGCCTTTGTGACTTCACTAGCAAAATTTACTTCTCTCCACTCTCCTGCTGATATCAAGCAGAAAAATATTGAGGCCATAAAGGTTGGCATCCTTTTTCTCATTCAGTTTTATGTTTCAGTCTATGCTGGACTATTACTCTTAATCTGTGCTTATAAATCTTGGTAAAACATATCTTGTTTCTTTTTGTTTTACGTTTTTATACTTTCTAGGAAATATTGATTGGCTCAGCTTTTTCCTTTTTGTTTTTTTTGAATTGAGTTGGGTACTCTGGATGATACAAACTGACTTCAAATGTTTTTGTTTGTTCACTGATAGGCAATAGTCAAACTGGCAGAGGAAGAAGGTAACTATCTACAAGATGCTTGGGAGCATATATTGACATGTGTTTCTCGGTTTGAACATCTTCATCTCTTGGGGGAAGGAGCGCCTCCTGATGCCGCATTCTTTGCATTTCCTCAAACCGAGTCAGGAAACTCTCCACGGGCCAAGTCAAATTCAGTACCTGCAGTTAAAGAAAGAGCACCTGGAAAACATCAGTACGCTGCTTCTGCTGTGATAAGGGGTTCCTATGATGGTTCTGGTGCTGCTAGCAAGGCTTCTAACACGGTGTCATCTGAACAGATGAACAACCTGATATCTAATCTGCACTTGCTAGAACAGGTTGGCGACATGAGTCGGATATTTACACGTAGTCAAAGATTGAATAGTGAAGCCATAATTGACTTTGTTAAAGCCCTCTGCAAAGTGTCCATGGATGAACTACGATCTCCATCTGATCCACGCGTCTTCAGCCTTACAAAGATTGTGGAAATAGCGTAAGGAACAAAATTTGTTTTTTTGGTCAAACTATCTCGTATTGATACTCTGTTGGATGCAATGGCAGGCACTATAACATGAACCGTATCAGACTTGTCTGGTCGAGCATCTGGCACGTTCTCTCCGATTTCTTTGTGACTATTGGTTGTTCTGACAACCTCTCCATTGCAATCTTTGCTATGGATTCCTTGCGCCAGCTGTCTATGAAGTTCCTAGAGCGGGAAGAGCTGGCAAACTATAACTTCCAAAATGAGTTTATGAAACCTTTTGTTGTCGTCATGCGCAAAAGCGGTGCTGTTGAGATCAGGGAATTGATTATACGATGTGTCTCACAGATGGTTTTGTCTCGTGTTAACAACGTCAAGTCGGGCTGGAAGAGCATGTTCATGGTATTTGATCTCTATCAAACTGCCAACTGTTACTTTGATGTCTCGCTCTGTTTTTGATGACAGATGTACTTACTGAAAGTTTGGTCTTGCAGATTTTCACGACAGCAGCACACGATGCACATAAAAATATTGTGTTCCTGTCTTTTGAAATGGTTGAAAAGATAATCCGAGACTACTTCCCACACATCACGGAGACAGAGACAACCACCTTCACAGACTGTGTGAATTGCCTTGTGGCGTTCACCAATAGTAAATTTGAGAAAGATATCAGTCTCCAAGCCATTGCTTTCCTTCAATATTGCGCTAGAAAACTTGCTGAAGGCTCTGTCGGTTCATCATTGAGGAGGAACCCTCCATCTTCTCCACAGGGAGGGAAAGGCGGGAAGCAAGATAGTGGAAAATTTCTGGAAAGCGATGAACATTTATATTCTTGGTTTCCCTTGTTAGCCGGTAAGCCGTGTTTTTTGCAGCACTTATCTTTGCATTTACTTCTCTAAACCAAGTCTTTCAACACCCTAATTTTACGGTTTTCTTTGCCGGGGACAGGTCTATCTGAACTTAGTTTCGACCCAAGAGCAGAAATTCGCAAGGTTGCGCTCAAAGTCCTGTTTGATACTCTGCGGAACCATGGTGACCATTTCAGCCTGTCGCTATGGGAACGGGTTTTCGAGTCTGTTTTATTTCGGATATTTGACTATGTGCGTCACGACGATGAGCCGTCGGGTGAGGATTCAGCTGATCAGAGAGGTTACAATGGGGAAGCAGACCAGGAGTCTTGGCTCTACGAGACATGCTCATTGGCTCTACAGCTAGTTGTAGACCTCTTTGTGAATTTCTACGCGACAGTTAACCCTCTGCTTAAGAAGGTACTGATGCTATTCGTAAGCCTGATAAAACGTCCCCACCAAAGTCTTGCTGGTGCGGGCATTGCTGCGCTCGTACGTCTGATGAGAGACGTCGGACATCAATTCTCAGACGAACAATGGCTCGAGGTTGTGTCATGTATTAAAGAAGCAGCAGATGCCACGTCCCCTGACTTGTCATACGTAACCAGTGAAGAGGATGTAAGCAATGAGGATGAAACAAATGATAACTCCAACGACACGCTGAGAAGAAGAAACATGCAGCTTCATGCTGCCGTAGCAGATGCCAAATCCAAAGCTTCAATTCAGATTTTTGTGATTCAGGTCAGTCACAAAGACTCAGTCCCTACTCTAGTCTCTAGCCATAATCTATAATCAAACCTTATGTGTATGTGTATGTTTGGTTGCTCTTAATTTGCAGGCCGTAACAGAGATCTACAACATGTACCGTACATCTCTGACAGCCAATCACATATTGATGCTCTTTGAGGCCATGCACGGCATCGCATCAAACGCTCACAAGATCAACACGGATCCGGTCTTACGTGCCAAGCTCCAGGAGCTCGGGTCGTCCCCTGAGTCACAAGAAGCTCCTCTCCTCCGGCTGGAGAACGAATCTTTCCAAACATGTATGACCTTCTTAGACAACCTGATCTCAGACCAGCCGGTGGGTTACGAGGAGTCCGAAATAGAAGCCCATCTCGTAAGGCTGTGCAGAGAGGTGTTGGAGTTCTACATAGAGATATCATGTGCCAAGGAGCAGTGGGCAGGGAAAGTGATGTCGGGGTCGGGAAAAAGGAAGGAGCTAACGGCGAGGGCTCCGCTAGTGGTGGCTGCGATACAGACAGTGGGAAACATGGGAGAGTCACTGTTCAAGAAGAACATGCCGGAGTTGTTTCCACTGATAGCGACGTTGATAAGCTGTGAACATGGGTCAGGAGGAGAGGTACAAGTGGCTCTTAGTGATATGCTTCAGACTTCCATGGGACCCCTTCTCCTCCGCTCTTGCTGCTAAGTATAATAAACCACCGTCTCTCTGTAAGATTGTATCCTCTCTTCCTCTTCATCTTCTTTTCTTTTTATAACACTGTTTCACAATTCTGATTGGTTCGTCTTCTCTCTGTTTTTATCACAAGCACGTATGTGATATGCATTTTTTTTTTTGGGTTTCCTTTCATTGTTTGGTAGCCATGGGAAGAGATTAGCGTTCACGAGTTGTGGTCGGGATATGTCCCCTTTCTTATGTGTAAATTGTAATAATATTAGACAGTTTATGTTCCTGACAGACTTCTTCATTTTATTTTCTGATGTTGAATGAATCCCAGAGACATTATTTTACAACCAAAATCGAATTAAAGGCAAGACATGAAATAATAGAATGAATCTTGTTGAGAGATGATGATTAGTATATATATTTATGATTAGATACATGTAGAAAATTGAACAAGTAAAAGTCAAAAGTGGATGCCGAGGCGGCGGATCTCAGAACGGAAGACGGGACTGGAAGAGAGAGTACGATGAGCCAAACTTCGAATGTCTTCTCTTGAGCATTCCTTTGATATTCTCACCAGCTCCCACAACGCTCCTCCGCTTATCATCTCCTTCGCATTCACCTCTTTTTACAAGCAAACATACACAAATAAATTTAAGATATGATATAAGCATCAAATGTTACGTCCCACATCACACATGCATGCAGTCAAACTGTGAAAGGAAGGCACAACTAACCATGCTGGGCCAAATGGCATAAAGCGAGCTCTATGTGGCGCCTGATTGGTGCAGCTTCATCGTTTGCATGTTGTACAATCCACGGAAGCGCTCCGTCTTCTATTAGCAGCGATCTTCCACTCTTCACGCCTGACAAATTCATACCCTCATTCATACTTGTTCTAAATAAGAGGAGAATTAATGACACCTGACCCCTTTCTATCATTTGTTTACCTTGAGAGGTTGCTCGGGATTCACACTTTGCAAAGTTTGCAATTCCCCGAGCCACCTGAGCAAGAACATCCGGGTGTCCGCATCTGACCATTCCTAACAATGCTTTTATTCCACCATCCGACCATAGTCTTGCTTGAAGTTTGTCTGCCAAAACAAACTTATTGGTCGCCTTCTTTTACAAAAATACTATTTTGGATGTTTCTTTTTATTACCGTTGCCACAGAGATTAGCAATAGCTCCAGCAACCATGCGTAAGGTTTGCGGATCCTCTGCGTCTGCAGCTGTTAAGGATAGCAAGCTGATTCCACCTTGGTCCACGATCAATTGTTGACTCACTTCTGTTAACCAAAGTGTCCACAACCCAAATCAATACTCTGTTTCTGCTTTCACCATCTCTCTAATCATATAAATTAATCAGTATAATCACTATCACTAAGAGAGTTTACCGTTCATTGCGAGATTTGCAATTGCACCAGCGGCAACTCTTCGCACAGTTTCATCTTCGTAACTTCTGAGAAGCATCAGCAATGATGTAAGACCTCCAGCTTCAACGATCTTTTCCTGATTTGCCTCTGCTCAAGTAAATAATAGCTAAACTATGAGAACCTAGACCCCCCAAATAACTGAGCCTCAGAAATGTCTAGGAGTGAGCAAAAGTTACCTTCAGCTGCCAGATTGGCCACAACTTTCACAGCATGAATTCGGATGTTCGCATCATCGGACTCGAGCAATTGCAATATCTTTTGTAGACCCACTGTTTCAAAGAGGATGTCAAGTTATAAGAACCGCCAAGACAGTTTTTGTACATGCTATGGTTCAAACATAGTAGAGTATATTTCCATTACCTTGTTCACAAAGTGTAGCAAATGGTGCCTTCTGTCCATTCATTGATTCTCTTGCTTCGGAATTGGAATGACGTGATGGTAATAAGTCCGTGCCAGAGTATGAATTCCCAGGGGCATCTCTGTCAAAGCATCTTCTCATCTGGAAGAACAAGGCTCAACTATTAGATAACAAAACGAATATTACCAACATTGAGTTGTTATCAAGTACAAGAAGCAGGTTCTATGTGCCTCATAATCACAAAAGCTAGACTAAAGGACTTGCTTGTACTATTCCCAAAGCATTTGCAAAGAGAGCAAGTGATGGAGACTAATCCTTTATCTCATGTATAAAGACAATTGCCTCAGGAGTGACCGATACACATTCTGAATTTGTAAACTTTGTACCTGGTCAGCTTCAAAAGTAAGCTGCACAAGTTGACTTCGTAATATGGTGACCTCTTCTTCAAGTTTCTTTTTCTGAAGAGCCTCATCCTCCAGCAGTTTTTGTAGTCTTAATATTCCAGCATCTTCGCCTTCCTAAAACGCCAGAGAGCTTGGTTCAATAGCAGAGGAGAGAGATAAAGAGAGAAAGAGAAAGAGAAAGAGAAACTGGGAAGTTAAAGAGCGGGTACCCCTGATCTTGTCTTCACTATTGACTGGCCTTTTAGTTTGGTAACTTCCTCTTCAGCTGCCTTCCTTAACTTTATTTCATTCTCAAGTGATTCTTTTAGCTTCGTGAGTTCACTAGCCGTAACAAACCCATTGACCTGCAAAGCAATATTTATTGGTTAAAGGTTCACACTCCCATCACCTGAAAAGCAAACAAGAGTTGTCTTGGAAAGTACCTCTACGTTGCGTTTACCATTTGATATAAGTTTTTCTTCAAGCTTCTTCACCGACTCCATGTATTCCATTTGACACTTTAGTTTTTCTTTCTGTAAACAGAATATTAAACATTGTTACCCGATGCTGAAAGGTACTCAAACAAGACACGGATATGATTTTGCATAAACTAACCTCTAAGGCCTCTGCAAAGTTCTTTTCAACTTCTGAGATACGATTTTGAGCTTGCCGATTTATTCTCTCCACATCATCATCAAATGCTTTCAGCTGCCTCTCATTTTCAGCAATCACCTTATCCAGTTGGACCTCAAGTTTCTTGGACAAACTCTTGTAATCAAACTCTTCCTTTATCTTTAACATATTCTCTACCTTCATTGCCTGCCCAAGATTTAAAGTACTTAAAGGATTTGAAATGTCTCAAAAGACTTGTAAATTTACGGGTTGGGTAAAGTTAGTGAAAACCCACCCTTTGACCAAATAATATAGTACTTGTCGTCTCTCCTCTGTGACGCGGGGAGGGACCAATGGTCACAATTAGGGATGTTCTTGCTGTGCCTAAAATGCAAACAAGAGATATAATACAGAAAAAACAAAAAAAAAAATTTAGGAAAACGAATTCAAGACACCACAACTCAGCATATGAACAAGACTAACCACCAAATGAATCTCTCAACAAGCGAGTAAGCTTGGAATCACGAAGTGGAACGTGAGGGCTATTCTCGGCTATGGCATTTATGCATTTCCCTAAAGCACTAAGCGAGAGATTAATGGATTTAGCTTCCTCCAGCATGTGGCCTTCGCTGCCTGCATTGCGAAAAAAGAGAAGGAACTGAGTAAAAGTGTGATGTAAAAGAGCTTTGAGAAGCTAGCTCATTTGATACATACCAGACTTGTGAACACGTTCAGAGCCAGCAAGATCTACTAGAACAAGCTTGCTTCTTCTCACAAGTGGCTTCGATGGTCTGACAAAGTGAGATGAGTTGTCCACTTCATTTGAGACTGAATCCTCGTTTTCCACCACCGACCTCTTGACATGTACCTGAACTATTGATCATGCATCAACACAAGATAACAACAATAGAGAAGAAGGGGGGAAAGGAGGTGAATTACCATGAGAATAGCATGACTTCTCGAAGATTCAGTATTCAGTTTTGTGTTGGCAGCAACTCTATGTGTTTCCCCAAGCTGAAGTAGGTCGAGGAAAGTTTGTTGGTTCCTGATCTCAACATGGGTAGCCCCTGGCAAGGAGACATCTCCCGTTCTGGGGTCCTCAACAATTGCAATATTGTCATTAGTTGGGTCCAGAAGATCTTGGATGGTCTCCATATACAGCTGGGAATACAAAAAGAATGAACAAACTAGTTGTTACAAATTACACTCAATCAATTGAGAATAGTTAGGAAATCCGGGAAACGAAAGAAACCTGTAAATAGGAGACAGAGACGGAATCAGTCTCAAGAGAAGTTCCTGCAATGATGTCTTCCATTGAGCGAACCATGATACCACGAGCAGCTGTATCTTCATCTCCCAATCTTCCAAGCGTAAAAGTCTTTCCGGTACCGGTCTGACCATAAGCCATCACAGTTCCATTGTATCCCTCAAGAACACTCTACAGACACGAAACAGTAATTCATTGTGAAGATGAAGAGAGGAAAAGAGAAGAGAGAAAGAGAGAAAAGAGAAAGACACCTCTACAACAGGCTTCGCAACCACTTGGTAGACTCGCTTTTGTGAAGCAGCTTCGGTAAGCACTTCATCAAACTCGTAAGTCTCCGTGTCCCAATTGTTTTTCCTCAGTTTCAACCTTTTAAGCTTAACAAAAAATTAAACAAGAGTCAGTGATTGACTTCGGGTTTCAATTCAATTCGATTCAATTAACAAACAATTGGGGAGAGAACCTCAGGTTGCAGCTCAACGCAATCAGCAAAATCAGCATCTGCCACCGACTCATCGGCATTTCGAGGTCGTAATCTCACAGCCACTCGGACTCTCCCAGGCACTGCTAACACGTGGAAACTGGAAACTCAACAATCCAAACCTCTTTTGTTTCACTAACACAAATGACAGCTAAGCTCAACAAATAATATGAGTAAATTAAGAGAGTGGTAATAAGGGACCTCCATTGTCTCCGGCAGAAGCTCCTCCCAGAGAAGCAGAGGAGTTCCGGCGGGGAGCAGGCGCCGACGAAGGAATCCTCGATTTGAAAGAAGACGATCTGAGATTGGAGGAATTAGATGCAGAGATGGGTCTCATGGATCCTCTAACCACACCATTTCTCGAAGACGCCATTGCCATTTGCTCTCTCTCTAATAATTCAAGTCTTCTCCACCTCCAGACGGCGGTTTTTGCTAATTAAATAACCTCAAATTCAAAACCAAGAAATGAGGCTCTTACAGAAGACGAGGGCTTTTCTTTTGTTTTGTTTTAATTAAACAGTAGTGATGATGGTGGAGGAGGATGGCGGGTCCCACACTCGTTCGTATTTGAATGAGGACAGAGACAGTCGTTGGGGTTAATTGGGTCCCATTGTGTCAAAAAAGAGTACCTCACTTTACCTTTTTACCCTTACGAACGGTGGTTCTGTGCAGTCCTCCAGTCCAGGTAATGGCCGCTTTGATTGCGCCGAACGGGTCGGAACAAAGTTATTCGTTTCTATTGGGACCGGGTCCGGTTTGGCTGAGCCCATTTATAGATTTTGGAAGGCCCACGTGGATTTCTGCCAAGAACGCAACATGATTTCTCATAAATTTGGACACATTTCTAAAGTTTGAAACTTTATTTATGGAATTTTGTGTGTTTCAGATATTGATGATCATTATGATCGTGCAATAAGATGGTCAACTGAATCATACTAGACATAAAAAAGATTGTGTAATAATAATACAAAACATGTTTCTAAGGACAATGATTGGTAATAATCAAGTACAAACTTTTTATCAGCAAAGAGAACCATTCGGCGACATTTGACTTAACCAGCAAGTGGATTGGCGTGGATCGTCACACGGTTTAGCCTTATCTCAGCAAGCGGCCTATCTCTGGGACCTGTTTGAGTCTGCAAGAGCTCACAATCACATCATTTACGTAAGTTTTGATTTCAATTCACCAATAACTCAAAACCATTCTTCTTCAGGGAGAAAACATAAATATTTGGTCGAGAAGCTTGGTTTACCTTCTCCATAATGTCAAGTACTTCGAAGCCATGGATGACTTTGCCAAAGATGGTGTATAACCCATTGAGATGTGGTTGTTTTGCATACGTCATGAAGAACTGGCTTCCGTTTGTGTTTGGGCCACTGTTTGCCATTGCGAGCATCCCTCTTGCATTGTGCTGCAACGAGAAGACAATGGCATCAGCCAAATTATCAACAACTAAACAAGCCTCGACTAGAGATAACTATGAACCATATCCGTCTAGTTCCATGAAAACAAAGAGCTCCTAAATGGCTTGCACAAGCGGCTATTGGTATGGCTATGGCAGGCAGATGACATAGGCAGCTACTTCAAGTCAATGGAGTTGTTACCTCATAGGGTTTCTAAGTCTAATAGATTCTGAGTTTCAACAACAAGCCATGACACATTTATGATCCCTTTGCAGAAGATGAACAAACACACACACACACACTTGGGAGAATAAGCTGAGGATGCGATACCTTAAGGGATTCTCGTATCTCGTCGTTGAATTTCTTTCCCCAGATGCTAGTTCCTCCTTTCCCGGTTCCACTAGGGTCTCCTCCTTGAATCATGAACCCTTTGATATTCCTATGAAATATAGTCCCATCGTAGTAGCCACTAGCACATAAAGCCAAAAAGTTCTGCAACAAAATGAAAATCAGAGCCCAAGTGTCAAGGTGCAAAAATCATCAAAACTTACATCAATGCCTGAGACAAGTAGCTCATGGGTATTAAGAGCCAATGAGGACGCATTTAAACACCACAAAATTCAGCAGAAGTAATCACGGAAAAGAATCTCCCCTAATCATCTCACTCAAGCAACCCTAATTTTGGAAAAATACTCCATACAAGAACCCAGCAGAGATATTAGCTAATTGAACAATACAGGACGAGAAAATCAATTTGAATTTCGTGATTCGCCTCTCTACTGGATCAACAGGACTGATTTTGCAAACACCCAAATCGTAAGAAAAGAAATCAAAATTGAAACCGAGAAGCATAAGGTGGGTGAAGGAACTAACCTCAGCACTTTTGGGAACCTCGTCACAGAAGATCTCGCACTTTATGTCCCCGAGATTCGTGTGCAGAGTTACTGACTGCGCGCACAAGACGATGACGAAGACGAATAATAAGAAGCAGGAAACTCCACAGTCTATAAACAATATACCCAATAAAAAAAACTAAATGGAAGGAGAGATCAAGGTCTCACCATTGACGCGACAGTGCTTGGAAACGCCAAATCCGAGAGAGAGAGAGAGAGAGAGAGAGAGAGCTTTAGCTGCTTTCTAGTTTCTAGTTCCTCGCTCGCTTTTGGCGCTTTTGTTCTCGAGCTTTCTGCAGTATAAAACGACGTCGATGCCTTGTACTAATGGGGCATTATATGGGCCACGTTTATAAGATGAAGAAAGTTGGTCCAATAAGAAAACAACAAAAATGCGGCGCTTCGAACCCAATCTGATTATTTTCACACTCTTTCTCTAATTCATAACATCGAGTCCATGGCGACCGACCCGCCCTCTTCCGCCGCCACGGCCACTACCGCCGGCGAGATTGTTACCGCAGAATATAAACTGCCTCGATCCATATACGACTTGACGGCGGATTTCTTTGACTCGTGTCGGTTGTTGAATCCCTCGGTCCGGTTAGGACCTTTGGTTTCAGTTATACCCGCTTTCGATCCGGATAAAAGAGACGAGGCGGAGGAGAAGAGTTCCAAGGAGGGCGTGGTTTTGGATAGATGGACCTGTAACACTTGTAAAATTGAGTTCGTATCTCTCCAGGATCAACGCTCGCACTTCAAGTCGGATATTCATCGGCTTAACGTATTTTCGCTATTCTTAACTTGTAGACATAAATTCGATAGGTAATCACTCGATTTGATTTGGTTCATGTGCTCGTAGATCAAGCTGAGTGTTGCTGGAAAGTCCATTTTGAAAGAAGAAGATGTTGATGAGCTGACATCTGAGTCGGTCCAAGACTATGATGTGTCCAGTATCTCAGGATCAGAGGACGAAGCTGAGGCGAGACCCTTATTCCACTTTGATGCTCAAAAGGGCATTGACAAAAAGAAGCTCTTTTTCCGTCTTCAAAGCGGCGAGAAAGTTTCCATCTGGAAATGCTTGATCATGGACGAGGCTGAAAGCGTTTCATACGGAGTTTCTGTTGATGATTGCGGGAGTTTGGGCGAGATTGAAGTCACTGCCAGGTTGAGAAATTTGATTCGAGAGAATACGGATGACAGGCAAATGCGCGTCGTGCTGCTTGCTAGTGGTGGCCACTTTGCCGCTAGTGTCTTTAATGGAAAGTCGGTTGTGGCTCATAAGACATTCCACAGGTACTTTGTCGATTCTTTTTTTGCACATTTAGATCCAACTCTCTGAGAAAATATGATCAGTGTCACTTGTATCAAAACATATATGCAACATTGAGCTTCCCTGAGTCTTGTGCAAATGGGTCTTCTCCTCTAATTCCCTTTCCCATGTACAGATACGTTATAAGAGCCAAGGCTGGTAAAAAGCAGTCCACAAAAGATGCAAGCGGGAGAAGTATACACTCTGCCGGAGCCTCCCTTCGTCGTTATAACGAACTTGCTTTGAAAAAGGTTCGTCTCTCAACTTGCTGTCATTGTTTGCTACTGTTGCCTTCGTCTTTCAACCAGAGATAACCAAAGGTCTTTGTGTTTCTGATTGACAATATTTCTACGTCCAAAAGTGAAATGTAACTCTGATCATCCTTTTTCGACCTTGTTAGGATATTCAAGAGCTACTTGCTAGCTGGAAGCCTTATTTTGATGGCGCTGCTTGTGTTTTTATCCATGCTCCCTCAAGCAGTAGGCAATTGCTTTTCAATGGAGGCAAACCATATTTTAGCAGCCAAAACTGTGCTGTGCGAAACGTTCCGTTTACTATCCGGCGGCCAACCTTCAAAGAATCACAGCGTATATATAATCAGTTGACTCAGGTTGCATATGTAACTGAGGAAATTTTTGCAAATCCACCAGAGGAAGCGAAAGCTAAAACTGTGGTGCACGCCCACACTGAGGATTCTTCTGGTGAAATCTCAAGACAGGAAGAGCATGATGAAACTTTATCTACCAGCATGATCTTAGAGGAACCAAATCTTATAGAAGAGGATCTCGGGGATGGAGTTGCTGGTACGTCAACTCCATTACATGAAGCTGCTAAATCTGGTGATGGTTCGAGAGTTCTGGAGTTGTTGGAGGAAGGTATGGATCCTTGTGCTAAGGATGAAAGAGGCAGAGCACCATACATGCTTGCAGATGACAAGGAAGTGAGGAACACTTTCAGGCGGTTTATGGCGTCAAACCTTGAAAAATGGAATTGGCATGATGCTAAAGTACCCAGCCCGCTCACCAAAGAGATGGAGGAATCTCAAGCTGCCAAGCAGGTACTTTGCATTGATTTGTTATTTGTTGGCTTGAGAAGTTTGGTAAGGATTTCGTATCAGGCAAACATATGTCTAGTGCACAGCTCATTTCCTTTGTGGTGGGTTGGGTTTTAGGGTCTGATGTCCGCCAAATGCATTCATTGATATGGTGTTGTATGAAAGTTATGCATCCATGATCCCATGATTTTGAATATGAGTCTCGCATGATCTTGTATATGATTGCGAAGAGGCATCTGGATACATATGGGACTCTGAATCCATCATCTGACTGAGTTGTGAATCTTGTGATTGTCCAGGCAGAGAAAGACGCCAAGAAGAAAGCAAGAGCAAAAGAACTGAAAAAACTACGGAAAGCCCGAGAAAAGAAGGCTCAAGTAACGTTTAAACCAGATACTTATACATAACAAAACTCGGATTAACTTGTTAAACTAACTCTCCTTATGTGTTGCAGGCGGAGGCTGAGAAGGAGAAACCGATCTCAAAAGTGGTGAGCTTCACAAACCTACTATCTAATATAATTATGTGATATCTAAAGGAGAAGCCAGGTGATGAACATGTGGTTTCTCTTGTAAATAGGAGGAAGTGAGGAGAGCAATGGCGGCCGAGAGGGAGAAGAGAGCAGCGGCTGCAGAAAGACGGATGGCAGCACTTAACACTCAAAGCAGTTCAACGACATGATCATGATCATCATCATCTGGGAGCGACATGTGTTCATATTGTCATGTGTCATTGGCCGGTAAGGTTCCATTTCACCGCTACAAGTTCAAGTGTTGCATTACGTCATGTATGCATCTTCATCCTGAGATTAAAGAAGAAAGGTGACAAGTGAAGCAGTCTCTGTATGGGAACCATCAAAAAGGTTTTTCGTTCTTGAATATTATTCCGACAATTTTCATCTCCAAGTGACCCCAATGTTGTCACTTGTCAGCGACAAATATACAAACGATGTTGTCAAATTATAATTTGATAACGTGTTAAGTGAGATGCTCCTCGTTTAGTTTTCATTTGAATTTAATATTATGTCTTCCACGAGGAAATCGAATCCAAAGTGCACAACGTCACCCACTGTTTGTCGTCAAATATATTTGGCCACGATTTTAGACCGTTGATGAAGCTTGCAATCAATGATGTCGTTTTACAGTAAACAAAAAACCAAAAAATTGTCGCAAACTCGAACAGTCCAACTTTTTTTTATTGATTTCATTAAAAAAAAAGATGTGAAACTCAAAGATCAGAAGAGGAGAGGGATAAGTGAAGGGCATGCTCTGCTTCCTTGAGGAAGAGTCTTGTGAGTTGCTTCTGGCCTCTACGGTAGACCACACTTGACCACTTGTTTCTGCTCATCCTCCTTCTCCCTTCTTCCTCCAACTCCCTATATATATATATATATATAGATATATATATATATATATATATATATATATATATATCCCATTTTGAATTTGTATACTTAATCAGGTTAACAAACCCCTACTTCTCTGATATATGAGTTATCAACATTGTTTGTACCTCGGCTCTTCGTGGCTCTCTAAGACGCATGCCTCCTCAAGACGCCGAGTATCTTGTTCTTCACTGCCCGAATTCTCTTCCAGTTTCATCATCCTGTCACGGAAATAATGAATAGCTTCATAGTTTATCCAAACAAACATTTGTAGCTAGCTCTTAACATCACAGGTAAGAAATTCAATTGCTTACTTTGAATTAAGGAGATCCACAAGTAGCTGCAGTGCTCCACAATCCCCGCATGCTTCCCAAACCGCCATCCTCACCTCAGTATCACAAGGTTGCTCCTCTGGTCTTGACTCTACAAGCTTTTCCCCAGGAGACACAAAACACTCTTTTCTCAATTATTATCTAGTTCCCTCCCAACTCACTTCTTTCAGCAATGAGATATCTTCTAGGATTTGGGTTTTATTAAGTTTGAAGCACTGACACAAGGGGAAAAAGTGATCATACCTCTTCAAGCATAGCTGAGACCTTGTAAATCTCATCTTCTTGCATGGCAATGGTCCTCAACCCAGTCATGAAATCTTCTGGGAAAACTAGCTTTTTCATGTATGAGGGCATCTTGCGCTGCCCAGACCAACTGAAATTACAGGATCTCACTGTTTCCTTCTCATCGCTTTCTCTGGCTTTTGATCTCGTCTGTGGGAAAAACCCATCATCCAGCAGCGACTTTGGCAGTAGACACCGGAGTTGAGCTTTCTGCAATTACATTTTGCAAATCAATTCTAAATCAAATGTATTAGAGTATGCATCATCGTGATGATTTCAGGTCTATGCTGATATCATTGACAAGACTTGTACTCCTAACCTGGGCGTCAAGAAGCTGTCCCTTGGTATCAGAAAAGGGGATACTCGGAATCGCCTCCACAGGATAATGTACCTGAATCAATCCCAATGTTATTCCTAACAACACATGTAAGAACATAATCATCTTGATCGTGAAACATTCTCTAGAGGAAGCAAAGTATTACCATGAGATAATCATCTGGATTGTTCTCAATCACAAATCCGTACAGGTAAAGAAGCTCCTGCATACACCAAGAACGCAAACCACTCAAATAAAAAAAACCTAAATCCTTGCACAAGATATTCAAGCAAACAAAAAACACATCTTCAACTGGAAATCAAACAGGATCATTCAATTTGATTTTCCATTGAAGCTGCCAGGAAATGCAAAATGTCATACCTCATTTCCTTTGTTACCATAACTGATCGAGATCTCCTTGTTTGGGATACGATTTTGTGCAACTGTTCAGTTTACAGAACATACATATCAAAAAGAAGAGAGGAAAAGAAATGTTGGATATGGTTTATAGATATTTATTTGTTGAAAGTGAGAGGTAAAGGTAACGCAAACAAATATTTGACCAACCGGAGAGAAGGTACATGGAGAAAGGAACTCTAGATACTGATCCGGTCCCATCAACTTCCCAAGTCGCCACAGGCTTCAAATCTAAACATATTACAGCGGAATATATTCATTACACCACATCAACCTACAGTAATGGGACAGAGAAAGAAAAATTGGCATACCATGGTTGCAAAAGTCAATGCCGGGAACAAGCCCTTCAACCCACACGGTATCTCCGGGTGCTATAGATGCCGGGCCAGAGACTGCAGCCTGAATATCTACCCCATAAGAAAATGACCAAACCCATCAAGGACCTTGTAAAAAGAAGAAATGGCATTTCACGTAGAATCAGCAAAGCGATATTAATGGCTTGCCTTTTTCCCCATTCGTTTCAATGGTATGACTTGTTCCCCCAACATCTTCCTGGCTTTGTGGGAACACGAAAGAATGTGGAAGAGGTATGTTCAAGGCACGACTCCAGAATACAGAATTAGCCCTGGCGTTACGAAAAAGGTCTCATGATCACTCAGGAGCCCTTTTCAGCATACTAAACTATTGATTCTGCTAAAGACAAATAAAAAAAAACAAAACAGTGGCCAACAACATACCAGAGAAAGTGTTCAAAGGAGACTTCGCTGCACGAAAAGAGAAAACAAGATATGATTGGGATTTTGCATCTAAAGTAGTAGCTGGTGTAGATATGTGTAAAGTCTGTAAACCTTTCAGAACCGCCATCCAAAAGAAGAAGCTTTTTCATGAGGCCCTCCACTTGCTCATGGAAAAGTGACACCAACTTCTTCTTCTGAAAAGGAAGTAACGACTAACGAATTCACCATGTAAGGAGAAAAAGTGGCAAACAAATGTCCGACGAATATTATATTTACCTGTAACTCGGTTGCATGATACAAGTTAGTCCCTTTGAGCTCAAGGAGCTCATCATCGGAAAACCAAAGAGGATTGCCGAATCGAGTGGGAAGCATATCAAGATACCTACAACAACATATGGCTTACTTATCAATGTTTCAAAGTTCAAACTAAATATATCTTTCGTCAAGTACTACAAACTCACGGCTTCCAAGAAGAATTTTGACGGAGACGCTCGAAAGTGAGGAACAAAATCATGAGAAGGCGGTCATCAACTTGTCCTTGTTCGAACATTTTCTGACACTCGGGGCCCAGCAGAGGCTCCTGAAGAACTCTCATTGGGGTGATGGCCAAATGAAGCGGAACAACAAGCAACACATCTGACATTTTCCCACATAAACTCATCTATCATAAGTTTTAGACATTTTGTAATCAATTCGGTAAGCTGATATTTACCATCGGAAGTTTCAGTGGAGGTGGAGGCGGAGGCGAAAATGCCAAATCCTTTTCGGGAATCGGAATAGTTGATGTTGCAGCCTCGTAATTCAGCTCCATTCACCTGAAATTATCATCGGAAACCCATGAGATACAAGAAGAAGAAGAAGAAGAAGAAGAAGAAGGAAACACAAATGACACGATAAGAAACACAAGACTATTCAACCTGAAGCCAGTCTAGGAACACTTCGAGTTTCGCTTTTTCTTCTGATATCGCCATTCTCCGGCGAAGATATCAAAAACGCCGGAAACGGGCTTTAGAAAAGTAGAGGTTTTTTCAGTGGTTTTGCCAAAATCTCGATTCCGATTTGGTAAACCGAAAACCAAATAAGCCAACCAAATTGAACCAAACCCGAAGAACCGGCGTTAAGTCCATCGTTTAACTCTTCCATACGCCAAATCAGAAAAGCTTCGAGATTGGCAGAGGGAGAGAGAGAGAGAGAGAAGAGAAAGTCGAAGAAGCAGTAGCAATGGCGTCGGATTTGCCGGAGGCAACGGTACAGAACATCCTGGACCAAGAGTCTCTTAAATGGGTTTTCGTGGGAGGGAAAGGAGGTGTGGGGAAGACGACTTGCAGTTCGATCCTCGCAATTTGTCTCGCCAGTGTTCGATCCTCCGTTCTCATCATCTCCACCGACCCTGCTCACAATCTCAGTGATGCGTTTCAGCAACGCTTCACTAAATCGCCCACTTTGGTCCAAGGCTTCTCCAATCTCTTTGCCATGGTATTATGCTTTCCTCCCCCAATCTCCTTTCCTAGATCCTACTCTTGGGATTTGATCTTATCATTCAATTGGGCTCTTTGCAAAATTCGCTTGATTTTGAGGTGGAATTCAGTAAGCTAGGTTTAGTGCTTGTCTAAATTTGGGGAATAGACTTGGAGACGAAATTGTATCCTTCACATGAATCTGACGTATCTGTGAGGGAAATTTGGCAATTGTAGTTAAAATTCAATGTCAATTCGAAAATTCTTGTTTTTCTTTTTCTGGATCGCCTCTAAGAGTAAGTCTTGATGATGAGTTTATGGCTTCTCTTCTTAAGCTTGAAGCTCTTAGGTGTGTGTGTGCGTGTATGTATATAACTATATACACATACTATAACCAAATGATTCACATTCCCTCACCTCTTGATAGTTGATAGTTGATAGTGAGTCTTGTTTGCTTTTCTCAGGAGGTGGATCCTACCGTCGAAACTGATGACATGGCTGGTCCCGAAGGGATGGATAGTTTATTCTCTGATCTGGCTAATGCGATTCCTGGAATCGATGAGGCTATGAGTTTTGCTGAGATGTTGAAGTAAATATTACACTCACCATCCTCTTATCTTTCTCTAACAATTTACTTATGCTGTTATCAACAACAAAGTTACGTTTTGACATGCTTATGTTTCCTTAGGTTGGTGCAAACAATGGATTATGCAACTATTGTGTTTGACACAGCTCCAACTGGGCATACTCTCCGCCTGTTGCAGTTTCCTGCCACACTCGAGAAGGGACTTTCGAAGTTGATGTCGTTGAAGAGTAGATTTGGTGGCTTGATGAATCAGGCATGTCTTTAAGCTTGTGGAAAACTCGATATTCTTGGCAATTGATAGTTTCTCTTTGGGTTGACTGATTTTTCGAATAACTGGTTGGTGTTGCAGATGAGCCGTATGTTTGGCATAGAGGATGAGTTTGGGGAAGATGCTCTCTTGGGAAGACTCGAGGGCTTGAAAGATGTGATTGAACAAGTAAATCGGCAATTTAAAGACCCGGTAACATTTGCTTCCTTGCTTTTTTTTTTCAGTAACTCGTGACCGTTTCATGATTCTGTAGTTGTACATTTCGCATTCGTATTTGATAGCATGTATCTGCATTGGTGAATTCTGATTCTGCTATTTGATAAACGCAGGATATGACAACGTTCGTTTGTGTCTGCATCCCTGAGTTCTTGTCTCTCTATGAAACAGAGAGATTAGTACAGGAACTCGCAAAGTTTGAGATTGACACGCATAACATTATCATCAACCAAGTACTATACGACGATGAAGGTGCCTACTTTTTTGCACTTGTGCCTCTCTTCTCGTTTCAAACTTGTTTTTTGGTACAAAAAAATTAACGACTATTCTCACTTGCCTCTTCTGTAGATGTGGAATCCAAGCTGCTTAGAGCAAGGATGCGGATGCAGCAGAAGTATCTTGATCAGTTTTATATGCTATACGATGACTTCAATATTACAAAACTCCCTCTGCTTCCGGAAGAGGTAAGAAGGCTCAGAGACTAAAAGGAACATAACTGGAAATCGATCCAAAACCAAAGACTCGATACTGTGAAGATATAGCATAGATGCTGAGATTGAAACTTGTTGTGGATGTTTGAATGACAGGTGACAGGGGTTGAAGCCTTGAAGGCGTTCTCACATAAGTTCTTGACTCCGTATCAGCCCATCACAAGCAGAAGCAATGTAGAAGAGCTGGAGCGGAAAGTACACACATTGCGTTTGCAGTTGAAAACAGCTGAAGAAGAACTCGAACGGGTCAAGAGTGGCTAAAGAGAAGGCTTTCTTCTTCCCTTTAGTCTTTGTGAAACAGATCCTCGGAACTCACTCACTTTCCACATGGCATCTTCTGGATCTTCCTTTTTATTGAGTTTCTGTTTTGAGCAATTTATAGGTGGAAAATTGTAATGTCTTCTTTTTCTCAATGTCTTTCTCCCTCTACTTCTTCATCTGGCAAAGAAACTCTTTATAGGACAGGACAGGGGATCAAACGAAATCATCTTTTGGGTTTATTTTTCAGTTGTAATAATCAAAGACATACGTATTAGTGCCGGATTAGTTTCTGTCGATCAATTCGAATCTACAGAAAAGCCTTTGCTTTGATTGTTTTGAAAAGAGCATTATTTGAATTAAAAAAAAAATTTACAGGGAAACTCAATTCATACGTTTATTCAAAAGATTGATGAACTCAACATGGTGTAAGAAATCTTAAAGATAGCATAAAAAATAAATGCCAAACTATCAACAACTCGAATCAGTCATTTCTATCAACAATTAGATTAGACGAGGGTATGTATAATCATTTCTATGTCTGCATATATCAAATGGTTAGATTCTCTTGTATGGCTATGAAGGATCCGACAATGTTACCTCCTACGTCCGGGAACGTCTCACTCCCGGGAAGTGGTCGGACTTTACCTTTCCGATCGATTTCCACTGGATACTTCAACAGATGTCCTCTCATGTCTGAGACTTCTTCAGCTGCAAACTGCATCCAGTTTCTCTCCGCCATTGTTCTCACTTTCCTAACACATTCTATACTCTCCGGTTGCGTGAAACAGTCGTCTAGTGTTGCCATATGCTCTGCCCAAAGCGACATTCTGTATCCATAGATCTGCACAGGAGGAACAAGAATCAATGATCCAAAGCTCTAGCTACAGCTGGGAATATAATGTCGTCATTTTCTTTTATAAAGTCCTCACCTGACCCCTAGGACCAGACTGTTTCCTTGCCCATGTATGCTGAGGCTGATAAGCTCCCATTGCAATCTCTGTATCTCTTGTGCCTTCCATTGATCGTTGGTTTATGTTTGCCGATCCAATTACTACGTATTCATCGTCTACTACCATCCCTTTCGAGTGAACATAGATCATAAATCTTCTGCTTTTCCTACTCAATGCCTGCAAATCGTTCGAATTAACAACATGAACAGCAAGTTTAACACAATGCAGCTCCGGTTTCGTTACCTGAGGAGTGTTTGCGTTGCTTGGACTTCCTGTTCCCGAGTTATCGATTCCATCCACCATTTCCCTGTTGCCAAGACAGAAGAAAATGAGGTAATCTTGTGGGGAGAATGCTCCTTCAAGCCCGGTCTCTACTAATGCTTTGTAGATAGTCTCATACATCATCTGCATTGTCTTGTGCTGCAACGATAAGACCAAATCATGTAAGAAACACGAAGCATACATCTCACCTTTAAATCATACTGATAACAATAACATATGGATCCATCACGTGTTTATAGTACCTAGTACTAGTTTGCGTTATACTTTTAAATTTAGGCTCACTCAGGCAAATACCTGCCAATACAGAATCCTCTGGGTAGCAGCACCGGTTGGAACACCTTCTGGCCACATTGGAATGACAATATATGCAGCAAACCGTTCATTTGCCCTAATCTTCTCAGCTATCTTCAACGCGATTTCCATCGGAATCAAATTATTCGCACCTACACAACAACACATTGTATAGCAAGCACTGTTGAGAGCCAATGCAACTCAGGTTTAAAAAGCAAAAAAAAAAAGCACAGTACAGACAATATATACACAAGCAAACCTATGTCTTTGTGCGCATTCCAGTTGTAGGAAGACCCAATGAAATACTGATTCTCAATATATATGAAGTGTTGAGCTGCACGAATGGCCTTGACATACGCTGTGTGTATGCTCATATCAATGAGCACGTTCTTCCCACACACCAAGTTCTATCCAAAACAAAAACACCTTTTCTTGGTTTAATTTTTCCAAATATTTAGACACCCAAACTTAATATGGTAGCTAAAGTCACCTTGCATGTAGCATCTTTTGGATCCTTTGGAAAACCTTTCACAGAGTTTGAATCAATTGAACGGAAAATCTGTATCAAACCAGAGAAACATCAGCTTAGCCTGCGTAATATGAACCACCACCATAAAGAAATCATTCTCTTGGACATTTTTGATGTTCTCACCTGAACATGCCAAGCCTCAGGATCGTTCTCACTAACAGTAGGAGTATCAGAAACTCCTACTATATCTGGAATCCTATCGATCCTTAACAACGCATCGTCATAGGAAGTCTTAAACTTCTTGATCCCGCTAGGCTTCGCAGCCTTCAACCATCTCTCCTCAAAGTTGGTCAGCACATCATACGCAGCCGGGCCATCGATCTTACTGTGTAAGTCATGCCACGGCTCTCTTGGACATCCGGAAAGGTTTCCCTGATGAAATGATTAGAAATTAGCTTTTTGCCTGCAGTATCTAGTTAAAAAAGAAACATATGAAGCCAGACCAAAGACTAAATCCAGTTGAACAATTTTAAGATCACATTTCCATAAAACGAACAGATTACGCTCCTAGATACTGTTCAAGGTAACTGCTTACGCAAGATTCTAAAACGAACGAGGATATTAAGAAACTGTACCGTAAAAGTGGGGTTGTGAAAATCATCTTTATGAACTGTATGTAGGGTCCTGAACAAGGGATGTTGAGGAGTGTCATATCGGCCATCACACAGATCAAGCCCGCCGACAAAAGCTACAATTTTCCTTCTGTTAGCACCAGCGTCGGCATCCACTATTACGTTTTTTTGGTGATGTGTATAGATTGTCCCAACTTCCTGGTGGAGTAAAACTTCATTACAAGCTGGACACCTGGTTTAACCAAAAATAAAAGGAAAGTGGTAAGTGATACTATACCCTCTGCTTGACCCAACTGTGTCGCTTTCCAGCATTACGGGCGCAGAGCAGGACTTGAACTGAGGAGTGCTTGAAGAAACGGCGTGTCTCCTCATCATGGGTTGCCATAACGCCATCCTGTACCGTTGCCAAGTTGAGTCAAGCGATCAAACTAATATGAAACACACAAGCCATGCCAAATAGACATGGCACATATCTCGAGATGTAGTAGTAGTTACTACATGAAACAGGCTTTTCCAATGTATAAATACTAAATTTTCAAACTCATGTGACTTGATGATTTACAATGGAAATTGTTAATATAAGAAGGAAGAAATGTCATGATACAAGAGCTATCGATTGATGAAGCTCTAAATATGTTGAGAAAATAAGGAACAAAAGCAAAAAGAAACGGTAGCTTAGGGTGTGCGTAACGTACTGTTTTATAACCCAAGATGCTACGTGAAGTCGGGTCATCCCAAATCAAAAGCAGGACCCTAACACCTTCTTGGGACTTTGATCTAAGGAGCTCACCAAGAGTACATTCTGATGCCGGACCTGCTTTATCCCGAACGAGCCTGACTTTGTGCCACACAGACCAGCCCGTGATATAAATCAGACGCCTCGCCTGGCGTATGGCATCAAACATATCATGCCAACACTTGCCATGTTCGTAAGACATCCCATTGTCTAGTCTAATACTCGGGAGCATACCGTCTGGGACATGAGCATCCTGGTACAGTCTCACAGTTCCGCCTTTTCTAAGCGGGAAATAAGTTCCAGGAACACCCTGGTAATCAGGACCTGCCCCAACTCCATGATGATAGACACTAAGTTTCTCCATAGGAGTGTACTGGATGGATAACGATAAATTTGCCCCTGGTTTACAAGGCTTGCCACTACTGTTAAGAATCGGATAAGTTCCTTCAATTTTGGCACCTGAGAAAATCTGTTCCACCGGGATCGTAACCAATCCTATGAGCTGTGAACCCACAACATCACTGTCTTTGACAACAAAATGAACTTGTGCAGCATGATGAGCGACAGGGACGTAAAAGTGTTGCATCCAAACAGGATTCTCGCTGTTGCTCATAACATAAGTTCTTCCAATGACAGCACCAGCGACTGATACAGAAACGTAAGGATCACTGGTGATCTTCCTGGTAAGCTGCCCTTCGATTTTGCCTGGCAATCTTCCAAACATGTCACCCAGAGTCTTATGGAACATGTCCATGTTTGGGAGGTTTTTGGCATGATAGATCCAGATATCCAAATTCCCATGCAACAGAAGAACCTTCAAGGAGCCTTTACCAAAGAGAGTCATCTGCATATCCGCACTGTGAGGCGATTCAGAAGATGAATAGCCAGTGGAGGAATCCACTCGGTCTAGGACTGGCAGCTGAGAGCTACTAGGGAAGGAGCTGTTGGGGTAACCATACAAGTCCCAAGGACGACTTTGCCAGGAGTTGGAAGGGTAGGATGATAGCTGTGGGGCTGGGTGGTTATCAGAAATGCGGAGACCACCGACGAGTTCGTCCAGGGGAGGATAAGCAGACGATCCAGAATTGCTGACGTTATCATGAGGCGTCCCCACAGAAGTGAGACAGTCTTGCCTGTGATAGGATTGAGTTTGAGTTTGCCTGGGAGGAGGAGGAGGAGGCTCCTGGGGTTTGGGTTCAGGCGGGTACTGGGGAGGGCCTTGATACGGATAGTGAGGAGGCGGAGCAAAGTGAGCAGGGTGATAAGGGTAAGGAGAGGGAGAAGGCTGGTAATCGAAAGAATGGCGGTGATATTCGGTGGATGGCGATGATTGTGGGTTGTGGCTGTAGTCCAATGGACCAGAATGTGAACCCTGATGCGGAGGAGGAGGAGGAGGTGATGCAAATGGTGGTGGTGGGTATGGATAATAAGGAGCATTGTACTGATTGGCTGGTGGTTGTGGGTATGCCTCTGAACTGGGAGGAGGAGGTCTATAAGGAGCTGGGTACTGACCGTATGGAGGAGGAGGGTATGGGTACTGGCCGTACGGGTATGGATAACGTGGTCCGTAATTCTCCATTTCTCGTTGCTATACTCTCTGATCACGACAGCTGATTCCTCTGGGGAGAGCAAACCGAGATCAATCACCGCCAACGCCGATCCAACAAAATCGTATTCAAAAGTTCCCTCCTTTAGAATCACATAGCACAGTAACCGGATTAGGATAATCCCGACCACTAACCAAAAAAAAAAATATATATCACCCCAGATCAAGGTTTAATTTGGGGGAAATATATAGACTCCGATCACAGGAAACCACGGTCTGGAACATTTACCTTGCTGATTGCTGATTGCTGATTGCTGGAGCTGAGGTGAATGGTGGGACCCTAACGAATCCGTCGGAGAAGAGAAGAAACGCATACGATACGAAGATGATTCAATTTTATAAGAAAAGACGAAAGCTCGTGTTCATAATAATTTGTTTTCTTTTTTTTATGCCTAAACTCAATACACAGAAACACGTGGCAATTCCAAGTTTTGGTCGCGCTATCCCACGTGTACTCCTCTGCTTGGTCCAAAATTCACCACTACTCTACTGTATTGTATACCAAAATCTGTCGGATATATCTATTTTTAGTTTGTTCATCTTATAGATTTTTTATCCGCACTTGATCCGATCTGATATTACTTTTGTACCATATGAGGAAATTGTTTCTACCATTTACGTATATATTTTTATGTACGCATTTAATACTCTACTCTGCCAGTGCATCCGAAGAAACTGAAAACACATTACTAAAAGGACTATCTTTAGGAAAGAATAGATATTTTGATTTTATTTCCAAGACCTTACAAGTTACGGTAATCAGAGAATGAGATTCATAATGTATAGAGATATGTTACTTTTGTATGCAAGTTAAAAACGAAATTTTAGTCCCAAGTCACCGCGATTGGGCTTCGGACGGTATACTTGTCACATATCCAAACCAATGCTCCAAAGGAAGAAGAAGCAGAAAATGATGAATTTCTGGAAGAAGCAAACGTCACCGTATAACTCAACCTCTCTCGAGCCTTTTGGAACTTGAGCACTTTCGGCTCCACCTTCACCTTCACACCTTTGGGTTCCTCTACGTGAGCCACATACTCACACGCCGGTGTCCCAACGTTCGTCACTGTCCTCTTACTTGTCACCGTTTTCAACTTGGCGCCATTGCCGAAATTCACCGCGAACGACGGATAATTCAAATCACCGGGACTCGCGGGACACGTGTAGTTGGTGCCGGAGAACAAGAGTATTCTCTCCCGTGTGTAGTTTAAGCTGCAGAAGTAGTTTAGGTAATCGACGGTGGAGAGATCGTATACCAGTCCCGGATCTACCGCTCGCGTGGGGTCCACGTCTCCTCCGCCAAAATCAAACGCTGTGGCCGCCGCATTGGGTCCCGCGCCCATATCTCCGATTGGTTGATTCCTGTTGTCCGTTATCCTCGCCGTCGTCATGAGCGCCGACTTGATCATCGCCGGTGACCAGTCACCGTGAACGGATTTGATCAGAGCGGCGATTCCGCTAATGTGTGGACAAGCCATGGAGGTTCCGGAGATGATGTTGAATTGGACGCGTCTCGGATCGGATCTGAGGAGGCTAGGGCTAGAGAACGGCGACCAACCGGCGAGGATGTTCAACCCGGGAGCCGAAATGTCTGGTTTCACAACTTCCGGTCCGGCGACACTAGGTCCTCTGGATGAAAACGCGGCGACGATCGGAGCGGTTGCATTGAACCTGGTTCCTCTGAATCGAATAGACGCGACGGTGGCCTTTCCTCCGCCGGCGAGATACTTGAGCAGGATTTTCCCGTCGGAGAATCCAATAGAAACCGCCGGTAAAACGTGAGGATCAGCGAGAAGCTCCTCTCCTTCCGTCTCTCTGCTGACAAGAAGCATGGCTACACCGCCGGCGCGTTTCACCTCTGCTCCCTTGGCCGTCCTGCCGCTGGCTCCTCTTAAGCAAATGACGATTTTACCCTCGACGAGTTCTCTCTTGAGCGAGTTGGCAACACAGAACTCGGCCCCGGTGTCTTCTCCGGCTGTTCTGTTAAACGCTAGAGGCAGATTCTTCAAGCTTCTCCCTTTATACAGCGACGATCCAACTAAGTTTCTACGGCTCCCGAGGCGGACAATCGCCGGGAACGTCCTGTCCGTATAGCTCGCAGCGACGGTCATCAACCAGGGAGCTCCATTACTCACTGTGGATTTAGTTGGACCAGAGTTACCCGCGGAGCAAGAAACGAAGATGTTCTTCTGCATCGCTCCGAACCCAGCGATGGCGACTGGGTCCACGTAAAACGGACGTGAGGATCCACCCAGCGAGAGAGAGATCACATCGACACCGTCTAAGATGGCTCGGTCAATGGCTGCCATGACGTCGGTGTTGGCGCAGCCTAACGCCCAGCAAGCCTTGTAAGCAGCGATCCTCGAACTAAACCTCATCCCGGATGCGAAAGCCCCTTTCGCTTGCCCGAAATAACTCGCTCTCGGGACTATCCCTCCCGCAGCAGTCGAGGCTGTGTGCGTCCCGTGTCCTTGTGAGTCTCGAGCCGACCTATTTAAATCAATCGATAATCACGCTTCTTAACAATTTAGTTAAAAACTTGAACAAATCAATCATTTTAACTTGACTGATATTTATAGTTGGAAATTTTTCTTCACGTTATTCCCCATTAACAAACAGAGACTAAACAATGTGAATACAAATTTTAAATTAGAGCACTAGTAATAACTAAAATTTCCAGCCATCTAACCTGAAATCAGTGGTTTCGTTGATTTTTCCAACAATAGATTCGTAGCCTTTGTAAAATGCGCTAGCTCCAATGATCTTCTTGTTACACGAAGAAGCAGAGAAGTTGGTGCCTACATCGCACGAACCTCTCCATCTAGAAGGCACCGGAGGCATGTGAGTGTCTCGGAAGCTCACGTGCTCCGGCGAGATTCCTGTGTCCACAAGGCCGACGATAACGTCCGAAGCTAGACTCGTCTGGTTCCAAAGTCCGATCCCATATTGCAGACCAAGAAACTTGGGAGAATGTGTTGTGTGTAGAGATAAGAGCTCGTCTGGATAAGCCGAGATAAACCCTCTTGTGTTCTTCACTGTCTCAAGCTGGTCGTCGGTGAGAGTCGCGGAGAAACCGGACATGGCATTTTCGTAGATGTAGTGAATCTCGGGGAGAGAAAAATCATCGTCGTCAAGATTCTCTGTTTGGAGGGAATTCAAAAGTGAAGCTACAATGCTTTTGGTATTGGATTTGACAGTGTGGATCAGGTAAGTTTGTTTGAGGGAGGAGGCATTTGCATTGGATGCGAAGAAGATGAAAAAGAAGAAGATGGAAATTAATGATCTGACGAACATCATGGGATGACTTGTCGTTAAAGGGAAACAAAAAGCATTAAAGAAGTTGATGTATCTATGATTCTTAGGACTCGTCGTCTCTTCTATATATATACACATATATGTGTGTGTGTGTCTATGTGTGAATATACCACATAAAGATTTGCGTGACGTATGAATACTGTGAGCTGTGAGCAGAGGAAAATGTGACTAGAAAGAAGATTATAAATAAACAAATAAAAAAGGTTTAAGTGAAATATGTGATGTTTATGTAACGGTCGTCTTTCGCTATCGTGTAGTTCTTGCGCGGGTCCGTCTGTTACTAAATGAGAGCCGTGGGTTCATTTATATGTAACCAATAAAAGCAAACAATTAGTACAAGTATTGATTAATATCACTTTCGAAGAGTAGGTATAATAATAATAGTATTTGCCTAACAGAGTTTGGAGCGTGAGCAAGAACGTTTAGCCTTTTATTGATGCGTAATCTGTAAAAAGGAAAGAAACAAAAAGAAAGAGAAGAAAGTAAACAGGTAAAGTGGTTCTGAACAAGGAGGGGGATGCAGCTTCCACCGCCGGTAGGTGACATTAAATGAGGGGACAAGGCAACCATAATTGGGGCGTGACTTAACTCAAACTCATATATATATATATATATCTAAGTTTTCTGACCTCAACATTTCTTATAATTCAAATCATTGCTTGTTCACACACACACCCCTCTCTCTCTCTCTCTTTGTCTTGCCTTTGAAGCCAAGATGGTACGTACACGTAAGCGACTCAAGTTGTTTTTTTAGTTCTTTTCCACTCCTATGAAAGTGTGAGATATATTCATCGTATCTTCCCATTTAATTCAATACATTAAAAAAGGATAATACACCCAAATAATTGGTTTATATTACTATATTGACTCTTAACAAGATTTTGAGTTATACCAAGGTCTGTGACTATACTTGTACATTTGGATAAATTAATTAATCCAGCTAGTGTTTTTTTTTTCTCACTTTTTATATTAGACATGCTTTCTTGGTTTCTTACAAGACAAAAAGGCATATTATAACAAAAAGAAATAAATGATGCTGTCCAGCAACAAAGCCCGTCTAGCTCAGTTGGTAGAGCGCAAGGCTCTTAACCTTGTGGTCGTGGGTTCGAGCCCCACGGTGGGCGTATATGTTTTTATTATTTAAGAAGCACTATTTTTCCCCAAAGACTGTAGGCTAGTAAATGGGCTATAAAGGAGCCCATAAGCGTGGCGGGTGATGATTCTTTATAAGAAGCGAATCCACTCCCGTAACGGTAAGATATTAAGAAGTGCCATTGGATAAACACACACTCACACACGCCTTGTTCTTCTCGGTTTGTGGGTTCGGCGATTTGGGTGGAAAGTGTGGTCAAATTTCAGCAATTGATGGGTGTGGGAGGGAATTTCTGGGATTTGCTGAGACCTTATGCTCGACAACAAGGCTGTGATTATCTGAGAGACAAACGGGTCGCTGTTGATCTTTCCTTCTGGATCGTTCAGCATGAGACTGCCGTCAAAGGTCTTGTCCTTAAACCTCACCTCAGACTCACTTTCTTCCGAACCATCAACCTCTTCTCCAAGGTCTCATTTTTCTCTTTTAATCGTTTTTGTTTCTCTCGTCTTCCGCTTCAATTGGATTTTCCGATTTCTGTCTCCTAGTCTTCCTTTCGTTTATTCTCTACGGGAATTTGGGTTTACGAGTTTCGGTTTTGCTTGATTGTACATCTTTGATTTATTATTTTGTTTGCTGTGGAGATGATCATAATGCGGTTTAGGGTTTTGCAGTTTGGAGCGTACCCAGTTTTTGTGGTTGATGGAACACCATCACCCTTGAAATCTCAGGCGAGAATCTCCCGTTTTTTCCGATCTTCTGGAATTGATACGTCGAGCCTACCTGCGATCAAAGAGGGCGTCTCGGTTGAGAGAAATAAGCAGTTTTGTGAATGGGTTAGGGAATGTGTGGTAAGTTTGGCTTCCCTTTTGAAGCCAGCCCATGTCTCTCTCTCTCTCTCTTTGTTTCGTTTTCACATTATTTTATTATCTTATGAGTTTTTGCTTGCGTTGTGTAGGAGCTTCTCGAATTGCTTGGTATTCCGGTTGTGAAAGCACGAGGTGAGGCTGAAGCTCTCTGTGCACAATTGAATAGAGAAGGTTATGTGGATGCTTGCATTACTCCTGATAGCGATGCTTTCCTCTATGGCGCTAAGTGCGTTATCAAAGGCATCAAGCCTAATTCAAGAGTAAGCTCTTCTTCACTATTAGTCAGTCTGACTCTCTAATGGCCTCCTTTTTTTTTTTTGTTTTTTTTACCTCAATGAAATCCTCATTTGTGTGTAGGAGCCATTTGAGTGCTACCATATGTCAGATATCGAAGCTGGCCTCGGTCTGAAGCGGAAACACCTGATAGCCATGTCTCTATTGGTTGGCAACGACTATGATTCAGGTGGTGTTCTTGGGATTGGTGTGGAGAAAGCACTCCGCATTGTCCGTGTCTTCTCTGAAGACGAGATACTCGATAGGTATAATCCATAAGATTCTTGTCTCTACTTTTATCTGTGACCTGTCATTTCTTGAACGAGTTGAGACATTTCGTGTAGACTGCAGGACATGGGCAAAGGGCTGAAACCTGCAGTTAGTGGTGGAGTCAAATCAGTGGATGATGGTGAAGAATCACACTCCGAGATGAAAAAAAGATTTCCTCACTGTTCTCGCTGTGGACACCCGGGCAACAAAAGAAATCATTTTAAGTCCTCTTGTGAGCATTGCAGCTGTGATAGTGGTTGCACTAAGAAAGCATTAGAGTTTAGATGTGAATGCTCCTTTTGTATCAAGGATCGAGATTTGAAAGAACAGAAGAAGACTGAGAATTGGTGGATCAAAGTCTGTGATAAAATTGCTCTATGGCCAGAATTTCCCAACAGAAAGATTATCGAACTGTATCTATCCGATACTTTCACAGGTATGAAACGACTTAATAACTTCATACCCCCTGTAGCACATGATCCTTGTTCTGAATCCTAAATCTTTTTATGTACCCCTGAAGCAGAAGATGGCTCTTCAATGTCTTGGGGAACGCCTGTTACAGAAATGCTGGTGGATTTCATGGTTTTCAAACTGCATTGGGACCCGTCTTATGTTAGAAAGATGTTGCTTCCGATGATGTCGACCATTTATCTAAGAGAAAGGGCAAGGCACAACACGGGAGAGCCATTGTTGTTATACGACCAATACGAATTTCACTCAGTCAAGTGCATAAAAACTAGATATGGGCATGAGTCCTTCGTGATACGGTGGAGAAAACCCATATCCACAAGTGGTTTTACTCGGGGAGAAGCAGAGCAGTCGATTGATATATGGGAAGAAGAAGAACGGGTCGAAGACGAGGAGTGTGTTGATCCGTTAGATGGGTTAAATGAACCACAAGTGGAAGATGATAACGGTGACTGCTTCTTGCTAACTGATGAATGCATAGGACTTGTTCAGTCTGCATTCCCTGACGAGACAGAGAAATTTATGCAGGAGAAGGTAAAGGAATGCTTCTCTCTATGGTTTATTGTTCCCCTTTTGCCTGGTTGGTTTATTGTTTTTGGTTATATACTGTCAGAAACTGCGAGAGTCGAAGAAGAAGAATGCTTCCGAAGAGGCAGCAACAACACCAATGGGTGTACAAAGAAGTATTAAGGATTTCTATCGTTCAACGAAAGCAGCAGCTACTCAAAGTAAAGACGGAGGAGAGAGCTCAAGTGCAACTTCTTCTTCTCCTGCTGAAAAGAAGAGACAAGCAACTAGTAGTGGTAGTAGTAGCAGCCTTTCAAAGTCTGTAAGGCGTCGTCTTTTGTTTGGATAGAGAAGAACATAGGAACTTAACTTTTGTGCTGCTGCTACATAGGAACTTAACTTTTCTCTGTTAGACTGATCATCATCCTTTCCACTGAGTAAAGAAATAAACAAACCTTCTTTGTCCATTTTCTCTGTTAGACACTTAGACTTAGATAGATCGATGATCATCATCCTTTCCACTGATTAAAGAAATAAACAACCTTTCGTTGTCATTTTTTATTAAGTGACTATTTACACTAAAAACAAAAATAGAAAAAGAAAATGGTGCTGCCCAGGATCGAACTGGAGACCTTTTGCGTGTAAGGCAAACGTGATAACCACTACACCACAGCACCTTATGTCTTCAAACTCAACAGTAACTAGATTTATTAATGTCATCGGAAAAACGGCGCATTTGAACAAAACTGGGATCCGAGCAAGGGTTGGTTGGTTGTTTCCCTGTTGTTATCAGTGTTGTCGATATGATGAGTGTGGTAGTAACATCATCACCCATCAACAATTGGAGATGTCTCTCGCCGACTCCACCTTTACCGTCATGCCTAAACGGAGACAATTCTCAGTCACGGCGGCGGAGTTGGAAGGTGTCGTGCGCCAAGAGCACAGATGATTACCACGCAACCCTCAAATCCCTGAATTCTCGGGGCCGTTTTCCCAGAAAATCCCTTGGCCAGGTCTCTCCCTCTTTCTCATAAACATATTACATATTCATTCAGTTAACTTGATTTTCTGCTCAAATGGTCGAACACCTTGCGCCCATGTTTATCTACGCGTTACTAAGTATATACTAGATGCGCTAAGTAGAACTTGGTTTGGGTGAGACAGCATTACATGCTGAATTCGGATATAAACGAGCAGCTAGCATCTGCGGCTAATGTGAAGGAAGGGGACTTTGTGGTAGAGATTGGTCCTGGGACTGGCTCTTTAACCAATCTTCTTCTCAGTTTAGGTGCTACTGTTCTTGCCATCGAAAAGGTTTGCTATCCATTCCTTTTTCTTTGTTTCCACTTTCCAGCTATTCTTGCTTCTGAATCTGATTTTTCTTGCAACTTCATCTTTAGGATCCTCATATGGTGGCTTTGGTTCAAGAAAGATTTGCAGATTCTGACAACTTCAAGGTAACCCAACAACTCGCGTGGTCTCTCTCTCTCTGTTTCTTTCTGTGATCAGATGAGTGCTTTGTGTAGGTTTTGCAAGAGGATTTTCTCAAGTGTCACATCCGTTCTCACATGCTCTCCGCTCTAGAGACCCCAAGCTTATCAAATCCAGAACTTGCTCTTGCAAAGGTGACAATGTTGTTTTCTCCACTTGGCTATCTAAATTAGTGTTTTTTGTTAATCAAAATGGAATTGTATAATAATGCAGGTAGTCTCCAACTTACCTTTCAATATAAGTACAGATGTTGTCAAGCTTCTACTTCCTATGGGTGACATCTTCTCACAAGTTGTTCTCTTACTCCAGGTAAAGCCGCCTTATTCTTCTCCTTGTTTTCAAAGGATCATCTCAAAAACTCTGACAATTCTTTGGCTAATCTTAGGATGAGGCAGCTTTGCGATTGGTTGAGCCAGCTTTGCGAACATCTGAATACCGTCCCATCAACCTTTTGGTCAACTTCTATTCAGGTACTTATTCCATTTTTAACTCTTCAAATGTTGCAACTCTTTTGATCGTTAATTTTTCTTATTTTCTTGGCTGACAAACTGTGTAACTTGCTTTGTTTGAAGAACCGGAATACAATTTCAGAGTTCCAAGGGAAAATTTCTTCCCGCAGCCCAAGGTAAAATTCACACTTTTGATTCTCCAAACTTTTGCATCACAAGAAAATGTCGCCACCTTTACATATATATATATATATTGCTATCCTTTGCAGGTTGACGCTGCTGTTGTAACGTTCAGGCTGAAGCATCCGAGGGACTATCCTGATGTTTCCTCCACCAAAAGTTTCTTCTCTTTGGTAGCTTAAACTCTCTTCTCTCTGCTTCTTTGATTCTTAGCATCACAACATCTTACTCAAAAACAAAATTCCACAACAGGTGCATTCTGCATTCAATGGGAAGAGAAAAATGTTGAGAAAGTCTCTGCAGCACATATCGCCGCCTTCTGAGATCGAAAAAGCTCTTGGAGTTGCTGGTCTTCCAGTCACTGTGAGTAATCTCTCTCATGAGAGGATACTCCTATCTTCAAATACGCTTGTTGTCTCCAGGTTTGCAACATATTATACTCAAATTTCAAAACCTTTAGTCACACCTTTTTGTTGTACCATCTTCCAGTCAAGGCCTGAAGAGCTTACCTTGGATGACTTTGTCAAGTTACATAACGTAATCGCCAGAGAATAGGACCAACCAGAAATGACCCATGTTTTGTCGGCTTTCAAGTTATACCAAGCCATCGCCTGGAAGCAACAACACGAGGAGGACACGCCATGGATGCAGATCAAGGTGTTGATGCAGATGACATTACATCATCCAGAAAAACGAATGTATATGACCAATCTCCATGTAGAAGACAAACCCCAATCGTGGTACTTGTACAAGTTTCCGTCTCTGATAATCTTTGTAATGTAAATTGTTGATTTGTAATCCCAAAATGACAAGTCTTTACAATCGCAAAAATGCTTAAACTTTACCGGAGAATTAAAAGTCTACAGTTACAGTGAGATCATCAATCATCATCATCCATGAAATTGGTAGATAAGATCCAATGCTCGCAGCTTGGAGGTGTGTGGGTCGAAATCAATCCCATACTCACGGCCACTCCTCTTCTCCGTTGCCGAAGTCCCCACCACGGCCGACGACGGAGACAATGGCCGCTTGGCTCTCTTGTTTCTGATGAAACACTCTCTCATCTTCTCCTCCACCTTCTCCACCGCCGGCGATCTCTCCTCTTCCGCCGCCTCAGCCTCGCCGTTCTCTTCTTCCACCCCTAATTGCATCGAATCGACGGAGGAGAGAGACTTGTCGGCTGCCGAAGATGGAATGGTAGTTAGGAAGGCGGAGAGGCGGTGGTGGGCTATGCGGAGAGAGGAGGAGATTTCGAAGAGCTGGTTTTGTTCCACGGCGGTTCCGATTTGCTGCGCCATGAGAGTTGCTTGCTCCAGCGATGATATCAGCTCAGCTAATTGCTTTGTATTTCCCATCATCTTTTTATCTACAGATGTTTTTGTGTTAGTTTCCTTTCTATTACAGTACAGAGCAGAGCTTGGTCGGAGGAGGAGACTGCTATATATATATCAGTGTACATATACAAATACTGCTTATATACTTGGGCCTTATATTTTTAAAATGGGCTCTATAAGACTACACTCGCGAGGTTTGAATTTTTTACTAATGAGGCTTTTCTTCAATTTGTTTTGCAATTCAAGACGCACAAAACCCACATTTGTTCTTGTTTGACAATTGACATCATCACAAAACCCACACATGAAATTTCAATTCCAGTTTGTACTTGAATTATTTGCTGACACTGAAAAGTTCTTTATGTATATACATGTATGGCTTTGTTTAATCATTCCCATTGCATGTACACTTTCTCTTCTTCTTTTCCAGGCGTTATTTTTCTAGGGGAATGAATAAAGTGTGTCCTTTGTGTCATTTTGTGTGTGTGTGAGAGAGAGTATATTTTTGCATTTAATGATGATCTGAAAATAATGAGTAAAATAAAAGAGACATGACATCACATGGCCAAATTAAATTCAAATTATTGATCAAAGAGAGCATATTCATGCATTCCCCATCAAAGAACTAATATCCACAAAAACCTTGTCCTGTTTTGGCGATCCAAGACTATAAATATACTAGTTGTCAGTAAATATTACTCAGGTTTTTATAAATACAACTAATCACATATATTTTTTGGTCAAATACGACAGGGATAAATGAATCATGTGACATGAAGAACCATTTTACAAACAACAATTAAACAGTTTGTTTGTATTGCTCTTGAAAATTTCAGTAATCAGAAGGGTGGGTTTATGAATAGAATTATTTTTCTTAAATAAAGCAAATGGCGTTGTTCAAAAAAAAAAAAAAAAAAAAAGCAAATGGTCACGTAAGTAAGTGGGGCCAGAGTCCAAAGCTCACGCGACTCGCACATGCTGATGCTATGGTCTGCCATTTTGGTAAATACCGTTAAAGTAGAAGCACATAACTGTAATTGGAGCATTCTCGGATTCAAAATTCTCTACGGGCACGTGGCCTAGTAGCCACGTAATAGCCGATACAATATTTTGAGTTCCAGTTTAAGAAGATCCAACGGTCCTACAACAAGCTCTGTGTAACGTTATAAAAAACAACTAGATCTAACGGTCAATTCAAATCTGCTAAGATCAACACAGCCATTGGATCCCAAAAAGATGTTTCTATAATTTAAGAAGAGAAAACTGGGCTTTTTCTTGGGAGGGGAATCTCAGTGACAGATCGACAAGACACTGTACAAAGCTTTTATTTATATTTATTTTGTTTCTATAATTCATTATTATTTTGTCAACTGTTTTAAGAAAGTATTGAGCTAACTAAAGAAAGAAGGATTTTTAATTTTGATTCTAGAATCGGATTTGATCGAACTTGTCTCTTTAGTTTGTACTCGGTGCTCTTATGTCCCTTTAATACCTTTTTACTCTCTCTCTCTCTCTCTAATGTCCTTTTAATATCTTTTCTTTTCTCTCTCTCTCAATCGTGTTTGTTATTTGAATTTTTTCAAATATTTAATCTGAACAAGAGAAGAAACAAAAGAGAGGAGCAGGTGTTTGTTTTTTCCAATTTTTATCGTTTGGTGGTTTGAGGAAGAGAGAAGTCAGCAGTTTGTGTTTGTAATTTTGCAAGATTTCAACAGCTCCTCCTTAGTTTTCTTCATTACAGAACCAAATTTGGCGTGTCTGGAGGAAGTAAGTAAGTATTGGGATTATCCATGTTCTCATGTCTTAACTTTTGTAACGTCGTCTCCCATAATTGCTTTATCATTGAATGTTTTAGAAATTGTAATTCTCACACTCAATTTTTCTACTTCTCAAGAAAAAAAGTTTCAAAATTTCTGACTGAATCTGGTGTCTACTTTTCATTCCTGAGCCTTTTTCTGCTTTCTGGGTAAAAATGAAACCTCAAAAGTTAAATCTTTTTGTTTTTTGATTTTCGTAGCAGAAGATGAGAATAATTTTGAGATTCTGGATCTTTAAGGTTGTTTTTTTTTGCGGTTGATGACAAGAAAAAAGCTTAAACTGATGACAAAAAGTATTGATCTCAAAACTCATTATTTGTTTATAGATTGCTTCTTATGTTTTCGCCAAGGTTAGTTAATTGCATAATCATCGATAAAGAGTTTCAGTTCTTTCTTCTGATTTCTGGAATTTTCTTCTCTGATTCTGAAGATCACAATAATCCTTTGATCAAATATGCAGAGTCTATGTCTCATTTCTGGTCTTCTCTTCTTCAATAGATTCGAAAACAAAAAGATCCTTTTTGTGTTATTTTTCTTTTCTCAAATGTTTGACTAAAGATCATACCGCATAATTCTATTTGTGTATGTATACTTACAGAATCTCTTCAAATTTGACAGATTCAAGTTTTGGCTGGATGCATAATTTTTCAAACTCAAGTCAACTACTAAACCCAAGGTAAAAGGTCATCCTTAACTAAATTTTGGGGTAGATTTAAAACAACTCGGTATCTACATTGACGGTTACAAGTAACAAGTGGTGTCTAATTAAAAGATAGAATTTAGAGAGACAGAGACTAGGCATTGACTTATCTTCAAAGAAAATTCTGCTGTTAACTTGGATCCTCAGCCAGATTTCTCCTTGCTGTTACTATCGCTCTGATCACAAAGTTACAAGCTTTTCCTAAGGAGTTTTCTCCAATCACGAAACTAACCTTTGCGAGTAATGAAAAGTTATGCATTGACAATGATGAGAGTGAATTGATTTTCCGTGGCTGTGAATGAGTTTGATGTGTTGTTTAGATGATATGACTAGGGAGAGGGAGACGCATTAAATGAAAATGCATCTAGAAACCACTCGAAAGGATATGTCGTGGGGAAACTTGACTCTTATGATTTTAGTTAGATGTTGCTTTCATCTAAACTCCTATTTTTGTCTTGTACTCCCTCTCTTCCTTAAACTTGTCATCTTTCTTAATCTCCAAGTGCAGTTAATCAGGATTCAATTGTGTTTTTCTTCTTCAGGTTTGATTAGCACTTGGTCGAGGAGAGATAATTCAATTGCTTTGATCCGATGGGCACAACAATGGCAGAATTAGGAAGCATGGGAAAGTTGGGAGCCATGGTGGAAGAGCAGCAAGTGAAGCAGACAGTCATGGACAGACAATCAGCAGAAGAATGGCTGTCGCGTGTCCACTCGCTGATACCAAGCGTCCTCAGCAAGGCCAAAATGGTTAAGAATTTTGCAGGACGATGGAAGACGATAATCTCAAAGATGGAACAGATTCCAGCTTGCTTGTCTGACCTCTCAAGCCACCCTTGCTTCTCCAAGAACAAGCTCTGCAACGAGCAGTTACAGTCTGTGGCAAAGACGCTAAGCCAAGTGACGGAGCTCGCCGAGTTGTGTTCCACTGACAAGTTCCAAGGGAAGCTGCGTATGCAGAGCAATCTCGATGCTTTGTCTGGAAAACTGGATTTGATTCTCAGAGACTGTATGGTTTTGATCAAGACCGGTGTTCTTGGCGAAGCTACGTTGCCTCTATACATCTCGAGCTCATCAGAAACACCCAAAATCTCCAGTTTAAAAGAGCTTCTGGCGAGGCTTCAGATCGGTCACTTGGAATCGAAACACAACGCTCTCGAGAGCCTCCTTCGGGTGATGCAGGAAGATGAGAAGATGGTTATGCCTCTGATGGGGAGAGCCAACGTGGCAGCTTTAGTTCAACTGTTAACAGCAACTTCCACAAGAATCAGAGAGAAAGCTGTGAGTCTAATCAGTTTGTTAGCGGAATCAGGACACTGCGATGAGTGGCTCATCTCCGAAAGTGTGTTGCCTCCTCTGGTGAGGCTCATCGAATCAGGAAGTCCTGAGACCAAAGAAAAAGCTGCGATTGCGATCCAGAGACTGTCCATGACTGAGGAGAACGCACGGGAAATCGCAGGGCACGGCGGAATCACGCCGCTGATCGATCTGTGTAGAAGAGGGGACTCCGTGTCTCAAGCAGCCTCTGCAGCTGCTCTGAGGAACATGTCAGCAGTTCCAGAGCTGAGACAGTTGCTTGCGGAACAAGGAATGGTGAGAGTCTCGATCGATCTTCTAAACAATGGGATATTGTTAGGATCGAGAGAACACATGGCCGAGTGTTTGCAGAATCTCACTGCAGCGAGCGAAGCTCTACGCGAGGCCATTGTCTCAGAAGGCGGGATTCCGAGTCTCTTGGCTCATCTCGACGGTCCTCTACCGCAAGAACCGGCGGTGACGGCGCTCAGAAATCTAATCCCGTCGGTGAATTCCGATATGTGGGTCGATCTCAATTTGGTTCCGCGATTAGCCCACGTGCTCAAATCAGGATCTTTAGGCGCGCAACAAGCGGCGGCGGCGGCGATTTGCCGTTTCGCATGCTCGCCGGAGACGAAGAGGCTGGTGGGAGAATCCGGGTGTGTGCCGGCGATGGTGAAGCTTCTGGAATCGAAATCAAGCGGATGCAGGGAAGCAGCGGCTCAGGCGATAGCGGCACTGGTGACAGAAGGGCGAATTCGGCGAGAGCTGAGGAACGACGGGAAGAGCGTGACGAATCTGGTGATGCTGCTAGATTCGAACCCTGGAAACACGGCGAAGAAGTACGCGGTGGCGGGTCTACTGGGGTTGTCGGGATGCGACAAGAGTAAGAAAGTGATGGTTTCGTACGGAGCCATCGGGTATCTGAAGAAGCTTTCGGAAATGGAAGTACTCGGCGCCGATAAGCTCCTCGAGAAGCTTGAAAGAGGGAAACGGAGAAGCTTCTTTCACCGGTGAAGAAGAAGGAGAGGAAGAAAAGGGTAATATGGTCTGTTTGATGCAAGTTTATCATATAACCGTTAAGAAGTTTATACGTATAATAATATAATTGGAGCAAAAGCCCCTTCTCGTAAGCTAATTAATTATTAGATTATCACAGCCTAATCAACTTGTAGTCTAAGATAATCGCAAAGAGATCAACAGTGTATTGTATCATGATGTCATTTCTCAAGTAATTTTCCTACAAAATCGATAGAAAAAAACGAGTGTTATTGAAATAAGACCCATCCCGAGCTCTAAGTCTGCAGAGGTTGTTCACATATGAAACCACCAACAGGTTCGGATCATTCAGTTCAGTTTTGAAGAGAATAGCATAAGTAGTACTAATTAATGGGACCGAACGTGAAGAGGAGAGAGAAAGAGTCAACGTGATCAACGGTCAGAAATGAATCATGGTTTCCCTTTGGTCTGGCTGGCGGCTTGTCTCTGTCTCTACTTGATTGGGAGATGATTTATTATTACTTGTTGTTATCGCCAATTTGACACACTGTTTTCTTGGTAACCGACTCCTTTGATCCGGGGATTTGTAAGGTAAAACTACATAGAGTACTTGGATCCCAAATTCTCTCTTGTGCAGGTTATAGTATGAATCTGTGTTTCAAAGGTTGACTCTTGATTAATAGCTGCAACCAAAGTCTACTTTTTATAGGGTTTTGAGTTAGACTGTGATGTACAAAAGTAGGAGAGTCTTTGCTAATGCTAGAGTCTAGACCCAACCCCCAAGATGTGAATTGAATCATCGGCTTTAGTGGTATTCCTAGTTTCGATTCTTTGTGGTTGACTTTTGTTGGATTTTTGAAGCGGAAGAGATGAGTAGACTTGAGACGACGAGAGCTGAGCTTGGTCTGGTGGTAGTCTACCTGAATAAAGCGGAGGCGAGAGACAAGATATGTCGGGCAATTCAATATGGATCCAAGTTCTTGAGTGATGGACAAGCTGGCACTGCTCAAAACGTTGACAAGTCCACCAGCTTGGCTAGGAAAGTTTTCCGTCTCTTCAAGGTTTTGTTTCTTTCTTCTGAGACCTGAATCCATATGTTTAGCTCCATGTTTATCTCTTAGTTAAGTTGGAGCTTAGAGTCCATAACTCATGACGGGAACATCTGTAACTCGGTCTTAGTTCTACCTTCTTTATGCTTATTCCATTTCATTCTGGTTTTGTCTTGTAATATTGGATTTGACTTGGTTATTTATGCAGTTTGTGAATGATCTCCATGCTCTCATTAGCCCTGTTCCCAAAGGCACTCCACTCCCGCTTGCTCTGCTCGGGAAGGTGATTGTTCTTGCCTTGCTTGCTTGCTTGCTTTCTTTTTGAGCTCCTTTCTTCGCCTGCCTCAATGACACCTATTTGATTTATGGCAGTCCAAAAACGCATTGCTGTCTACCTTCTTGTTCCTCGATCAAATCGTGTGGCTTAGCAGGACTGGGATTTACAAGGTGACTCCAATAATCTTATTCTATAAAAGGGACACTTACTTGCTAACTAACCGACGTTTCTGTTTCTGGTTGTGCTTTGAAACAGGACAAAGAAGGTGCTGAGCTTGTTGGACGTATATCCCTCTTCTGTTATTTGGGATCTTCTGTCTGCACATCCTTAGTTGAGGTCTGTTTCTTTCTTCTGTCTGCTTCAATTGTATTCGGTGGTGTAATAATGCCTAATCACATCATTTCCTTGTCAATATATATATGTAGATTGGGGAGCTTGCTAGGCTCTCAACATCAATCAAGAAGCTGGAAAAAGAGATTGGGAACAAGGATAAGCACTATGTAAGTCAAGCTTTTTTTCTCAACCATTATTGTCTTGTCTTAGAAGGAATCTTGCTGATTATGTATGATATTGAAATTGAAAATGAAAATGATATGCAGAACGAGCAGTACCGGGCGAGACTAGAGAAATCAAGCGAGAGGTCATTGGCTCTGATAAAAGCAGGGATGGATGTAGTTGTCGCTTTCGGATTGCTTCAGTTGGCTCCAAAGAAAGTCACTCCCCGAGTCACTGGCGCTTTTGGATTTGCCTCCTCTCTCATCTCTTGTTATCAGGTACTTTCACTCCCCAGTTTGCTTATTTATACTTAATACTCTCTATGTGTTGCTTATGAGTTATATAACTAAAGCCATGATCCATCTCTCGCCTGTGCAGTTATTGCCATCGCATCCCAAGTCCAAGACGGTCTGAGAAAGAAAATACAAACTAGCTACTAGTTGTTTTCTGTCCTCATGTTCCATAGTTTGGTATTGTGTCTTTGTTTGTGTGAGATAGCATTATCATGGAGAAACGTTTCAGTTTGTTTAGGATGATAACAGAGAAGCATTGCGAGGTCTATTGTTAAAATTTAAAATCAACAACAACACAGAGGATGCCAAAAACTGTATTATTGTAGTTACCGTGTCAAACACTATCCAACAAGCAACTGAATCGAATTATACTCTTCTTCAAGTTTTTTTAGGCTGAATTATATTATTCTTGTCAATCACATACTGAATCGAATTTAGTAATTTACTAATGTTTTGTCTTAGATGTGAATAATATGTGAGTGTAATCCAATCAGTGATAGTAGCATCAATGGAACAGTAAAACACAATTGCTCAATATTATTTTTAAGTAAAAGCAGAGAAGATGGAAATGGAATATTATTCAACTTGTAATTTGCTAAGAAGAAAATAATTAGTTTAAAAAAAAGCTTCGGAGCAATGATTCATAGTGAAATCAGTGTTGAATCCGCAAATCTGCGGTTCCATCAAGGTTTTAGGCGTTACTTTATAAGCAGCGACATTGCACTTGTTCTCCATCAATGATCGTCTGAATGATTCGTCCAAGTCTGAGAACCATCTCCGCAATTCTGCTTGTGTTTCCGGCTTTGCTCCGATCAGCAGCTGCTTCTTCCTCCTCCTGCTATCCTTTACTCGCTTACGCTGAGATTTCTCTGTTTGCTTCATCTCACGACTCGCAGCGGATAACGCCACAGCCAACGACGATAGATTGATTCTTCTCTCCTTGGCAGCATCTACGGCGTCGATCTCATGCTTCAGACTGCTCATATTGAACGGAGAATAAGCACCGTCGTCGTCGTTGATCCGCCGTCTGGCTGTGGCGCTTCTTTTAGTTCCCGGCTTCATCACGAAAATTCACGGCCGTGTCTCGAGCGAGTAAAAATGACACGACGAGAATTAGGGCGTTTATATAGTCAAGTATTTTAAGATCGAATGGGCCATTTATGATGGCCCAACTATAATAACGTTGCTTTACGACATTATTTTATTGTTACTGTATTAAACTAACCCGAGGCTCGGAATGACGTCATTTCATTCCAACTTTTTGTTCAAATTCAGTAATTTACTACTGTTTTGATTGTGATATAATCCAAACAGTGGTGGTAGCGTCAATGGAACACAAAATACAGTTGAAGATTTTTAGTCGTGTAATGATATAATCCAATTTTTAGTAGAGTAAAAATCTCTATAACAGAGAAGATGGAAATGGAATATCATCCCGATTATTACTGAGCATGTAATTTGTGTTTTAAAAAAAAAATCAAGTAAACTAAATTATTTCAAAAACAAAAAGCTTCAGAGCAATGATTCATAGTGAAATTAGTGTAAATCCACAACAAATATTGTATAATAGTATACCGATCTCTACAAAATGTTTATACAACATGAAATAAAATCATATAATGATGGATTCCAATATAGTCTAAAGTAAATATTGTACATCGTTTTCAATTAGCCTGCATGCTTCTTCTTACATTCAACATCATCATGCACAATAACATTTCCAATTTGTGATATGACGGAATTACTTTCTATTTATATCAGCTCAGATTGCTTGTAATCTTCCATGTTAATCACATATTCAAGCAATCTTCCATGTTAAGAAAATGACTTGAAAAAGAAAAGAATATATATCAGCACGCAATCTTCCATGTTAAGAAAATGACTTGAAAAAAGAAAATAATATATATTAGCACATTATTCTGTCATTTTTATTAAATTTTACTTATAGTTCTCATGTATTTTGCTTAGATTATGCATATATTTTGCTTATGTTATGCTTATTTCTGTTAATTTATAATTTTGGTAGTAATAATGTATGAAAACAATTTTTTTCAAAAAAAATATAATTAAATTTATTGACAACAAAATCAACTTGTTATTTTGAAAATATTTGAAATAGTGAATAAATAAAGCACGTCATTTGGATTGAAATAGAACAGTTTTCACTTTTTTGATTTTTTCCCCTAAATATTTAATATTGTGCACATCATTTGGATTGTATGTATACAAATTTTGGTAGGAAAAAATGAAAAAAAAAATTATATTTAAGAGAATCTTAATTTATTTAATGCTTAAGACACAAAATAAAGCACGCCACATATATTCAGGCTTCAGCGTTTCCTATCCTTGGCATATCTGGTGAACCTGACATCTATCTTTCTTATGCATTTACTAGAAAAGCATATTAGTTCATAGAGACATTACCGTTGAGGACAAGCTTCTGAAGTTGGTTGGAGGCAAATGTTTTTTCATTTTGCTGGGCAAAAGAGACCAAATCATGTGCAGTAAGAGTGCTTGGAAACAACAAGGACAAGGAAACGTAAGACTAATGAGAACCATACATGCACTCAAAATTCATCGAGATACTCTAGAACGGTCAATTCATTGCCTCAATTAACTAGGATAATACAATTGGTTCTAACCAAAATGTTTATGAGGTATACTGAATAAATATAAACTCCAAAATCAACTAGAGAATAAATAATACTCTTATTTACACCATAATCACCAAAGGCTTGATATGCAGAAATGTTAATATTTTGTAAATGGTTGCAAATACTGGTTAAATATGGGTGTAAATGCTAGTATGTCTATACATAAATGAAATGATATCTTGGTGAGAGATCAGAGACTTAAAAGTTAAACCAAATGAGATAGAGATATGTACTGTTGAACATGAACATACGCGACCCAAAAGTTGATGGTTAAAGAACGTGGCATTACCATGAATACAACTAAAAGCAAGATATGGTCAACCAAAAAAGAGAAACATCATCAGATCGCGAGCGTGCCTCCTTCAATAATCTGGTTATCATCAGATGCATCCGACGTTTGAGGTTTGGACTTACTCGTCGTCCTCGAGAAACCATAGCCCAGAGAGCTTCCGCTTGCTTCACATAGCTGCCAATTATCATCACACCATATCCCAATTAACATCAATCCGTCAGACCAAACCAGATTCTGATTATAATAAACTAAAAAAGTATCTCACCTCTGTTAGCTCAGACAGGTGACGGCTTCTGAACTCGTTGATCGTGTTTGCTATTTCAGATGTCGGTAATTTGGCCTGACAACCCAAAAATGATATTTTTTATCCTGAATTTCTCTTAAAAATTCTTACCACTAACAAGAAATCGGTATGTTTTACCTGAGCAAGAACAGCAGCTGCCAACTGTAGACTTGGCTCCAGAGTCTCCGGGACAACCTACGAGTTTTGTTTTTGTGATAGAGGTTTATTAGCGAACGGTCAAGAAAGCATAAATATGTCTTATCAAGATCAATGAAGCGGTTTGTGAGCATTACAGCAGTGGCACCAGCTTTTTCTAGATTAAGACCATGAGCAACGTCGTGTGCACGGACAAAGGTCTTGACATTGGGGTAATACTTGCTCAGAGCCCATACACATCTGTAGTTTGCTCCTGGTGCGTCTAAAGCAACCACAGCAGCGCATGCTCTCTCAGCTCCAATTTTGTGGAGAACCTGTTTGTTTGCACATGTAAAGTTAATAATCAAATGCTGGTATAATCTGTGTCATTGTCTCATGTCTTATTTGTTTTTGTTTCTGTACCTCTTTACTACCAGCATCTCCAAAATATACAGGAAGATCCAAGGAACGCGCAATAGTCACTCTCTCACTGCAAAACAAAATAAGAATATGAGGTTTTCAGGTAAGCAAAGAATGCGAGGAAGTGATCTGGGAAACTGGCTGGCGCAGTACAAACAAGAAATGAACAAGCAAATGTTATGTTACCTGCTGACATCGAGAGCAACGAATGGGATAAGTCTTTCGGAAAGAAGCTGAGCAATTATCTGCAAGTGACAAACATAAAAATTTGAACGAGTCAGAAACTCCAAGATATCCCGTGAAGCAGACAATCAACTAAACAAGTTCAGATGTATATACCTGACCAATTCGTCCAAATCCACAAATAATGATGTGATCCTGCAAATCATCCGTCTGCAAATAAAGCCAGACACGAAAGATAGTGATTAGACATCAGTCAGCCTTGCAATGATTGATGGGTTTTTGACTTACAGAGTTAATATTCTATAGACAAATCATCAAGATTCCTACCTCACTCTCAACAGGCAGTAAGCTTCGAACATCATGCAACTCAAATCGGGATGCAATTAACTGGCCACCAGCAGCTAACCAAGGTGTGATAGCCATTGAGATTCCCACCACAAGAAACAGCAACGAAGATAGCTGAGGAGACATTATACCCTGGAAGAACCACCGATTAGGGCGTTAGGAAAAGGAAAAACAAATTATATGTTTGTCAACCGGAAAACTGCTAATTATGTAAGAAGCATTGCTGTCTATATACCTGATTGACTGCTTCTCCGAAAGCAACAAATGCAAACTCTCCGCCTGGGGCCAGAAAAAGACCGGCTCTAATTGCAGATATGATTGAAATGCCGAACAATTTTCCCATGATCACCACTAAAATAGTCTTGCCCACTATCAAGAGTCCCAAAGTTCCCACTATGACAGGGAAGTTCGAGAGAAGAAGTTTCGGATCAATAGACATGCCAACCTGAAATGAGTGGAACACTTTTCATTAACTATATGCCTGTGATTACACGTGATAACAAGAAAAGATCTATATATTTTCTGTTCCCATCAACAATTCCTGATTCTATTCATAAAAGATAAGCATATGGCAAAACCCATAAACTACCGTCATGAAGAAGAGCCCCAGAAGAAGACCACGATATGGAGCGATGTCCGATTCTACTTGTAAGGAAAATTCTGTCTCCGCAAGGAGTAAACCAGCCAAAAACGCTCCTAATGCCATGGAAAGTCCAGCCTGATTTATAGAAGCAAATAAATTTAGCAGAAGAGAAAAATGGAAATGGCCAAATACTAACAAGATCAAGGTCATACCCTAGCTGTCAATAAACTAGTCCCAAGAATAACGAGAAGTGTATTGGCAGAGAATATCTCGGCGTTTCGATTTTCTGCAATTTGCTTGTAGATTGGTCGAAGAAGCTGTGTGCCAGAAGAGTGTCAATGCCTTAGATTATAAATTCCAAGGGACATATGAATGAGTACCAGTGATAGCATCGCAAACTTTCATGATTAAGTTCATGGAAACATGCCTCTACCTTCTGTAGCAAATCTAAAAACATTTTCCCTTGCAAAACTAAAGTATATGAGACTTACAAGACGGCCACCAGCAATTATGGCAGTAATAGCAACTGCTGCTTTAACTGCAGCAAGTCCAAGAGCTTCAGCAATGGCTTGAAACCCAATCTGAGAAGAACAGTTAGACAGTTAGCAATTTTCTACCACTGATACTTCCTAGACATATTAGCATTTACAACCAGTAATAGCAAGGTCTCTTCTTCAGAGGGCGAATAAATAATTAAACATCTAACTTAGATAATTGACAACGCATGTCATTGAACACAGAAAGCAAACAGCACTCAAGAAAAAGAACGATCCCTAGAGATGAGCTTACCCCTCCTTTCGATGAATTAGGTGAAATAAGTGGGATGAGAATCAGTAAAACAACGACAGCTAAATCCTGTGAGGAAACATAACAAAATGATGAGAAATTCCCATCACAGTTGTATATAATACTGAGAATGTGCAAAATGAACTCTATTCTGAACCGACCTGAAAAAGCAAGACCGAAAATGTGGCCCGTCCATGTCTAGATGTACTCTCACCCCGTTCTTGTAGAACCTGGAAATCAAGTACATAATCTCTGAACCAATTGGTAGCTTAATTGAATTTGTTTTTTAAAATACTCAAAAATATTACCTGAAGGACAACGGCAGTGGAGGAGAGTGCCAGGCCATTTCCAATAACTATTGCCGCAGGACCAGCCTGACCAGCAACATAATGGGCAATCAATCCAACTACTGCTGCTGTCACCAGAACCTGATGTTACAACCACACAAGGTGTAGATTAGCGAACTTGGACATAGAAACATCAAGCAGGCACGAACTGTAGCTGATACAATTATGTGGAATGTCAAATAATCAAATCACCTGAGCAGAGCCTAATCCAAAAACATATTTCTTCATGGAACTCAGTCTTTCAACAGATAGCTGTCAAAACAACAACACCATTTGTATCTTTTGCCAACCACAGTTCAAAATCAACAGCACATCATAGACATATATCAACTAATACCTCAAGGCCAATGTTGAAAAGCAAGAAAACAACTCCAAATTCTGCAATGGCCTTGGTTGCATGCACATTACGGATTATCGAAAAACCATAAGGACCAATTAGAATTCCAGCTGCCAAATATCCAAGAACAGGGCTGCCTATACATTGCAGCAGATTAAGCCATCAAGATAATACATAAACAACGCAGCATGACTGCAAGACCAGCACTGAGAATGAAATGACAAAAAAGAGTCCTTACTTACCTCCTGGAATTTTCTGAAACAGAGGCACAAATATGACGCTTGCCAGGAGTAACCACAAAAAATCAAGAAGGGAAGCTTCTTCCTCATTGACCTAATACATCGCAGAAGTGTCAGCCTGAAATTACATCCCATAAATTTTGCTTGGACACTGAAAATAGGCAATCGTTCATACCTCCTGGTGAGGGATCTTCTCAAGCAGTTTCTTAATTCTCTTGGGAAGTTTCTGCATTTGCCGGATCAACGGCTTCGTACTGGACGAGAGATCTTCTGTACTAGTGCTGATAACGTCTTGCTGTTGAAGCAGCTGATTGTTTCCCCCTACTCCATTGGAGTATAATGTCAGTCTGGAACAAACAAGAAGCTCATAATTAACAAAATGACAGAATTTTATGTACTAAAGTGATCCATCAAAAAGAAATGATGAAACGAAGAATAAATTTAGAAACTGACCCTGCCCCAAGAAGTGCAACCCCAAGAACTACCTTGGGCCATTGTTGTTTGAGAGAATCAACCAGACTCGCAAACACTGTCGATGTCCCATCTGGACTAGAAGAGAAGAAGGATGCAGGAAAGAAACGGGAGGATTTATTAAACGATGCCTTGGAAGAACTAATAGAAGAGCCCTCTTTCGGCAGATCCTTCTGTGTTTCCTGTTTTTTCGTTTGAACAACAATCTTTGACTTTTCAGAATCTAGTTCAACAACTTTAGAAGACTCTACACTTGGTTTTACATTCACATGATCGCTTGACTCATAAGGCTGGGTTAGTTTCTGATCCTTCTGACCAACTTTTTCATGCAGAAGATCAGCCGTGTTCTGTATCGCTGACAATTCTCCATCTATTTGTGATACTCCTTCAACCTCATGTTTACTATCTTCAATATTACCTGAGAGTACCTCCTCATCCTTGACAAGAGTTTCTTCATCCAAGAGTTGGCTCTGACTTTCTTCGGAGGTCTGAGAAGTGGAGAGAGACCTCTCTGCTCTCTGCAAAGCAATCTCAGCATCATTAACGCGTTGAGTAGCCTCAAGCTCAAAAGCGACAGCTTGTTCAGCCAATTTCATGATATTTGAGACGTCTTCCTCGGCTTTCAACGCATTGATCTGTATTGTCTCAGCAAACTCATTCAACTTTTCCACTTCCTTCTGCAGCTCCTCTTTTTGGCTCTGCAAACAACTCAGCTGGGCCTCACAAGTTGCTAAATTCGCTTGGCATTCTTTGATGTCATCTTTAGCAGCTAAAAGGGCTGCTTCCTTGTCTTTAACATCATCTGTTTTCTCAGTCTCTTCCGGAACACCATTAGCTCCCCCTGATTCAAGTGATTCCACTACAACCTGAAGCCTTGCTTCAGCCAGAGATAACGCCATTGTAGCCTTGTGAACAGCATCTTTAGCAAGAGATTCCTGATCAACCGTATCTCGAATCACATCAAGGGTTTTGTTAACCTCATGCCAAACATTTGCCGCTTCATCTTTAAGAGCAATCGCTGTTTCTGATATTCTCTGAGCCTTTTCCTCGAACATTGTACTATTGAGCCTAGCAGCGTCCAATTCGTCAATTGCCTTGTTTAGTAACTCCCTGAGTTGCTCCAAACTATCGGTTTCGTTTTCGGCTCTCACATCTTTTTCTTGTTTGATAAATGAAGCTTCACTTTCAGCACTAGTTTGTGAAAGTTCCCTATCAGTACCTAGAGAATCATTACCTTGACAACGTGACCTAAATCCAAAGGGGATAGATTTAGGTTGGCGGCCATTGAAACCCGCATTCAAAGTCAAAGTAGCAATTTGAGCAACATTCCTCTTGAATCGGCTACACAGGTGGGCTCTAGAGTAAGTCTTGTGATCCCAGCTGCGGTTTCCTTTGAGGCACAGTTTCCCAGTAATGAATCGATTAGCGAGGCAATGACTCCCACCACCATGAAACAAACTCGGCCGATGAACACGAGACGCAGATTCCATGCCGAAGAATCAGTTTAGAGTGTGAAGCAAATCGAACAAAAATAACATTCGGAGTTGAAACGAAAATCGAAATTCGGAAACTGCGCCGAGAAATCTGTGGAAAGGCTCAAGTGGGCATGAGAAATTATAGACACCAAAAATGAAGACAATCGCAAAGCGCAACGGAGAGAGTGAAGGAGAGTGAGGGAGAGACTAACCAATCATGGGAAGACGGAGCAAGAATGAATGGCCGGAGAGAGAGAGACTGAGAAATTCTTCAGTCCTCGGGTGTCTCTTCAAGTTCTTCAGTCAACGAATCCAAAATGAGAGAAAGGCCACACCAACCTCTCTCCTTGTTAGTGTTGCTTGCAATTTTTTCATGGCAATGGAAACTGAAAAGGGTTCTTTTTCAAAATTACAATAAAACTCCCTCAAATAATCAAGTTTTTGTTAATCAACCCTCTACTTTCCAAACAACAAACCAAATCAATTAAGAAAAATAAATGTATCGAAACGACGTTGGTTTTGGAAACACATTTTAAGTGACTGATGATTCCCAACTGCAGTAAATGTATATTGACTGATTCCAACTATGGACAGTATAATGATGACTGAAAACAAATGTTGTTTGCTGGGAGCACTAGTACAATATCTATGAGGAGCTAGTGTATCATTCCCTCAAAGTGTCATCATCATCAAGCAAGGCAATAAAACGATTCATTCAAGTCGTGCAAAGTGATATTGGGGAGACTCTCCAGTGCAAGTAGCAGCCTCAAAGGCACACGCATTACTTCTGCTGTGGTTCTAGTTACTGCACTTCTTCTTTCTTTTTTTTGTCACAGTATCCGTGGTTGCGTATTTATGTTCTGAGATCAGAGAGACTTCAAACAAAATGAGAGATATGTACTGAACATGAACATGGACAAATGAACAAATGATGGATCTTGTTGGAGATGGTTAATACAAAATGGTGAAAACTATTCTTCTTCTGGCCAGAACGAAGGAACAGCATCAGATGGCGAGTGTGCCTCCTTCAATAATCTGGTTATCATCAGATGCATCCGACGTTTGAGGTTTAGGCTTATTCGTCCTTGAGAAACCATAGCCCAGAGAGCTTCCACTTGTTTCACATAACTGCCATTAGAGATTGTCTCATTATAACATACCCTTACAAATCAATCAGACCAAACCAGATCCTGATTGTACAAAAGTCAAAAACGATGAGTTTGATTGACAAGGAAACCCACCTCCGTCAGTTCAGACAGGTGACGCGTTCTGAACTCATTGATTGTGTTTGCGATTTCTGATGTTGGTAGTTTGGCCTGAGAAAAGGTTTTAGCGCAAAAATGAATGATACACTGTTTAGGATTAATTCCATAGACAAGAAATTGTTATGTTTTTACCTGAGCAAGAACAGCAGCTGCCAACTGTAGACTTGGCTCCAGAGTCTCTGGGACAACCTACGAGTTTTTGTGATGGAGATTTATTAGTGTAGGATCAAAAAAGCCTGTCTTATCTAGTTGAAAGAAGCGGTTTGTGAGCAATACAGCAGTGGCACCGGCTTTTTCAAGATTTAGACCATGAACAACGTCGTGTGCACGGACAAAGGTCTTGACATTGGGGTAGTACTTGCTCAGAGCCCATACACATCTGTAGTTTGCTCCTGGTGCGTCCAAAGCAACCACAGCAGCACATGCTCTCCCAGCTCCAATTTTGTGGAGAACCTGTTTGTTTGCACAAGTAAAATAACTTTCAGATAACATGTGTAGTCTGTGTAACTCTTTCATCCATCTTCTTTTGTTTGTTTGTGTACCTCTCTACTACCGGCGTCTCCAAAATAAACAGGGAGGTCCATGGAACGCCCGACAGTCACTCTATCACTGTAAATAACAACAAAAGCACATCATGCGAGGAAGAGCTATGGGAAACAGGTATCTTAAAGCAGAGAGGTTCAAGTGTGATCTCAGTGTGTGTGGAAGCTACTGATAGTGCGAATAAACTATCTGAAGCCCAATGTGATAGCCTATTCCACAAAAATGATACTGGACAAGTAGCGAGATTTGGTTACCTGCTCACATCGAGGGCAACGAATGGGATTAATCTTTCTGAAAGAAGCTGAGCAATTATCTGCAAGTAACAAACAGTATATGGTGACCAGGTCAGAAACTCCGAGATCTAGACAAAGGTTCTCACGAGAGAGCATAAACTGAAATAGTTCAGATTTATAAACCTGGCCAACTCGTCCAAATCCGCAAATAATTATGTGATCCTGCAAATCATCTGTCTGCAAATAGAATCAGCCAAGAAAAAGAAGGGTTAGACATCAGAACGACACTCAAGTCCAAGTGGCACCATGATTTATCGTCAAGATTCCTACCTCACTCTCAACAGGCAATAAGCTTCGAACATCATGCAACTCAAATCGGGATGCAATTAACTGGCCACCAGCAGCTAACCAAGGTGTGATAGCCATCGAGATTCCCACCACAAGAAACAGCAACGAAGATAGCTGAGGAGACATTATACCCTGAAAACATAACCAAAGCATTGCTGCTTATATATCCGACTGGTTAGAGCAAAAAGGCATCAGGTTGATGACAAACCTGGTTAACAGCTTCTCCGAAGGCAACAAATGCAAACTCTCCACCTGGGGCCAGAAGAAGACCGGCTCTAATTGCAGATATGATTGAAATGCCGAACAGTTTTCCCATGATCACGACTAGTACAGTCTTGCCCACTATCAAGAGTCCCAAAGTTCCCAACACTACTGGGAAGTTAGACTGAAGAAGTTTTGGATCGATAGACATGCCCACCTGAATAAAAGTGGAACTCCATCTGTTAGTTTTATGCCTGTGATTACACCTTCTTACAGTTGAAGCAATAACATGAAGAAATGCTTTCTTCCCAGGACAGGACAATATCCTGTTTCTTTTTAGAAATGATAAATATGTGGATTTCCAAACTCATAAACTACCGTCATGAAGAAGAGCCCCAGAAGAAGACCACGATATGGAGCAATATCCGATTCTACTTGTAAGGAAAATTCTGTCTCCGCAAGGAGTAAACCAGCCAAAAACGCTCCTAATGCCATGGAAAGTCCAGCCTGAATTATCAAACCAAATAAATTTAGCAGAAGAGTAAAAACGGAAATGGCCAAATACTAACAAGATCAAGGTCATACCCTAGCTGTCAATAAACTAGTCCCAAGAATAACGAGAAGTGTATTGGCTGAGAATATCTCGGCGTTTCGATTTTCCGCAACTTGCTTGTAGATAGGTCGAAGAAGCTGTGTGCCAAAAAAGTGTCATCAATGCCTTATTTTGGTATCTGGAGTCTCAAAAGTTGAAGTATCTGCTACTTACAAGACGACCACCAGCAATTATGGCGGTAATAGCAACAGCTGCTTTGACTGCAGCAAGTCCAAGAGCTTCAGCAATGGCTTGGAACCCAATCTGAGAATAACAGTGAGAAACTCAGCATTTTCCTAACACTGATACTTCCTTCCTTAAGTACATTGGCATACAACGTGGCATTGAACACTAAAAGCAAACAGGTTAAACTATCAAACCAAACAGTACTCAAGAAAAAGAAAGAACCCTAGAGATGAGCTTACCCCTCCTTTCGATGAATTGGGTGAAATAAGTGGGATGAGAATCAGTAAAACAACGACTGCTAAATCCTGTGAAGAAAAACAACAGAACGATGAGAAATTCTGTGTGCTGACAATGTGCAAGAAAATGTGCGGATGAACTCTATTCTGAACCGACCTGAAAAAGCAAGACCGAAAATGTGGCCCGTCCATGTCTAGATGTACTCTCACCACGTTCTTGTAGAACCTGGAAGTCAAGTACATTGTTTCGTTTCAACAAATTGCATATAAAAAATGAGAGGACGATTACCGAATTTCTTTCAGTAAGATGTTACCTGAAGGACAACGGCAGTGGAGGAGAGTGCCAGGCCATTTCCAATAACTATTGCCGCAGGACCAGCCTGACCAGCGACATAATGGGCAATCAATCCAACTACTGCTGCTGTCACCAGAACCTGGAATTACAACCACACAAGGTGAAGATTAGAGAACTTGGAAACAGAAACATCAAGCAGGCACGAACTGTAGCTGATACAATTATGTGGAATGTCAAATAATCAAATCACCTGAGCAGAGCCTAATCCAAAAACATATTTCTTCATGGAACTCAGTCTTTCAACAGATAGCTGTCAAATCAAAACAACAACAGCAACAATTGTATCTTTTGCCAAACACAGTTCAAACTCAAAAGCACATCATAGACATATATCAACTAGTACCTCAAGGCCAATGTTGAAAAGCAAGAAAACAACTCCAAATTCTGCAATGGCCTTGGTTGCATGCACATTACGGATTATCGAAAGACCATAGGGGCCAATCAGAATTCCAGCTGCCAAATACCCAAGAACAGGGCTGCCTATACATTGAATCAGATGAATCCATTAAGACGGCGCATAAAAATCTATGCAACATGATTACGACACCAGTACTGAGGATGAAATGACAAATGACAAAAAAACTGAGAATGGAGTGAAAAAAAAGAATCCTTACTTACCTCCTGGAATTTTCTGAAATAGAGGCACAAATATGACGCTTGCCAGAAGTAACCACAAAAAATCAAGAAGGGAAGCTTCTTCCTCATTGACCTAATAATTTGCAGAAGTGTCAGCCTGAAATTACATCCCATAAATTTTCCTTGGACACTGAAAAAGAGCAAATCGTTCATACCTCCTGGTGAGGAATCATCTCAAGCAGCTTTTTAATTCTCTTGGGAAGTTTCTGCATTTGCCGGATCAATGGCTTCTTACTGGAAGAGACATCTTCCGTACTAGTGCTGACTTGCTGTTGAAGCAGCTGATTGTTGCCCCCTACTCCATTGGAGTATAATGTCAGTCTGGAACGAACAAGAAAAAGGCAGAATTTTATGTACTAACATGATCCATAAAAAGAAATGATGAAAGGAAGAGTAAATCCAGAAACTGACCCTGCCCCAAGAAGTGCAACCCCAAGAACTAGCTTGGGCCATTGTTGTTTGGCAGAATCAACCAGACTCGCAAACACTGTCGTGGTCCCATCTGAACTAGAAGAGAAGAAGGATGCAGGAAAGAAGCGGGAGGATTTATTAAACGATGCCTTGGAAGAACTAATAGAAGAAGCCTCTTTCGGCAGATCTTTCTGTGTTTCCTGTTTTTTCGTCTGAACAACAATCTTTGACTTTTCAGAATTTACTTCAACAACTTTAGAAGACTCTACACTTGGCTTTCCATTCTCATGATCACTTGAATCATATGACTGAGTTAGTTTTTGAGGCTTAAAGCCAACTTTATCAGGCACAAGATCAGCTGTGTTTGGTACCGCTGATAATTCTCCATCTACTGGAGACTCTCTTTCAACCTCATGGCTTACTTCCTCATCCTTGAGAGGAATATCTTCATCCGTGAGTTGGCCCTGAATTTCTTCCGGAGCCTGGGAGATGGAGAGAGACTTCTCTGCTCTCTCCAAAGCAATCTCAGCATCGTTAACGCGTTGAGTAGCCTCAAGCTCAAAAGCGACAGCTTGTTCAGCCAATTTCATGATATTTGAGACGTCTTCCTCGGCTTTCAACGCATTGATCTGTATTGTCTCAGCAAACTCATTCAACTTGTCCACTTCCTTCTGCAGCTCCTCTTTTTGGCTCTGCAAACAACTCAGCTGGGCCTCACAAGTTGCTAAATTCGATTGGCATTCTTTGATGTCATCCTTAGCAGCTAAAAGGGCTGCTTCTTTGTCTTCAACATCATCCCTTTTCTCAGTCTCTGCCGGAACACCATTACCTCCGCCTGATTCGAGTGAATCCACCACAACCCGAAGCCTTGCTTCAGCCAGAGACAACGCCATTGTAGCCTTGTGAACAGCGTCTTGAGCAAGAGATTCCTTATCAACCGTATCGCGAATCACATCAAGGGTTTTGTTAACCTCAAACCAAGCAGTGGCCGCTTCATCTTTAAGAGCAATCGCTGTCTCTGATATTTTCTGAGCCTTTTCCTCGAACATGGTACTATTGAGCTTAGCAACTTCCAGTTCTTGAATTGCCTTGTGGAGTAACTCCCTCAGTTCATCCAAACTATCGGTTTCGTCTTCGGCTCTCACATCTTTTTCTTCACTTGTTTCTGCACTACCTAGAGAATCATTACCTAGAGAACAACTTAACCTAAATCCCAAGGGGAAACTTTTAGCTTGGCGGTTATTGCCAAGTATTGATTTTCTATGATTCAAGAGACTTGGAGTGAAATCCGCATTCAAAGTCAAGGTACCAATTTGTGCTACATTTCTCCTGAATCGATTACCCAAGTGCACTTTAGAATAAGTCTTGTGATCCCAGAATCTGTTCCTGATTCCTCCTTTGGGGCATAAGCAATAACTTACACCATCCCCACCACCACCATGAAACAAAATCGGCCTACTAAATGCAGATTCCATATCGAATCAAGTTAGAGTAGCTTTACTTTCTTCCTCCAAACTTACACAGCACCTGTAAAGCAAATTGAAATTCAGGAGGAGAATGCGATATGAAGTCAGTGGGTTTAATGTAAAACCTCGATAGAAACTCTAGACGCCAAACGGAGACAATCGCGAAGCACAGAGAGAAACTAACCCATCATGGAAAATGAAAAATGGTGGTAGTAGAGAGAGTAGCTTGAGTGGTCTGATAAATTCTTCCGACCGACGACCAGATTATAATTTCCCGTCTCTTCAAATATTTTCCAGTCAAAGTTTCTCTCTCCTTGCTCGCCAACCAGACAGACATGGTAAGGTTTATTTTGTCATTTACGAAAACACCCCGCTCATATCAGACATACGTTAACCGATAATAAGTCAAATACAGCAGTATATCAACGTATGATTCGTATCATCCGAGAACCAGTTGGTTTGATTCGGTACGTGAGTTTGTTAATAACCGAACAAATATTCTTTCGCTTCGAACGCATATTCTTCCATATGGAAAGTCTCATTGTCAAATTTACATGACAAATTGACAAGATCTCTCTTTTGCAATAGAAAAGTGACACGATTCACTACTAAATTTTAGGGGATCAGAATATTACAACAAAAACAAATAAATTGATTCCTAGAAAATCATCAAGATTACGAAATATGACACTTGGCAAGAGTAGAGTACGAATCTCCACCACCATCCAATCATCTATCAGCAAGTAAGCATGTCAAATGTCAATAATTTACACACAGTGGGAAATCAAATTTTGCTTGCTTCGTGTGTAGTGTTGAAGAATAATGTATAACGAACGAATCAAAAAATAAGAAAAATTAACGTCTTCATATGGAAACAACTCATTACAAATGAAATGATATATAATCTTTCCCGGCAACATTCATTCAGACACTCACAAGTCACCCAAAAGATTTTTCTTAGACGCCGTTCTCTTCCTTGGCCTCGATGGCGATGTCTTGGTCTGTAGGCTCCGGGGGAAGAGTGTTGCCTGAGGCGGTGCGACGGTGGTTGGCGGCTTGGAGGACGTGAGCGTAGTTGCCTTTCTCCATGAAGAGTTGGTTAAAGTGATGCCGGCAATAGAGGACGCCGTCTAAGGAGGCGTACGAGGAGTGAGTGAGCGTGCAGCCACCGTGGGCGCACCGGAAACATGTCTTGTGGAAGCATTCTCCTTCCATTTGCACCTGTTTTTGTTATATGCCAAAGAAACGACACGTTACTTAACAGAAACGGACGTCGATTACTAAAAAAATCCTCCTTTCGGACCAAGAACATATATGAATGAATTGGGTAACACAAACCTTTTCAAGAGGGTAAACAGTTTTCTCACAAGCAGCACACTTGTCTTGTGTTCCACAGAAGATGGAAGATATCTTGCTGGGCGTCCTAGTCTGTGTGATTTGTTGAAATCAATACATTCAGATTCTATTGGTCATGGTTGATCAGTCATAAATTTAAGGATGAATATGAACACGGTGATTAATTAATTATTATTATTATATAGTATGAGATATGGAGAAAAAAATGAATGAGGAATGTACCAGTTCTGGCTTCTCAGTTTTTCCTGGTAAAAATAAAGGAATTTGTTTCAATCCTAATTATGTTTCAATCCTAATTATGGTCATAACTAATCAAGTGAGAGATAGAGATTGAAATGTAACCTGGTTGAAAGTTTTTACTGAAATTGCCAGATTCCTTGAAGAGTTGCTCGAAATGAGTCTTGCAGTACAAGACTCCGTCCATGGAGGAATAGTTGCTCATCTGCCAACCAACAGTATTTTTTTTCAAAAAATTATTGATTGATCTTAAATAATATATGGAAATGGCATCATCATCATCATCATCAACAAGAAATTAGGAACTAATTATAAAAATGATCTTAATTATATGATAAGACTAGAGTAATGAACGGTTTCTCTCATACCACAAGGGTTCCTTTGCAGTGGGTGCATCTGAAGCAAGACTTGTGGTAAGGCATTCCTTCAATGGACAACATGTCCACCACATAGACTGTCTTATCGCAAGCATTGCATTTGTCTAGAGTTCCTGTGAAAGACATTTTTTTGCTTCTTTTTCTTCTTGTTGTTTCCTTCTCCAAGATCCTGAACGAACCAGTTTATTTTTTATTTTTTATTTTATCAGATCAAGAGGTCATCTGAGGAATGGATTAGAGAAGGAAACCCACAAAAAAAAAAGAAAGGATTTTTGTTTTTGTTGTTTACCTCAGACAAAGGAGGAACCAGCGAAATTTGTGTCTTCTTTTATACGGAACTTTGTTGCAATTGTGAGGTTGTAACGGAGCAAGTTTTTTCTTTATTTTTTCCTCTCTCTCTCTTTGTTAGTGCAAAACCAAATGAGATAAAATTGGGTGGAGCAAAAGAAGGGGTTGTGGTTTCTGACGATTTCAAACACTTTAAGGATGTTACTTTAAGCCAACTGTCTCTGAGGTGGTGCAACCCATGTCAGGCAGACAGAGGTTTCTAAAGACCTGAAAAGCATTATAAACCAAATATTTGTTTTGCTTGTTAATTAATAATATATGCTTTCTTGTATGCGTCTGTGTCAAGATACCCAGTTGTATATTAAAGCAATTTATACAGGGAAATGAACAGAAAGTGAAGCACCACTAAGTCGATTTCCTCTTTTGCAATATTATTATTTTCGGATTACAAAGAGTAGTTCAAGTTAGTCCCACACATTATTTGAATAGAAAAGTGTTGTAGTCTGATACTCTGATATGTAAACAAGAAGATTTACAACACAACATGTTGACACAAGATGAGATCTGAGATTGTCTTTCCGTGTCGATCAATTCTCCTGGAACAGTTGACCCCACCATCTAATATGTTCCGTACGACAACATTCAAAGCATGAATGCCTCTAACATGGTATATCTCTACCGAAACATCTTCATCGGTTGATAACAGGACTGACATGACCTTTTTGACACATTTAGGAGTAATGATGAGTTTCAGACGATCGATATCTGGGGAGTAATGTGGGATTAGTGAGAAGTTTATGTCGTTTCCTTTATCACCAGCGCGGCTATGAGCAACAGAGTAGAGTGGGATCTTCTGGCCAGATGGAGCAGGAGATGAATCCCTCCATTGATCGCCTCTCATTGTATGGTTATTTGGAATTTCCATAAGGATCTACAAGTGGAAGCAATACCAAAGCAAGCTGTTATTTCTGTCTCCTCAATAGCTTAGTAGGTCTTTTCTTTTCTCACTAACCTTTGGGAGTTCCACTCGAGCAACTGGAAAATGAACTAAAGGGGCCTCCTCTGACTCTGATGTGTTGTTGGTGTGCTCAACTCCAGTTTTCCACATTACAGATTCACGGCTGACCTGGATAACCAAAAATACGTATATGACATATCACATCAGAAGCCAGTGAAGCTGATTTATGCAAGGCTATGATGATGGAGAGAGGACATTACCAAACGCTTTTCAAGAACAATCTCCATCTTGTGTCCGGTACTGCATATACATTTACATTGAGATTGCCAAGATTATCAGATATAAGTAAGTCATGACATGTCTCAAATCAACAGGATCTGGTACTATCAGATAGCTGTAGTTTTGGAGCAAACAACAACGTTAAGGGATTACCTAATTCCACCGCCACCAGCTGGTCCGTTTGTATACAAAGCAGTAAACTCTTTCGTTAACTGCACCGCATGTTCCTTCTGTTTGAAAAGACCATCCATACGTAATCTAATATCCCCACATGACTGCCACGATGATTCAGCGCCGTTGCTTGTTGCCTTCAAGCTATCAAGCCCAATCACATAAGCAAGGATACAGTGGTTAACACCAGGAATGGTTTCTTCCATCCAAGATCGAACCTGAAACAAAACAAAACACAAGTAAATTAAGTATACACTTGAAAAGAAATTCAATTCCAGGCACCATAACCATATAGGCACACCAGAAACTCTGAAGCTTTAGCACGTTGAATAGATCCATGTCCTCCATAAGATATCTCTCCCCATCCTTTCCAACCACACTCCTGAAATTACAGTAGGAGTTATAGAACCAATCGATATAATGTTACCAGCATTTTCTATATAAACAACCTTTGGAATCAACCGCAAGAGTTTCTCAGGCACAGCAGTGTTGACAGATGGTTTTGCTCCAATACATTGTACTTTGCAGTCTGACAGGGGAAGGAAAGAAACGTCTCCAATATCAATTACCTGCAAAGAAGATTCTCAAATCGTCTGTTTGCATTGTCATAAGTTATAGTAATTCCTTCTGGCTTTTGTAAGTCTAACTCACCACATCGGGTGTAATGTAGGCACTAGGATCAGCAATTTCATATAGAAGTTGCTCGGCACAAGTAGCCGTATTTAAAATGCCACCACTACCTTGAGCCTTTGACACGCATACTTTTCCATCATAGCCAATTTCTGCATAAGGAAGTGACAATTCCTGGAGGAGAGGGAAAGCCATGTCCCTATACTGGTCACCTAAAGAAGATTGAAGAACGGAATCGCCATACCGAAAATGACAAAACAGCAGCTCATAAAGTCTTCCCTGAGCCAGTTAAGCGTGAAACGCACCTGGATGCATGAAGTACCCACCAGTGAGCTGACAACCGCACTCCAGAAGGTGGCCAGCAAGAGTTCCCTGAGCTAGCAGCTCCAAGTCATTCCAGTTCCATCCTAGCTCATAGACCTAACCATGCAACAAGGAAATGATCAGATTCCAAGCCCCTCTTGCATCTAAGCCAAGCCATATATGATTACAAATCTGCTCTCAAATATTATATAACTGGAAAGATAGCAAGAGTCCCCACCATTGGTGCTAGAAATAAGGCTGCATCAGCCACTCTTGAAGTAAGTATCACGTCTGGTTGGTACTTCTCCAGGCATTCAACAATAGGAGCTGCTCCAAGATAAGTGCTGGTACCCTTCAACCAAGAGAAATAAAAACAAAATCACTGTCACTAGCTGATTATGATCATATTATATCCCAGTGACACATGCGATCAGAAGTTAGAGAAGCAGAATCCTACCCCCTCAGAGCAACGTTGACCGCCAAAAGATGATTCCGAGCCTAAATAACATTCAAAGACACACTTATGAAGTGCCGTATTACTATATCTCCCCATTGAAGGTTGCTAGCTAGTAGCTAGTACCTGTTTCAGCATGCACCTCATGCGCCACAGCCACGGAAATTGTGAGCCCTAATTCATTGGCTACCTCAACAACTTTCTTCTGAGCCCCACAGGGATCAACTACAAAGACAAAACTAGATTTTTCAGACGAAAATATTTTAAAAAAAAGTAAGAAAAGAAGGCCTCCGAAAGCTCTCTCTTACTTGCACCCATGTTAGTGATTATACAAGTGCCTTTCTTCACAGCCACAGGTAGTAACAAACGCATCCACTCTGAAACTGGACACGAGCAGAAAAAAGGGCTGATTTTGAAGCTGTAAAACCAACATAGGACTATGAGAGAGCCCCGGAACATATTACATACCACGAGGGTCGTAGCCTTCACCGCCAGATGCCATACAGAGCCACCGATCAGCCAAGGTTCGTTCGGCTAAGCACTCAAGGACCAGATAGTTAATCTCCGCAGCTCGCTGAAGCAGTTTGAGAGCCGCCACTGGCCTATCGCCGCCGAACCCAGCACCACATCCGACGTAAACCGTCTCCTTTCGTCTCTTGGGATTCTCTCTCTGAAATTCATATAAAGAATCAAGCTTTCACCAAAAAATGGATGAAACAAATGAGTTATCTTACCAACTTTATCACACAATTCTCTCTGAGATTCGCCATATGATTCTGGAACGAGATAATGTAATCGAGATCACGGATCGCTTAGAATTCTGAGGGCGATCACCGATTGGTTAGTTAAGCTGAGGAATTTGAATTTAGGAGAGACGACAAGGAAGCGAGTGAGCTGAGTTGATGCTTATCCCCATTTTGTCTAGTTAAATTTTAATTTTTCTGAATTTTTAATACAGCCCCTAAACTTTAAACTAATTTCACGCGGGTCCCTTGCTTGCTCCTTGAATCAATTTGTGACTCAAGTGTTGTGGAAAATCAAAATTTGGACCAATGGAGGTTTCTGCGGAGGAAGCATTCTCCAGCGATTGGGGAGATAGAGTTTCAGAGAAGGTTGTGTTAGCTTATATATCTCTGCCGAAGAAGGGAAAACCTCAGGGACGGGAAGTCACCGTCTTATCCGCTTTCCTTGTCTCTTCTCCTTCCCAAGGTAGAAGCTCGCCATCTCTATTTCTGTAATCTATATTGCGTCCTTGTTTCGGTTGTTGAGCAATTAGGGGGGTTTGTTTGTGTGCAGACCCGGAAGTGATAGCGTTAGGGACGGGGACCAAGTGCGTTAGTCGGTCGCTGTTGAGTCCCCGTGGCGACATTGTGAATGATTCTCATGCCGAGGTTGTCGCCAGAAGAGCTCTGATGAGGTTCGTCACACTGACTCTCAGTGTCTCCTCTTAACTTTTTGCTGCTTATGTAAATGGTGGCTTTTGTGAGTCGTGCAGGTTCTTCTATTCCGAGATTCAGAGGATGCGAGGGGCTTCGGATAAGAGAAAATGTTGTAATAATGGAGCCAAGCGTCAGAGAAATGATGGCGAAACAAGTTCAATATTACTAGAGTTAGACCCAAGCTGTCCTGGAGATGTGAAATATCAGCTCAAATCTGGATGCCATTTGCATTTGTACATTTCTCAATTGCCATGTATGTGATTTTAACATCAACTTCTTCTTTCGTTCCATGAATGTGGCATTGACATGTTTTTCATATGTAAGGTGGTTATGCTTCTACTAGTTCACCCTTATATGCACTGAAAAAGATTCCATCAACACAAGTAGATGAGTCACTGTTGGATAAAGGTTCTCACATTTGCTCCTCGGGGCATTCTCATGTCCCAGAGATAGGTAACAGCAACAAATAGGTTTTCTCTGCTTACCTTGCTGTTATTTAGCATATGGAGGATAGACTGATGTTTTGCCATCAATTCACTTGGGATGTACAAATGGCTCCATTTCAGATAATGCCTCACGAGTAACAGACATGGTACAAAGAAAGCCTGGTCGCGGTGAAACCACACTCTCTGTTAGCTGTTCAGATAAGATAGCTCGATGGAATGTTCTTGGAGTTCAAGGTTTCTTCTCTATTTTATGCTTTTGCAAGCTGTTCTAAACTCCTAATTGCGTCATGCATATACGTATAAACTATATGGTTCAATGGTTTTGTTCTTGAGTGTCTATACCTGAAGTTTAACAGAGAATTTGTTGTGTCATTCAAGATTTGCTTATGAGCGTCTTCTCTCTTTGTGTGTGTCATTCAGGGGCATTGCTTTCCCAAGTCCTTCAGCCTGTGTATATATCTACCATCACCGTTGGACAATCTCTGCACTGCCCTGACAATTTTTCTTTGGGTGATCACTTGCGAAGATCTTTGTATGAGAGGATTCTTCCATTGTCGGATGAGCTAATGACTTCCTTCCGTTTGAACAAGGTTCATTTGCTGCTTTAGACCAAGCTGTCAAGCCTGTCATGTAGTTGCTCGCATGCATCATTGTTCTGATTCCTTTCCAGCCACTCGTTTTTGTAGCTCCAGTACCACCATCAGAATTTCAGCATTCAGAAACTGCTCAAGCTACCTTAACATGCGGGTTAGTTTTCAATGCTCCCAACTCTTGTTCGCATGCCTTATTTGTCTTTTCTTTGTTTCTTACAAGGTGGCGATTCAATTGTTGTCTCTTAGATATTCCTTGTGTTGGAACCAATCTGGCTTACACGAAGTTATTCTTGGAACAACTGGAAGAAAGCAAGGCACCTCAGCTAAAGGAGCTCTGTATCCGTCTACTCAGTCGTCTATATGCAAGTAAGGGGAGGAGCCTTGTTATCCTTTCTTATTACTACTAGTTTATATCATAATTATATCTATCTTTTTCATAGACAGAGGTTACTGGAGCTATTCCTGAAAGAAACTCATGGACACGAAAGTGAATCTTCTAAGGCAGAAAGATCTTACCGAGAGCTGAAGGTGTGTGTGATGCTGATTCTTTTCTGCTTCTTCATTTTGGGTTAACATGCTTCCACTGGTACTAAAGTGTATGAACCTCACAGCGAGTGTTTGGCATGCATGCCGCAAGATTGTGATATTGTTCTCTGGTTTATTGTGAGATCATTTACGTTTTTTTTGTTGCTGTTCAAACTCTTTGCAGGACAAAGCTACGGAATATTCTTTGATGTCAAAGATTTTTAAAGGAAAGCATCCATTCAACAATTGGCTAACAAAGCCTTTGAGTTACGAGGATTTTCTCATAAAGTAGTCGTGAGGTATGTCATCTTATTTCCTCTCTCTATCAACCTACTGTCTTTGCATCATTTAGTTCATTATCGTCGACAAGTTGCTTAGTTTTGACAGATGTCGTTAGGGAAGCAATATAATGAACTATTATTATAAATTGAAAACAAAAAAAAACGAGAGGTGAGACCTTGAATGACAGAAAATACAAACAGCAGAAAAATGAAATGGAAAAACCCCAAGAAAACGAAAGCAGAAAATATGAATTTGACTGAAACGAATTAGAATGCGGTTAACTCCATTCAGAGGTTGACTCGTCCTTTGATGATGTCGAGGCTCATCTCGCTAGGATCAGTTGCTTGCAATTCAACTTGAATGCCATCCAATTCCCTCTTGAATCTGTCCTTTGAGCTTGCATACAGCATCTTACTCCGCACTCTTGATATATCAGGTGACCTGAAGCAAGGCGATGTGATGTCTCAGTAATTATATAAACAAGAAGGCAAAAACAAGAACAAGGGGGAAGAAGAAGAACCATGCGATGAAAAAGATCTTGCTCTTCTGGCAGTTCTCAGGGGTGGTGAAGTCGAAGTCGTAGACAGCATATCGGCACTCGTCCTCAGGCATACAGTTGGTGAAATCGTCGTAAGTTTGTTCTGGATTCCCAACCGTATCTATCATAACTTGCTGAGCCTTCTCATCAATTTTGAATACAATGAACCTATAATTCCTCTTTGATTTCAACTCCAAGAACTTGAGCTTGCACTCATCGTCTACGTTCATACCAGACGCTGAATTAGCCTGCACACACACACACACACACACATAGACATAGTCACCACCTATATGATCACAACACATTATTTGATACTGTTGGCAATACGAGATTTTGGTAAAAAGAAACGAAGGAACTTACCATGTTCTCTGCTTGAAATTCGGGATTGATAGATGATTGGAAAAACTAGCTAGAGAAGGTATTTAGAGGAAGAAGAGAGGAGAGTAGGAGGTTGGGTTGGGTCATTAGGCTGGTCACGTCTTAAAACCAAGACGACTTTGATGCTCTCACGTTGTGCCCATATTTACTTGATTAGATTTATTAGAGGGACTTATTGATATCAATATATATATATATATATATATGTTTTATTATTCACGCATAGACATGTCTCTTTATGTGTAGTGTAAAGCACATGGATGTGGTGAAGTTTTTGTTCCGGACATGGTTGGGGAGTTGAGGTTTCATGATGTACATGTTTTCTTTGTTTTCTATTTTAATTTTGACCTTTTCTTTCCTCGCGCTTGATCGTAGACTTTGCTAGTTTTTCCTTACGCTATTTAATTAGAGAAAGAAAAAAACAATATTTAACCTAGAGAGAAAATTCGAGTTCATCATCTGATTCTTTCTTTTAACCAATTGAGATATTGAAAAATTTATCAATATGAAATGATTTTATACGAGAATATCCAAATTAAGCAAATTAAATTAGCCGAAAACACAACGATCAAAAACGTCTTCCCCATGGAAAAGTTGAACCCAACAATGAAAGCCCACCATGCCATGAAAAGAGGCTTGGTTACGGCGGGAGCCAAACGGTAAACAAACCTCTCTTTTTTTTTTTTGCTCTAGTAGCTTCGATTTCGATTATTGATTTTGAGTTCGGTTTAGTCTTCTATGAAGACAGACCCACTCGGTTTCACATCCAACCAACCATAGTATTAAACCGGTCACTCTCACTGTCACTATCCGAGTTGACTCACCCACCTGTTTCTACTTTCTAGTTGTACGGCCAAATTCCTCTAATTCGCTAGATGAGAAATCGAATTGAAAGATTGATTTGATCCTAAAGGATTGAGAAATTTCCCTAATTGAAACAGAATCATCGATGGGAGGTCAAACCTCTAAGATTGGTAAATGTTGTTGGAATTCATTACACACCACTGCTCCTGCTCCTCTTGATGTTGGTGAATTACAATTTACAACCCCAAGCTCTCTTTTTCCTTTTCTTTTTCTTCTTTTGTTTTGGCTTTCTTCATCCCTTTTTTGTTCTAAAATAAATTTGTAGGAAACCAAGAGAATGGTGAGGTGACAAGGGATGTGCTGTGTTTTCGTGAATTCACACTGGAAGAGCTTAAGATGGCCACCTCTGGTTTCGCTATGGAGAACGTTGTATCTGACGATGGACAAACAGCTCCAAATGTTGTCTATAAAGGGAAACTGGAGAATCATACCAAGATTGCTGTCAAGCGCTTTTCTCGAATGGCCTGGCCAGATCCACGCCAATTCCTTGTATGTTTCTAATGCCAAAATTCTTGTTTCTCTTTTATAAACTTGTGATAAAGTCCGTTTTCCAGGAAGAAGCAGCATCTGTTGGTCAGCTACGCAGCAAAAGAATGGCCACTTTACTCGGTTGTTGCTGTGAAGGCTGCCATAGATTACTTGTGGCCGAGTTTATGCCTAATGAGACATTAGCCAAACACCTTTTCCACTGTAAACACCCCTTTGATCAAGAAGAATCGTTTGGTGCTCTTTTTGATAGATGATGTCTTAGCACATTTTCAATCAACAGGGGAAACACAACCGATGAGATGGGAGATGCGACTTCGGGTTGTTTTATACCTTTCAGAAGCTCTCGAGTATTGTAGTAACAAAGGACACACTCCGTATCATGATCTCAATGCTTACAGAGTTTTATTTGACCAGGTAATTCCACTAAACTACTTGTAATAAGCTCTTTTCCGAGACACCATTTCTGTTTCATTAGCTCCCTGACTCTCTGTGGCCATTTGAAGGAATGCAATCCAAGACTTTCAAGTTTCGGGTTGATGAAGAATAGCCAGCATGGCAAAAGTTACACCACAAATCTTGCTTTTGCCTCTCCAGAGTTTATACCAACTGGTGAGATGGATTTACCCCCTCCTCGTTGGTCATATTTTCCAGTTATTCATATTCTAATATTGAGATGATTAACTGTGTGTGTGTTGTTGTTTCAGGGAGAATCACAGCAGAGAGTGTGATTTACAGCTTTGGCACTCTTTTGCTTGATCTTCTCACTGGAAAGCATATTCCTCCCAGCCATGTAAGTGTCCAATGTAGCTACAATTTCTCATTCTCTTAGACTTCTCTTTAACTATTTATCTCAGCTCAGCCTGTTGTTGTGTGGTAGGCCCTTGATTTGATTCGAGACGGAAATCTTCAGACGCTAACCGATTCCTGCTTGGAGGGACAAATTTCCTACAGTGATGGCACGGAGTTAGTACGCCTGGCATCTCTTTGCCTTCAGTATGAGGCTCATGAGCGGCCAAACATCAAATCATTGGTCACTGCACTGATATCTCTGCAGAAAGACACAGAGATCCCGTCTCACGTTCTAATGGGTGTGCCTCAAAGTGGTAATCTCGTGTCACCTCCATCTCCTTTTGGTGAGGCCTGTTCGAGAACAGACCTGACCGCTATGTTTGAGATCTTGGATATTATTGGATACAAAGACGATGAAGACGTAAGTAAATGGTTTATTTATCAACTGTTGACTTCACATCCCATGAAAGGTTTCTTCAGGGTTTTATGTTTAAATGCAGCTTTCGTTTCTGTGGACGGACCAGATGCAAGAGGCTGTGAACTCCAAGAGAAAAGGCGATATTGCGTTTACACGGAAAGACTTTAGTAAAGCCATTGAGTTTTACACGCAGGTCTGTCTTTCTTCTGCATTTGAATCCGTAACAAGACCTTCCTCCTTATTTGATGATAATGCCCATAAATTCTGGCCCAGTTTCTTGATTTGGGAATTATCTCTGCAACAGTCTTTGTGCGGCGGAGTCTAAGTCACCTAATGATGAACATGGCGAAAGAAGCTTTAGATGATGCAATGAAGGCTCAAGGCATTTCTCCACTGTGGTACGTTGCATTGTATCTCCAGTCTGCTGCTCTTGCTGCCCTGGGAATGCTCACGGAATCCCAAATCGCACTTACCGAAGGGTCCACTCTTGAGGCCAGAAATATTTCGGCTTCCACTCAGAACTAAAGTCGATTACTACTCCTTATATTGTGGACGTTTTGGTAAAAGATGAAGAAGATTTGGTTTGTTCAAGGGAGACAGACACAATCCATTGTTTCAATTGATACATAGGAGCATTTGGATGTTACACATATTGTACTCGAGTGATTAAAACTCCATCGAACGAAGAAGCTAATCCATTGTTTCATTTGATACATGAGGACACGAGCGAGTATGTAATGTATAATAAAAACTCAATTAACAAGAGCTAAAGAAACCTTTATTTATAATGTCTTGTGCGACTCAACCTCTGCCTCCGCTTGAATAATCGGGTGAGAGCTTCTGTATTCTTCCTTTGACATTCCACAGTACACAGCTTCTGTGGCTCTTCCTCCATAGGTTATGAAGTTCCAGCCAAAAGCCGACCCTCCGACCACCGCGTCTGCCGCCTTGTCGCCATCTCCATCAGAGCTCTGCTTCTCAGTTTGGATAACAGAGATTGTCTCAGATGATCTCAGCTCAGTAGTACTACTCTGAGGTGTTTGATCGATCGCCTTTCCGTTGGATAAGGACTCGCTCTTAGCTGTCTTCTCACGTTTGGGTGTGTTTGTATCTCCAATCATCTCTTGGTACAGTTGAAGCATGAGCTTCATCTCTGCAAACATGATACAAATTTCAGCTCAGAATCAAGAAAAGTTGAGATTTTGCCTTGTTGGAGCTGAGTAAAAGTTGGGACTTGGGACTCACTCTGTTGAATCTCGATTGCTGCCGGACAGTTCCTGAAGTCTGGAGTTCGTAGAAGCTGTAACAGATATCTCAATTTTCAACTCTCAACACTTATTTCAGAATAGACTAGGAGAGTGTTGGAATCGAGATGCATCTACCTCGAGAACGTGAGGGCGGAGATCTTTGAGAAGGAGACGCATCTTGTAGTAGTTGGACTTCTCCATCTGACGATTCCCTTCCAACGCTCGCTTTCTGCCCCTAGACGACGGATCCGCGGTAGCTATCGACGGTGGCGTAGGCACCTGAGCTGCCAATTGTGGCTGAGCCGCGGCTGTCGGAGTCGGTAACATTTGTGAGGGTCCAGGAGTGAAAGCCGGCGAGCTGTCCAAGTCCATAGCGAGCGAAGGTAACTCAGCTGCGACCATCGCCGGCGAAGATCTCTGATCTGCGGCTGTAGGAAGCGGAAGATCTTGTGCTGGAAGAGACGAGGTAGCAGAAGGAGGAGGAGGTGGCTCAGCGATTTGAGTAGCCGTCGAGGTCGATTTCTCCATTTTCAAAAGGCTTTTTCAACCGCCCAAAGAGATCTCCATCAAACGCACCTCCGTGGTGCCTACACGAGCACAGGGAACGACGCAGACGAAATGCTGACAAAACGACGTCGTGAATGAATTTCTGAAATGTTTGGGCCTCCCTCTTTAAGCCCATACATATTTGTGAAGAGAAAATGAAACGGCACGCATTTTAAGACTTTATAGTTTGTGGGGGAAACACTAAAACGGCTCGCAGTTTCTCGAAACACCCAAATTTTTATTCAGCAACAAATTTCCGTCTTGCCCTTTCGATTAGCTTCTTCGTCGTTGCGAGATGAATCCCCAAGTCGACAAGGTCGTGAGAAGAACGACTATGGTGGCGACTGCTGTTGCTTCCTACTTCCTATTAACCGCCGATTACGGTCCCGAGCCAAACATCCTTGATCCTGTGAGTTCCGATTGCTTCCTTCAGCGTCTTTGTCTATTCTCTGAGAATTTGTTTGCTTTTTCATATGAAATCTTGTAGTTTCTGAATCAGCATCGCTCGTTTCTATTTGTTTCCGTCTCCATCGCTGTCCTTAAGCGCACAAATATCATCGTTTAGAAATTTATAGGATGTTGTAGATGACCGAATCGCAGATAATTGCTGATTTGACCTTGATTAGGGTTTATGGAATTACAACCAGTAGGCTGGAATTGCAATTGGTTATTGATAGCTTCTACTTGGTAGGGTCGAAATCTGATTCCTCCATGATAAACCCATTTTTTTGAGTATCATAGACAAGTTTTGGATGGGATAAAACACTTTGGAATTACATCACCAGCTTTGTTATCTTTGTAAAAATCTGTTAGTTGAATTCTAGTGACTTGCTTTCCATTGCTCGTTGTGGTTTATCAGTCACTGTTGAGTCCTGAAAATGCTCATTTCTCTCTGAGAAAATAAGACTAATCTTGCTTTTTTATTGCTTATGGAGATGTTCTTGATCTTGCGCACAGTCAAATCAAATGACGAGTCTTGTTGACATTTGAGTCTGTGATTCTTACCCATATGATGACATTTGCAGATCAAAAAGAGAATAACATCAGCGCAAGATTCTGTGAAAGAGTTCATCTTCCCATCAAAGAACAAGTAACAAGACTCGATAGAAAGTAAAGTTGTAGCTGAACATGATTGACTGACTGTTTTGTTCCTTGTCTCGTTTTATGGCTGCCTTGTAGAGAGAGGTTACTGTACTCTACTTTCTCTAGTGCTTTCTTTAGTAAGTCCCCACTTTACTCTTTCTTAAGACTAAGATATGTTCATAATAAAAGTCAGATCATATGTGGATTACTTTCTTTGAACCTAAGCCTTCATTTATGGTTACATTCTCAGTACTAAATTTGTCGCATTCACCTTTTACGAGATACGTTTCAGATGAAAGGTTCACCTAGTTACAGTTGATCAACAAAAACTTCATCAACTACATCATAAGCAAAAAGAAATATACATATATTTTAGTTGATCACGGCGGAGATAATTTCTTTCATAGGTTTTGAGTTTTATAACCATTTAAACGAAAGACAAGTGGACTTTTCTACCCTAACAGTAGATACACTGATACATCGACTACCGTCCGATTAGAGAAATTACTCGATATCTGACGGTCTATCAAATAAACGAACACTGAACATATCTAATGGCGGCTCCGCTGAAACGGCACACTCATTGACCAAAACCGGTCTCGTGTTACCATAAACGGCGGCAGCAATCCTAATACGGTTTCTGCATGTACATGAACATATCCTGTAGCGGAAACAGCTGATTACTCTCTCCTCCAAACGCGTTATCAACAGTGGCATCTATGTAATTGTACCCAAAATTCAGGGTATTGTTTTTGTCAGCCGACCAATCCTTCCACTTGGGCTCGCTCTGAACCTCACTCGTGAACTCCGGCGACACCACATGCTCCGAGCAACTCGACTCCGTCGTATGCAGCTTCGGCACCGAATCCGACGTGTCAAAATACACGAAATCATTGGCCGTCGCCGTCTGTTGCGGTGGCGGAGGCATACCCATCTCCGTCACCCTCGGCTTCTCCTCCTCCACTTCATCGGCGATTCCTCCGTAAACTGGAGGTGGCGGTCCTCGCCTCTCGATAGCTCCTTTTTTGTTGTAAATCCGACAAAGAACCCAATCATCCAGCTGGCAAAACCAACACCGACGAAATTGGTTTCAAAAAAAAAAAAAAAAAAAAAAAATCCAGAGGATCGAAGAGACAAAGAGATGGAAAAGGATGTAACTCAATACCCTGAGGCTGTTCTTCTTCTTGCGAACCGAGCGGTCAACGTCGGCGAGACGGTACTCGTGCATAATCCAATTGGTTTTCTCTCCTTTTGGCGCTTTCCCGGCGTAGAAAACCAGGGCTTTCTTAATCCCGACCGGTTTAGGAACTCCGATCGGTTTATCAGCTCCCGTCGCTTTCCAGTAACCAGATCCAGCTGAGCGGTTTGGCCGCGAACCGTTGGGATATTTTCTGTCTCTGGGAGAAAAGAAATACCATTCTTTCTCACCATATAAGGCCAAACCTGAAGTTTTCAGAAAGTCGAGTTAGGTGATATATTCAGATTCCCAAAATCTCCTAGTTAGCCAAAATCTCATAGTTAGCGGAAAATTTAATTACCGGGAAGCTCCCACGGATCGAATTTGTAGAGATCGATCTCAGCGATGATTGGGACGGCGATTGACTGCGAGGCACATTTGCGGCAGAGATAGTGCATGACGAGCTCTTCGTCCGTAGGGTGGAATCGGAATCCTGGAGGCAACTGTAATTCTGACATTTTTACCCTAATAAACCTTGAATTGCCACTTATGAATTGAGATTTGAGGGTTGTTGGATCCCTGTATCCTCCTAATCCTCTACCTCAGAAACTTGGCGTTTGAAACTTGAAAAGAAAGAGAGAAAAGTCAAATATATAAGGAGAGGGGAAGGACACGTGTCGGAATCTGGGACTTGTGTGTGGGGAGAGAGAAGAAGAGCTTCTAGAACACACGTGGATGGATGACGCTGCTGAGACACGTTTCGGATGGAGAACTCCGCTGCTGACGTGGCGATGGGGTGATGTTGTCACTGCTTACGTCTGTCGTCCTGTGGGATCCACTCACTTGTTGTAAAATCCAAATCCGACCGGTCCGATACGACCGAACCTGGGGTCTATCTCATGGATTCTTCGTTTCCGGTCGGTGGATCTGTGGTCCCACTCCCTCCGTATTTTTGGTCGTCTTTTTGCAAAAGGTTCAGATCATTTTCTAAGCCGAGTAAACGGTAATATAACCAGCATCTGTTATTTTTCTAGCATCAATTTTCACGTTTAATTTAGTACATACCCATTTGATTCTGTGATTGTTACCCGAAAGATGTGACACTGTGTATTTTGTAGACCGAATCAGAGGATAACATCATATGAAGAGTTTTCATCTTTCAAACCAGAGAAAGCTCATTTTCAAAGTAGTACAAAATCAAACAGGTCTTAGTTTCTATTTGTAAAAGCCATGAGAGTCCGCAATGGAACCATGTAGATAGATATAGCGTGAAAAGAAAAAGAAAAATAAAAAACGATTACATTCCAAGGCAAAGTGTTTATTTATCTAACCATGTAACTTCTTTTATTGGCGTCGCCGCAATTCACAGCTTGGAGGTAAGAGAAGGTTTAGGAGGTCTAGCCTCTCTTAACAAGGCCTCTTGGGTTAATGATACAACCAGCTGTGAGTTTCACAAATTAAAAACCATTTAGCAACTTGAATAAACAGATGTGGTTATCTATCTATCTATTACTATGATCTGTCATGTCAAAATATCCATGAATTCGCTGTTACCTCTCCTTTTCGGTTGAACATTTGACCAGTGACAAAACCACGTGTCATGTACGCAGTTGGGCTCACAATCTGCAAGAGGCATCGTCGTTAGTAGGTGATGGAAAATAAGTCGCACTCTGTAACATAACATAGAGGAAGAAATAATAATCATTGAGGGGTCAAACTACCACAAAAAGCAACCAATCATCAGCTCTTAGAGGTCGGTGAAACCACATCCTGCAACAAACCATTTCAGGAAAAGTGAGTGAGTGAGTAATTATTAATTAACGAAACAATGATTTGGAAGCTCCCTGCAGGTATAATGTCTCAAATGTAAACAAAAATTACCAACACTAATATTACAAAACCCAAGAGAAAACTTACGAATGGTCGAGGCTAAGTGCAGCGGATCTCAGGCCCTTTCTGCGGTGTGGGTTCAAACTGATGCTAGCAAATATTAAATCCGATGCAAATGCCACCACGCATCTGTACAACAATGTTATTAACAAGTTTGAGCTTTTAAGAGTCTCGACCATAATCAATTCTATCAATTGGTGATGGTACTAAAACACCATCGATTCACTTGTCTTCAGTGATTATCGCTTTAAAACTTAAAAGAGGGTTGTTGCCAAATGAATATTAGCAATGTTTTAGCTGGCTACACAAATGAAGTAAATGGAGGTACTTACCGGTGCAACGCTTGGTCATCAGAAAGCTTTCCCTTTGCTCTAAACCAATACCTCAATCTGCAATATGACTTTGCCAGAAGACAATAATAAACCAAGTTGACCACTTGTGCTTGCCTTCCTAGTGGAATGTATGACAATATGAACACATGCACTCAAGTGAGTTGTGAACCTGGGTGGAGACTTTGTCTGATTTGTTGAGTTGCTGGGATCACAAAATCGAATCTCAATAGGCCATGGAATAAAATTTGCAGTTGCAACTTTGTTCCGGTAACTCCTGAAAGGAAGAGACAATTGGAAAAGGGGTCCAACTTGAGCTAATGAGATACAATTGGAGACACTACCACTTACCTAGGTAGCTGAGGATCAGTTATACGACGGTCACGCAACTCCTCTAGTGATAGAAGCTGCAGCAGAGAATGGTTGAAGAAGGAATACCCTTTACAATTTACTGGAACCTTTAAACTTGAAGAAACAATTTACCGTATCAGGATCTGGCACAGAGGGCATGGTTGACTCCTGGTGATCAAATCCTTGTTGCTCTTTCTAGGAAATCAGTGAGAGAGGAAATTTAAAAGCTAATTGTGAAAGGCTTTTCTCTCTTGGTGGCAGATAGGCAGATAGTAAGAGGAGCATAAAGGTTCATTAGTTAAGCATGTTGAAAAGAATAAAATGGAGAACCTGAAAGGATGCCAACAACATGAAAATGATATTCCCTTTTTGAATTGCATCTACTCGTCGGGTGGCAAAGTTGTTCCCATCACGTATGCGGTGAACTTGATATATAATGGGGACTGCAAGAGTAACAAACTAGATGAATTTAAAAATAGGGAAGAAATGCATCATTTCTAGCTGGAAAGAGCACACTGAAATGATGTACATACTATCGATATCTCCAACGAGAAGGAAATAAGAATGTAAACTGTGGACTATCTTGAGAAAATCAACAGTTTTTGATGCAGCAGCAAGCGCCTGTAAAATGTTGGTAAGAAGTGGCTACTTAGTGGTTGTGGTTATCACTGCCTCTGATACATAACAAGCAAGATATAAAGGTGATCATTATACTTGAGCAAATGTCATACCTGTCCCATAAATTGTCCTCCAAAGACCTTCCCAAATATGGGAGCATCAGGTAGTGTGACCCCTCTAAAGATATTCAACTACACAAATTAAAAGAAGCACATGGAATAAGAGATGCACCGTATTTCATTTGAGTGAACTGATAGATTAACTTAATTTGTAGGGGACTGTAAGGAAATGGGAACAAAACTGAGAAGAAGGAAAGAAAGGAGAGGAGTGGGCCTGTGGGATGTGCATACTTCTAAAGGGTCGAGATGCAAAATGCGTTCCACTAAAGAGCATTGGTCAACTGCTTTATCCGACTGCCAGATTGAATTTGTCTCAAGCAGATGACAAGAACCACGAGGTAACACCAAACATGTAAGCTGCAATGACACACCACAAGAGAAACTCTTACACTCTTTCTCGTTTTGTTTGCATATGTTGAGCTCAAGGACACTCAAGTAGAGGTGACTTACCTCGGACATAGCAACAATGTCAGCTGAATGAACATGGCCAGAAATGCCTGTACAAACAAAAAGGGAACCTAAGTATATCAATCTCACCACCCAACAAAAAGTTCAGCGAAACAGACTAAAGAATCATTATCCATCCCACCATGGCCGAAGTAATCATATTGTTTCAGGAGAAACTCAGAACGGTTTTCTTCTTCGGCTGGTCCAGTTACCTGAGCCTGCGAACAAATAATCAAAACTTAAAGCTGATATCTTCCTATAGGGAACCTCAATGAATCGTCTTAGGGGGAAAACAAAACCTCTCCAGCAAAAATGAAATAGCATCCATCCCAAGCTTGGCCTTCTCGAACCACATAATCCCCTTTCCCTGCAACACAACACAACACAGCCAAAGCCTTATCTTTAACTTGAACCGTTTTCATCGCAGATTTACATGGTGAAAGGCCAATAAATTTAAAGTGCTTCAAAGTTCAAAGAGAATTAAAAAAACGAAACTCGGAAGTCAGAATCGAAGAGATCACCGACCATAGCGTTTCAGCACAACAACTTGAGCGATCTTTTTGAGAGAAGAGCTCGGAAGCTTCTGAAGTAAGGGAACGTTTCCAAGGAACTCCACAACTGCAAACCAAAGCAACAACATCAAATCCTTCCATCGGAGATACACCTAAACCCGGAATCTCATCTCACTATATAATTCAAATTTTCTCCATTTTCGATTTCCAGCGCCAGGCCAAAATACAAGTCCGGCATACCTGATTCGGTGTTCATCGCGGATTCGGTATTGTCGGAAGCAATCGCTGCTTCAGCTAACTGTATAAGATCGCCACACACAAAATGTCTATTCCTCCGACCGATGATGATTTTTTTTAAAAATAATAATAAATTTGTCCACGAAGGTAATTATCGGGTGCCCTCCGGTTTATGGTAGAGTACGTGGACTCCCTCTAGTTCAGTCGTCTGATAGTGTGATTAAAATATAATGATCTTACAACTTTTATGTCATCGTCGGTTACTTTTCCTCTTATTTAAGCTGCTCCAAAACGAAAATAGAACACAGAAAATGAAAGCTAGATCGATTTCTCCACAATGTGAGAAAGTAAACCCAAGAACAATGCGAAAGCCTTCACCAGCGATCAATTAGGTACAAACATGGCGCTATAAATAGAAACATATATATATGAATAGTGCTCGTCATTAAGAAGGATGTTAGAAGTTAGCAAATAAATATTGTATTTGCCGAACCTATTTTTGTTATATTTTAAGGAGATTGTTGATTTACTTGAGAAATATGAAACCTAACGAACGGAAAGCTCACACTAACTAACGTGAAACCTAATTTCCACTTGACACTTAACCTCTCTTTTTTTGTTAGAGCGAGTAGGGCTTTTTCTTGAAATAGCATTACCGGATCAACTATGTAATGAAGGAAGAAATCAAGAATTCTTATGCCCATCAATGCAATGAAGATGATCACGGACTTTGTTCTCCCAAAAACCCAACGGTCGAAAAAGTGATGATTGAGAAGTACACGGCGTCGATTCTGTTGTTTTTTTTTTCTAGGAGTCTGAGAATTCTTCTTGAAAGACGCAATAAATGAGTCCTTTAACAAAAAAAACATAATTTATCAACTAATCAAAATTACTCAACTCTATTTTATAAATGAAAAATCAGTAATAAGAACTAAAATAACAACTGTATTAAGTATATATATAAGCACTGTCTATATACAAACAACAACAACCAAAACTATGTAATACAAAACAACGCATGATTTTTGATACAGCGCTTCCAAACAATGGTATGCACGTCCGTGTCACGAACCGTGCAAAAATGTATTCTCACCTCTTTACATGATCATGTGCTATATTATAAAATTATGATCTATTTGTTACAAAATTGTTATATAAACAATAGAAATACTGAAACATCCAAAAATAATAACATATACATTTTGAACTATTATTAGTTTCGAGTTCATCGTGTCAGCTACATGGGTCCAAATGCTAAACCTCCGACCAGTGATCAATTGATAATAACATAATAATGTAATTTAGTTATAACCCGTTGACACACAAATAATAATTAAAAAAAGTTTATTCCATGGTGTGTTCATACACCGGCCATACATCTTTTTGATTGTAAATTAATAATCAAGGTCAACCAGTAGAAATCTTATACATTCGTTGTTTAAGAGTCAGTCTCTTGGCACCACACACACAAAAAAAAAAAGAGAAGGTAATTCCAAATTTAAAATGAAGGAAAATCCACTTGACGATATCAACCTTACGATCAAACTAGCAGTCATCCCTTCCCCGTATCGGACGGTCCACATGGTTCAAGTTTTTTTCTCAGTCACCATCATCTTGTCTTGTGCATGAAGAGAGTTACGTTATAAAGATTCAAATTCAATAGACAAATCTGCAGAAGTCTTAAAGGTAATAAATCAAATAAAGACCGTTGCTTCTTTTTTCTTCTTTAATTACGTTTTTAAAAATAAAAATATCAAACGTTTTAGAACAATATTTGATCAATATATATTTTTCTCTTCTGCTTTTCGATTTTGGCACGCCTAACGGTCTCTGCTTTTGCTTTTCTTTTAGGAAAAAAAAATGTTTTTTTTTGCTCGTTTGTTCTTACTTTACTGTTATTTGGTCCTCGAAATCTCACTATCCAAGAATCGAAAATTATTCCCGGTTCAAATTTTTCTGATGCTAAAGTTTGTCTGATAAATCACACAACCAAAGTTCTAAGCTTTCATCACATTCTTCTCACTGTATTTTTTTTATATTTCTTCTTTCTCTCTCTAATCACAGCAGAAGAAGCAGAAGAATTTTCAAAAACAAGATCTCTGAAAAGATGGAGAATATGTCAAACCCTGAAGAAAGCGACGATGTGAGTTATCATCAATCACCTCGCTCCATCGATCCAAATGATCAGTCGGCAACTGAAACTCCGGTCTACTCGACGATGAGCACAGATTCCTTTGCTTATCATCGAACATGTTCTGAAACCTCAGGAGGCTTTTCAGACCACATAGATGAAACCAGCAGCTTCTGCAGTGAAGTTTCTCATTCTGATTGGCCTCTCATAACCGAATCCAAGTCCGATATCTCAAATTGTCTCGCTGCCTTAGAAATGAAACATATTCGAAATGAGAATCTTGCAGTCCAAGAAATCTCAGAACCAGGTTTTGTGTTCTCACTCTCTGTCTTCTCTCTCTGTACATAAGTCCACTTTTAATCAGAGTCTTGAGATTGTCTTAAAATCTGAGCAGAATTGGAGACGATGAAGGAAAGATTCTCGAAACTTCTGCTTGGGGAAGATATGTCAGGAAGCGGCAAAGGCGTTTGTCCCGCAGTGACAATCTCAAACGCCATAACCAATCTTTATGGTAACCAAAACCTCATCACGATTTTTTTTTTTTTTTTTTTACTTTTTGAGTTTGAAAAGCCATCCAGAGAAGCTGTAATTTAATTTAATTAAATTTAATGTCTTGTGATTTCAAAATTGCAGCTACAGTATTTGGACAGAATCTAAGATTAGAGCCATTGGAGATAGAGAAGAAGACAATGTGGAAGAGAGAAATGAATTGTCTTCTCTCTGTATGTGACTATATATTCGAGTTTATCCCAAAGTCACAGAATCTTAGCAATGGAGCCACCGTTGAGGTGAAAAAAAAAATAGTCAATAGATTTGCTTATAATTTACATTGAAGAAACTGAAAATAACTGTAAAGCTTTTCTTTGGTCAGGTTATGGAGAGTAGAGCAAGAGCAGATATCTACATCAATTTGCCTGCTCTCAGAAAACTAGATTCCATGCTTATGGTAGCTAAAAAAACATGAAGATATCGATCGGTAATAAAAAAAAAGGATATTCATTTTTTGTATTTGCTTGTTGCAGGAGGCATTGGATAGTTTTCAGAAGACAGAGTTTTGGTATGCAGAAGAAGGAAGCTCGTCAATGAAGTCAACGCGATCTGCAACTGGATCCTTCAGGAAAGTGATTGTTCAGAGGAAAGAAGAGAAATGGTGGTTGCCAATTCCTCTGGTTCCATCAGAAGGTTTATCAGAGAGGGCAAGGAAACAGCTTAAGAGCAAGAGAGAGAGCACTAATCAAATCCACAAAGCTGCTATGGCAATCAATAGCAGCATCCTCGCTGAAATGGATATTCCAGATTCTTACTTGGCAACTCTTCCAAAGGTACTCTAATTAAGCAGAACGGATCATTTTTGTTTTCAAGTTATGGTTTGGTTTAAATGTCCAATCTTAAACTGTAGTTTCGTGTTCTTGCTTACACTTTTTGGATCTTCCATGTTTTGTTTGTTGCACTCTCAGAGCGGAAAAGCGAGCACGGGAGATTCAATCTACCGTTACATGACGAATTCAGGAAAGTTCTTACCAGAGAAGCTTCTAGATCGCCTCAAGATTGTGTCAGAACATGAGGCACTTGAGCTAGCAGATAGAGTAGAAGCTTCCATGTACACATGGAGACGCAAAGCTTGTCTTAGCAATTCCAAGTCTTCATGGAATATGGTGAAAGATGTTATGTCAAGGACAGAGAGGTCAGACAAGAACTATGTTTTAGCTGGGAGAGCAGAGTCTTTGCTCTTTTGTTTGAAACAATGCTACCCAGAATTGTCTCAGACATCATTAGATATATGCAAGATCCACTACAACAAGGTAAGAAACAAACAGTGTAACCTGCTGTAATCATGGAAGTATAACAATTGATGGATCTTTGATCTTCTTCATAATTTCTTTGTTAATTTGCAGGACGTTGGGAAAGCTGTGTTAGAGAGTTATTCAAGAGTTCTCGAAGGATTAGCTTTTAACATAGTTGCTTGGATTGATGATGTTCTTTATGTAGACAAAACAATGAGAGGGGAAGAAGAAGAACAAGTATAATTTAGTTTGAAGTTTTTATCTAGTTCATTCTGTTGCTCTCTTGTAGATTACATCAAACACGAAGAAGTAAAATCTAGCAAAATGCACACATCTATCTATAGATTTCTCTCTTTTATTTTCTCACCTATCACAAGTCAAGCATGAGTTGATCCAACAGATCATTTAGAATCAACTCACTAGTCTCAAAGCCAATGCACTCAAGCTCACATCTAATGTCTAACCAGTCTCTTGAGTTGGCCATGTCTTCCCCAACGATTTGGTCGAATCCCAATGGAAGGAGACGACAATAAACCTCTTTCTGAACCTCGTGAACGATGCCCTCCACACTAAATGACAAGACTTGGGCTCTGGGTTTAACGAACGAAACCCACTGAGGAAAGCTGCAGAATTCAAAGAGAACTTGGTTGATGCAGTCAAAGAGCAGCTCATGGTCAGCACAAAGCTGGTTTGGATAGAATGGTATGTTGCTGATCAACGCCGGGTTAAGAATCTGGTCAGAGAAGTCTGTTTTCAGATAGAGCTCTTCCCAGTTTGAGTCTATTGCATCCATCACCGCTTTTACGTACTTAAACACTGACTCTTTCTCATCCATTGGATTGGTTTTTTCTTGCAGCTGGTTACACGAAGGTTGTCTCTTTACTTCACCTGAGTTTTTTTTTTTATTAAAGATGAGTCAATGTTGATGAGTTTTGTTAAAAAAAGATTAGTCCACTAAGTATTGGAATTGAAATTTTTATTTCATACCTGTTCCTGGACTGATTTCATAGTCAATGAATAGCGGCTCGAGAAGTAATTTACATTCTTCAGTCTATTAGAAGAAACCAAAAGCAAGCATATCAATTTCGATACAATTCTTCTAACAGTTTCTTCATATCAAAATTTGCTTAGTGAATCAAAAAGAAAATGAACTTGCCTCTTTCAAGATGTGACCCTCTTTCTCTCCATCATAAGCTTCAACTTTTGACATCTCATCAACAATCTGGTCGCTTGATGAAGCACTTTCTATGTCTTTTATAGTTATGGAACCATCGAACAACCATTAGTTAATTAAAAGTTTCTACGTTTCCTCAAAACAAAAGAGAAAATGTTTATAAATACAAAAAAGAAAAATAAAGGTACCTGAAACTGTTTCAGACACCATGAAATCGTCAGAAGAGAAAGATCTGTCCCATGTTCGTCCTGGACTAGGGAAAGGAGATGAATACTCGGGAAGCGAGAAAGTCTCCGTTTGATCAAAATCTTGATCGCTTAACATCTCAGGAAGATGTTTTTGGTTGTTGTCATCGTGAGAGCTCCTCGGAGGTATTGAAGTCATCCGCTCGAGAAAGAAATGATCTTTGGTAGGTGATAAACTCCTCTGAAGTCTCTTATTCTTGGCCAATAATCTCTTGTTGTCATGTTGTGGTTTCTCCTTTTTGGATGAATGTTTCAGCTTCCTCATGATATCAGAGAGAAACAATTGCAGATTCTTGGCTTTGTGTTTTTTCATCAAACCCGAATCTTCATTCTCAGTTGCTTCTTGTGGTGGTGATGATGATCTCTTCTTCTTCTTTGTGAAAATACCAGATATCCAGCCTAACTGATCAGCATCTCTCTCACGTCTTTGATCAGAGCTTTTCTTGGGCATGGCTTTCGATTGGCATTTCAGATTTAACAACTGAACAAGGATTTGTGATACGCAATACTCATATATGGTTGTTTATAAGCAAAGATTTTCAAAGCCAAGAAACTTTTTTGACTTTTACTAAGAAATAGAGGAAATATTTATTGCTGAGGCTGACCGGTGAATTTCTTCAGAAACAAATTGATTGGTCATTGCCAATGAGTCATTGCATCATCGTTTTTGTTTATGGAACGAATCTACTAATTACAGTCTGCTGTTATTTAGCATTTATTTTCTTAACATATGTCCAATATTTTACCAAAATAACGTATTATTGATGGTTCTTGGATTTCTCTATATTAAATTTAGTTGAATATTATTAAAGACTGTATTAGTATCAATATTCATTCAGTGATTTAATTGTTATGTAATCTAAATGAAAACTCTCAAAAAAAGTAATCTATCTGAAAAGCTAATTAATAATTTTGTTCAAGAGAATTCAAAGGTTTTGGTAGTAAATTTGATCTGCTATGGTAAGGTACTAAGGTTTGATTCTTTGCATTTAGAGAGATAAAATTTTGAGATAACAAAGAACAACTAATCCAGTAACACTCGATTTTGAATAATTTTTTAAAAAATTTAGTAAATTTTATAAAACAACACCATAATGGGGAAGAGAACAAAAAATGTGATAATGGAAACTCACTAAATATTAGATAACTCACATCTGTGAATATATATCCGATTAAAATAATCTTAGATATTTTATAGACAGAACATGTAAAACAATGGAGCGTATTAGCTCTTAATTCTTCGTATCCTTACCTTAGTATCAGTTAATGATTATGGGGTTACCAAACTTCCTCTTTGTCCTCCTCGCTGTCCTCAGAAGCCTTTCAGTTTCCTTCTCTGCGTCCCATTCGAAGTTAGCTCCTGAATTAACAATGCACAGTATCCTTCTTCTATCATCATCATTATCCATGGTTTCGAGAGGAATCAAGTTTAGACATTTTCGTACCTTTGTTGTTCCCGTCGAGCAAGCATGAAAAGCCTCCCTCTATATCTTCATCTGAGTCTATGACGACAGTGCATTGTTCAAACTGCATGAATTCAATTGCATATTGTTCAGAAATATAAAACATGTCTTCTTATTCATTCTTCGCTGACAAGTGAGAAAATCTGACTCCAGTCACCTGCGTACGATTGCCTTCAGGTTTTACTTGATTTGTTGCTGCTGCGCTCTTCTTGAATTTTCTTTGTCCTGGCTTCACCGTCTTCCAACCTCCCACTTGTATCTTTGGGGATAAGGATGTTTTCACACTTCTGTCTGATGCGTTATTTGGACTGCAAAATGCAAGATACACGCATTTAGAATCCATCTGTGGTAATCATCAAAAGAAAAGGGCAGAAGTAGTAAAGCAATGTTTGGCATACTTTCTAGGAAGCTGCGGTTGTTTCTTATTCAGTGTAGCATTAGAAAACGCATTCCTCTGCAGATGATTTTTCATGTTTGTTAGTAACAGCTGAGCTTGTAAAGGTAAAACAAAAAGAAATATTGAAGAGAGGACATGTGTTCACTGCAATAGAGTTAGCTACCTTGGCTGCGGCTGCTGGACCGCCCTGCTCAGACAAGTTTTCCTTATCCTGTTGTTTAACAAAAGCCACATCAATTTCTGAAATGTTTGGCTTAAAGAGCAAAGCGATGAGAAGCAGGAACAAAATACCTTCTTTTGTGGTGCTGTTGGGACCTGAGCTATTGGCTGAGACACTTTCAAGCTAGTCAAAACCTATAAGAGATTTGTTTGTGGGAATCAAAGCATTACATTGTGCTATAACTCTCGAATGTCTAGAATTAAGAATTACCTTGGCTGCTGGACCCTTCTGCTCAACCGGGTTTTCCTTAGCCTGATGTTTAACAAAAGTTACATTAATTGCTGAAAATTGTGACTTAAAAATGCAAAGATAAGTGGAAAGCAAAATACCTTCACTTGCGGTGCTGCTGGAGCCTCAACTATTGGTTCAGGCATCTTCAAGCTAGCCAAAACCTATCAAAGACAGGCGCTCACAAATGAAAAGATTGACCCCAGTTCATTATGACATCAATCTTAACATATGTACCCTTCTGAGATAGACAAAATACTTGTAACTTTTTTTTTTGTAAAACTTTCATTTTCGCACCTGAGACTCTCTGGTGAACGTGTGGCAGATTTCCCTTTGTATCTTCTGCAGAGCGGTTTCTACTTTCTCTGGGATAGCTATTAGCATCAGGAATATTTTCTGTAGCTTCTCTTGATTAGGATCTTTGCTTACTTCCTCCAAGATAGATTTAACAGCTCCATCAAGACTAGCTTTAACATCTGCTTGTTCCTTTATCTGCTCCCAAATTAATCATTTCAATAAAGATCAATTTACTTGCATAAGGCCGATAAAAGAACAAGAAAAAGCTGCAAATATTCGCTTTTACCAGCTGCTGAAGTGAGGTGTCTTGGAGACTCAACTTTTGTTGTATGCGTTCATCTGCAGTAAACACAAAGTCAGCTCAGTATCACGTTCGTAAAAGAGTAAGATTATCTTTTAACAGCAACGCAAAGAGATCATATGTGGTTGACACATACTTTGAGAACAGAGCTAAATTGACATGATCACATATTCGTGCTGCCCTTGTGTGTTTAGTCTACTTAAAATCAGACAATCAAGCATAGGACTCACTTTCAATAAATACTTCTTTAGTTCCTCTGTTGGCTTGCATGATATCACTCTGAATGGAATCCAACATCATTCCAAACTTGCTCAACGAAGTTTCCATCATCCCAAACCGTTGCTCAAGTTCTTCTCCAATCTGGGCTACTCAGTGACATATGAAGACAAAGGTGGAACATATCAGGAGCCACCCAGTGAAAACAACAACAAAATGGAATGCATTATCCAGAAACATATAGTTCATCAAGTTTTGATAGTAACTTCCAGAAATTAGAAAGAGGAAGCATACATTTAGATTCTGCAATTGAAGCAGAAGAACTCCATCTTCTCGTAAGACCGCTGGAAGGTCTAGATGCGAGAATCTGACTATCATCTCGTTTATGATTGATTGGGGGCAAGAAATTATTCTTCAGCAAAGAGAGATCTCGTTCCTGAGAGCTAAATCTCTGTGCACAAAGGGAAAAGTATGAAATCAAGACCAGCTTAATTAACATCAGAAGATAAATCAACAAGTCTCATGACTTTTAGATTTGAGTTCCTAACCTGATCGTTAATCAGGAGTTCATCGACTGAGCTCTGAGTCATCTGAGAAAAACAACCACGCTGAGAGGAAGGTCCCTGCGAGAAGGACTGCTGCGACTGCTGTGATCGAAGCTGCTGCTGCGATGCTTGTGCTTCAGGCGGTCCAACACTCGATCTCCTTCTACATACATAAATACAAATGCGAGAAAGAAACAACATAATCAGTAGCCAACACGCAAAATTTAGCCTTATCGGATGCTACGCCCAATTTAAACGCAATTTCCCCTTAAATTTGTTTCGGAAACCTAATGGATACTCTTGGGAAGCGATGAATGAGTTATTACTAGGTGAAACAAAAATTCCACATACAGAGATCACTGAAACTCGTCTCCAGAACAAAACTAAACAAATCCGATTCGCGAGAAGAGCGGAAGAATCCCAATAAACCCTAAACGGTGAGAATCGATGTGTATTCTTAAATCGAGCTCTCTAGAATGCTCCTTGTGTGAAATTCTAGTGAAAGAGATAACGGGTAGAAGCGAAATAGTACCTAAGATTAGGAGGAAACACCGATATTGATTTCAGATCGCAGGCTTTGTTGATATTCATCTTCATCGTTGGATCCAACCCGCAGACGAGGAGGCAGCTCTGTTCTTCAAATTCACGACAGTGATCAAACGATGATTCGAGGGGGAGAGAGAGAGAGAGAGAGAGAGCTCAAATTGAATTTTGAATTTTAAAATAGATCGCGAGGAGAGTGAGTGAGAGAGAGAGAGAAGCAGAAGCAGAAATCGGAAATGGATTTTTGGTTGCCGTTGGGCATGAATGTAGCGGGAAATGGTACGATATCTTTATTGGTTAATAAAGCCCATGGGCCTTTCTAATGAAGACTTCAAATGTCAAAACTCGACCTGGATTAATTTATGAAACCCTTAATTTATCTACCCTCGACAGCCGAAATAAAAGGGAGATATGAACATACTGGATTCAGTAGAACTTGCGCAAGCCATTGCACCAAACAAATTGATCTTACATTAGAATGCATCATGCATGATATCTACAAAAATAAAAATTGATAAAAACTAATCTCCAATTATTTGATTTGGGCGAGATGCTATCCAATCATTTGATTAACTCATGAAATTTTAAACATTAATTTTACGCGCACTAACGGTGGCAGTTATATACGTGTATAGTGCGCGTAATATTCCACGGCTTAATAAGAATTTTAAACAAACGTATGTCAAATGTCAAATAAATAAATTATTGCCCAATGCCCAACAATTGAGCTTAATTATACAATTGTTAGAGGTTTCAGGATTGTACCCCAACATTTTTTGTTCAAAATAAATAAATTGACTTGTTCAGTTTTTTAAGTCAAGCGATTCTGCATTCTAGAACATCCTGAATTTATTACTAATTCTTAAAATGAAAAAGAAAGTCAAGTCAACACACGAAAGAGAAGTAAAAATACTGTACACGAAGATATCCCAAAAAGCTTTTATTTTCGACGTTATTCTCGGCAACTTAATGTACAAGTGTAAGAAAATTGGTTAACACAAATATTCCCGGAAACTTAATAAACAAGTGTAAAGTTGAACTACTTCTTGAATAAAATAAGCTGACTTAGCTCTTGACCCATGTAATTCACACGTAAATGGTCCGAAACCTCCTTGCAATTTAGTTGCAAAGAGGTACACCTTGATAATTGATGTCTCTCTCTCTCTCTCTCTCTCTCTCTCTCTCTCTCTCTCTCTCTCTCTCTCTCTCGGTATATATTATGCCTACCTAATTGTATACCTTAACTTGCTCATAACAACAACAAAAGGGTAAGAATTAATCCATGGGAGAAACTTTGTACAGCGACGCCATTTACGTTGCAGTGGGTCAAGATGTTCGAGAAAGTAAATTAACTTTGTCATGGACACTGAAGAATCTTCACGTGAAGAAGCTTTGCCTTCTTCATGTTCATCTTCCACTTTCCTTGACCACTTCTTGTAAGTATTTTTTTTATAGGTTCTCTACGTTTATGTGTTTGATCTTTCATTTTTTGATTCATTCATATGCCAAGAAAACTTTGATTAGGTGATAATCTCAGGTTTTTTAATATGTATCTGAAAACATGTTTTCATAAAAGCATAAATATATGTATATATTTTCATAAAAGCATAAATATATGTATATATTTTGTTCTTCTTCGAATATTAATGTGTATTGATAGAAAACACATGTACCAATTATCATATGTCAGGATCTAAGAAAATATATTTTTCCTGCCAACAAAATTGTAGTTACCAACAAAACATATTTGCTCTGTACCAAGGGAGATTGCGATTACCCTTGCTCTGTTTGCTCTGTTTTTGGGGATGTTGAAATTGGAATCTTACTCTGTTTTTGGTTGGTCCATTTTTCAGCAAGTGGGCTAAATGAAAGTGAGATCAATGCAATCCAAGAATCAGAACTCAGAACTTCATATGAAAGCCTCCACAAGTACCGTGATACCTGCACAAACAAAGGGGTAAGCTCTATTTCCAACTCTACTACACATTCCAGGAAAGAATCAAACTATGGCCTTGAAAAATCCAAAAGGAAGCATAATATTGAAATGATTGATTTCGGCGATGCAGGTTAAAGAAGAAGATGTGGATATATCAATGATCTCAGGATTTAGTGTGGGTGAAGGGATCGTAGAGCTCATCTATGAGAACAATATCAAGATGCTCGTTATGGGAGCAGCTGCTGATCCTCACTATTCCAGGTCAGAATTACTCGAGAATCGATCTGTGTTCGGATTTCAAAAAATTGTTTATTTGAATAAATCTAATGTTATGTGTATGAAAAAAGACAACAGTCCAGGGAATAGAACACAGCAAAAACACTAACACTCGTCTCCTTAATTAAAAATGCAGGGGAATGTCAATCACATCTAGAAAAGCAGAATATGTGAGTCAACATGCACCTCACTGCTGTAAAATGTGGTTCATCTGCAAGGGGAAACTCATCAAGACAAGGTAAGCTCCTGAATTTTTACACTTGTGAATGTTTGTGTGTGTGTGTGTGTGTAATACTAACAACTGCATAACTGAATAGAGAGTTTTTTTTTTCTTCATTTTGTTGAATAGAGAAGGAAGTTTTGACTTTGGGAATCCATCAGACTCATACTCAGAGCTGTATGGTTCTGCTCAAAAACCAAGCAAAGGAATAAGAAGGGACGATGAACATGAAACCGAGTCATCTAAAGCACATCCAGTAAGTATAAAGACTGAATAAATTATTTATCAACATTAGCTTAAAAACCATTCAATGGAAGATATATGACGATTGATGGAAAATTATATAAAAACAGGAACGAATAATACTAGAGACTGAGGTATCGCCAAAGAAAGTGAGGAAGGAAACTGACAAGACAAGAAACAGTGGGAGCAGCGAAGCAGACTCGAGTCCATGTCCTCCCCAAGATTTTATCTGTCCCATTAATTTGGTTAGGATTCAAAACCAGCCTATTGCATTGGTCTCTTGTCCCAAAATGCATTTTCTCATTATAATGTTAATTGATTTGATTATCATATGATGTTGTATGTAGGAGATAATGCGAGATCCTCATGTCGCTGCTGATGGTTTCACCTACGACGCAGAGCCAATCAGAACATGGCTCAAGGGAGGAAATCAAACATCGCCAATCACAGGAGCTAGGCTCTCCCATCACAATCTTACCCCAAATTACACTCTACGTTCACTCATCAACGACTGGCTGCAAAAGCACCCAACTTAACATCATTGATGATCTTTTGGAGAAGAATTAGATGACGATTATATTGTTGTAATATTATTGGGAATTTCTTTGTAAAGAAGAAACCTGTGTATGATGGTATAAACCTCATATGTAATTTCTTTTTCTTTTTCTTTTTGATTGTTAGATTCATAGTGTCTATTTGTGCTTTTCTCTGTGCATCAATTTGTGTATAAATTCAAAATGCGTTTTTCTGCCTTGATTACGGAAGTGGCGGGAAAGAGATCGTTTTAAACCTATGGGCCGTTATAAATGTGCATATGGGCCGTGCCGTTAATCAGTCCATTAATACTTAAGATCACAAAGAACGACGCCGTTTGTTTAAAGCACGGAGCTCAAAAATGATCTAGGCAAAGAAGATCTGACCGTTCACACCAAAAGCTACGTTTACGTGTCGTAACCTGAACCGGTCAATCGGGCCCAAACTAATAAACAACTCTCGTTTTTTATGTTGACTGGCTCCTCCACTTCAGAAAAAGAACCAGCTTCATTGTTCTTCTTCAGGTCAACGCCGTAATGCTGAAGCGGAGGTTGAGTCTGACAAGGAATTGGAGAAACGGGTAAATAAATCCGAAACCTCTAACAGTATATTGCTCTCGATTTTGGATTCCTTAATCAGATATTTTTTAGTTTATCTGAGTTGACATTTTAATTTTTGATAAAAAGAAGCCCAGAGTCCCTTCGATCACAAATGCGTTGAATTGTATGCTTAAATTTTCTTGATTATTAGCATTACTGTATGAAATGTGTATTTTACGGAAAGAAATGTTCGTCTAAGAAAGTCATCGGAATTGGCTAGGTTGCATTTAAATATTACTACAAGCAATGGCTCGCTCCTCACTCCTCTGATCATGTTATCTTTGTTAGAGATCATACCTTTCGTTGTCATCACTTTAATGTTTTTAATTACTCACTTGAATATATATTACAATTGACTAAGAAAATGGTCGGAAACATCTTCGCAATTAGTTGTCGAGGGACGAAAATGTAATCATGTGTGTATAGTGTATACACATGTCACTTATAAAATAATTTAATATCTGTGTTTGTGTTTTTGTGTCTTATCGTCTTGTTTTGGAAAAGAGAGAATTTGTCTAATCAAATCTTTAGAGAAAAAAAGTGGAGAATCTATTCATTCCAATGGCAGAGGCTTTGAATGACGATCCGGTTTATGTTGCAGTAGGCAAAGATGTTGGCGAAAGCAGATTGACTTTGACATGGGCACTGAGGAATCTCCGTCTGAAAAAGCTTTACCTTGTTCATGTTCATCAACAGATTTCCATGAACCCTACTTGTAAACCATCGTCTCTCTCTGTTTTAATTTTGTTTCTTTTTTCTCCCACGAAACTCTGATCGGGATGTTTTGGTACTAGTTTACACTTGTTAAGCATCTCTTATGGTTATGGTTATGGATCACACGAAAATATAGGTTTTTGATAAGTGATGCAAATGGTTGCGGGTGATAGAAATTAAGATGGTGGTGAAGTTATATCTAGCATCTTTAGATTTTTGATTGTAGGATGCAAAAGGATAGTGGATGTATTAGTGTTTATGTGTGTGTGTGATGTCAATTCATATTAAGCGACTGAGATGATTTCTGATTATAGAGGAAGATGAAGCGTTACGTTCTTAGATCAACTTATAAGAGTGTCTAAGTTTCCTTTTTTTGTTCTTCTTGTAATGTTGGGTGGGTCTTTTGTGTGTGAATTCCAGCGAGTGGGCTAGAACAAAGCGAGATCGATGCAATCCAGGAGTCGGAATGGACAAGCGCATATGAGAGCCTTCTCAAGTACCGTGATATCTGCGAAGATGAAGGAGTAAGTGAATCTGAAAATATAGCATTGTGGTTCAATTATGATCAAAAAGCTTGAAGAGTTGAATATTTAGTATGCAATTATGTATGCATCATAGAATTTGTCATGTTGCAGGTTGAGAAACAAGATGTGGATATATTCTGTAATTTGGCAAATAATGTTGGGGAAGGGATCGTGGAACTTATCTATGAAAACAACATCAAGAAGCTTATTATGGGAGCAGCTGCTGATTCCCACTACTCCCAGTAAGGATATGCACTTGATCATGCCTCTATTGTGTGATGCAAAGATGAGTCTTTAAATAAGAAAATGCTCACTTTAGTCATACATATATTTATTTATGATGATGCAGGGGCATGGTTAATATCAAATCTAGAAAAGCTAAGTATGTGAGTCGCCACGCGCCTCATTGCTGTAAAATGTGGCTTGTCTGTAAAGGAAACCTCATCCAAACGAGGTACACTATGTTGGAGGATTATACCTGTCTTCTGTCTATTCTGTGTGTTTTGAATAATTTGTAAAATAAACCGTTTTGTTTCCTCTGTTTTAATAGGGAGGGACAGTTTGATTCGGCGGGTTCATCACACGCCTCCTCTGAATCCTTGAGCAGCCTTCACGGCCTTGTTTCTGCTCTCATACCATACGAGGAAGCAGGAAGAGCTGAGCATGACACCGACTCACATGCCCTGTCAATGTCATCACCTGAATCTCAATCAGTACGTAATTTCAAGTTTAGTCACCACTGTGAACTTGAATCTTTTCTTAAATGGGAAAACATTTCTATTAGAAGTTTTATATCTTCCAGTGTGTGTTGCTTAATTTTGACATGTGTCTTGTAAACAGGCTAGAGGGTTCGAGACCATGTACTACGAGGAGCAGAGACGGAGACTAGAAATTGAAGAACTCAAGAGAGAAAAGGAGCGATACGACAAGATGAAGCATGAAAGGGAGGAATCACTCTCAGCTTCCTTTGGTGTCACTCAGACACTCTACAATGAGGAAGTAAGTCGCAGGAGAGAAGCTGAAGAGGAACTAAACAGAGCGAGAGCAGAAATTCAAGACATGAAAAGGATCCAGGAGGAACTGCAAGATCAGCTTTGTCTGTTAGAAACTTCCCAGGAAGAGAGAGACGAAGCCATCAAAACAACTGAAGAGCTTCTGAGACTTCTAAACCTGGAGAAGGGCGAGTCATCCTCACATTCACCATTATCCCCGTTGCAGTGGTCTCTTTCCAACGAGCCTCCTGCATATTTCATCTGTCCCATTTCAAAGGTCAGGATCCCCAACCCCTCCAAGATCTTGACTTGCTTACCTTCCATTTTGACATTTGTGTGCTGGTGAATGTAGGAGATTATGCAGAATCCCCATGTTGCAGCCGATGGTTACACCTACGAAGCAGCTGAGTTCAGAAGCTGGATCAGTCATGGAGGTGAAAAATCGCCTATGACAAACCTTAAGCTCGAGAGCCACAGCCTCACACCAAATCTTGTTCTTCGTTCTGCTATTAACGACTGGTTACAACAACACCCGTATTTCTATGATTTGCCTTAAGATATATATATATATATATATATATATATATATATATATATATATGATGTTGATTGTGTGTTTCAGTGAATGTATATGGAAAAAAAAATGTGAAAAAAAAAATCTAATAAATAAAGTTCGTTTATTATTCTCTGGGAAAAAGAGCCGTTTTTTGTTTCACTATATATTTATGGATTGACTTGTGTTTTAACAGCCATCCGTTGACTTTTACTGTGTCCACCTTAAGAAACCAGAAATGGTCAAAAAGAAGAAGAACGTTGAGGGTCACCACTAACCACTGTTGGTCTCTTTCTGTCAGATGCTTCTTTGTTTCTCTGTTTCTCTGTTTTCACTTTCCAGGGAAAAGAAGAAGAAGACAGAACACAAAGACGAAGAGAAAGGACACCAATGGCGGAACTGATGGCCATGGGCAATGATGTTGTTCATGTTGCTGTCAAGAATGATGTCAGAGAAAGCAGATCGACTCTGGTTTGGGCTTTGAGGAACCTAGGTGCCAAGAAAGTCTGCATCCTCCATGTTTATCAGCCAAAAACTGCTTCTCCTGCTGGTAATTTCCATCATCCCCATGCCTCAAATGACTATGTTACCGCCATTTGTTGATGAAGTGTCAATACGTTTTATCTGGTTGATCTTTTAGCACGCAAGCTTGAAGAATTGGAGGCTATCATGTACGAGACATTACATGATTATTTTGACCTCTGTCAACAAGAAGGGGTATTGTCCTGTTGCATTCTTTTGTTTTCTCCTGATTATTGATCTCTTCTGGTTATGATTATTTGATGTGATATGCAATTAGTAACTGTTGTTGGATTCGTTGTGATGGCAGGTGAATGAGGACGACATTTACATATCGTGTATAGAGATGAACGATGTGAAGCAGGGGATATTAGAACTCATCCATGAGAGCAAAATCAAGAAGCTCGTTATGGGAGCTGCATCAGATCATCTTTATTCAGAGTACGTATTGTTGAGTATCTATTAAAATTTTAAATCTCTACGTTCGCTTGTGTTGCTGACTTGCTGAAATTTTTCAGGAAGATGTTCGATCTCAAGTCCAGAAAGGCAAAGTATGTGTACCAACACGCGCCTAGCTCCTGCGAGGTTATGTTTACGTGTGATGGTCATCTCATCTACACAAAGTGGGATTTGAAAACTCTCTCTTTGCTTATGTTCTGTCTCTATCCTTGAAGAGATCACCTTATTGTTGTTTCTGTATATTAACAACTCAGGGAATCCAGTCTTGAATACCGTGTGGATGAAACAGAAGCTGAAGCTGGACAATCGAAACCAAAGCTCTATTCCTCTGCTTCGCCAAAATGCTCTGCAGAATTGGTGTCTGCAATTGTAGCTTACATTGACACAAGGAGAGACATGGACATGTTAGAGCCAACCGCAACGGAGGATCAATCTGTACGGTCTTAACATTGTTGGTATTGTGAATTAAGCCAATATATCTTGTGCTGTTTCTGTGTCTCTTACTAAGTGATTGAAACCTGCTATGTCCTTTTGCAGGAAAGCGAGAGGAATGATCAACTGTATAGACAGCTTAAGCAAGCACTTATCGAAGTTGAGGAATCGAAGAGAGAAGCGTATGAAGAATGTGTCAGGCGGTTTAAAGCTGAAAACACTGCTGTTGAGGCCATTCGTAGTGTAAAACACTTGCACAGATCTATAATCTCTAGACTAGTTTTGAGAATGTTTTTTCTTTTGCTTAGAATTGTTTCCTTCTATTTTAAAGGCAAGAGAGTATGAAGAAATGTTCACCGAGGAAGCGAGGCTGAGGAAAGAAGGTAAAGAAGCATTAGCAAAGCAGAGGAAAATGGTGGAGAAGACTAAACAGGAGAGGGACGACGCGCTTATCATCATTCTGAATGGAAGAAAGCTATACAATGAGGAACTGAGACGCAGAGTTGAAGCTGAAGAGATGTTGGGGAAGGAGAAAGAAGAACACGAGAGAACCAAGAAGGAGATGGAAGAAGTGCGGGTCATTGTTAAGGACGGTACTGTCAGAAACAGAAAAATTTACACAGCTGAATGTGCTGTTTCGTTTCAGACGAGTGCTTGAATTTTGCTTTTGATTTGACAAACTAGGGATGCAGCTGTACAACGAGCAACTGAGACAGAGGAAAGAGATGGAGGAATCAGCGAAGAGACAAGAGGAAGAGCTTGAGAAGACAAAGAAGGAGAAGGAAGAAGCCTGCTTGATAAGCAAGAACTTGATGCAGCTATATGAAGACGAGGTGAGGCAGAGGAGAGAAACAGAGGAGTTGGGGAAGAGGAGAAGAGAGGAGCTTGAGAAAGTGAAGAAGGAGAAAGAAGAAGCTTGCTCTGTTGGACAAAACTTCATGAGGCTATATGAAGAAGAAGCGAGTTGTAGAAAAGGAACAGAGGAAGAGCTCAGCAAGGTCGCTTCTGAGAAAGACGCAGCTAGTTCAGTCTGTTCAGAGATTCTGTCGCTTCTTCAGAGCTACACTCTTCGCCATGGAATACCTTTTGGATTCTCTGATGAGGATTCCCTTACACGTCAGCCTCCGTCGTACTTCATCTGCCCCATCTCGCAGGAAGTGATGCGAGAGCCTCGTGTAGCAGCCGATGGTTTCACCTACGAAGCAGAAGCCTTAAGAGAATGGCTCGACAATGGTCACGAGACCTCACCAATGACGAACCTTAGGCTCGCCCACAACAACCTTGTCCCTAACCATGCCCTTCGTTCCGCCATTCAAGAGTGGCTTCAACGAAACTCTTAAACAGTCTCTTGTTTGTCTTCAACTTGATCTTGAGTTGATAATATATTTGTGTGTTTGCTAAAAAGTTGTTTGTTTAACGAAATGCTTGCTGTTTTGCTCTGCCTCGGGAAACCTGTCTGGCGTCAACACTTTCGAAAAACGACCTGTAGTGTCTATCTTGGCGTTTCGAAAGCAGCATGTCCCGTGCTATGGGCCAGTCTAACCGTCCTTTTACTAAAGATGGCCCAACAAGGGCCACACAAATATGCTAGAGGGTTTTTGCACACGTGAAATTTGGATCAATAATACGACGCGTGTACAAACAAACAAAAGAGTGTTTTTCCAAAACGTGGGATGGTACTATTGGTCATTAGACTGATCTTAATATGAGCTCGGCTACATTAGATTTTCCTACATTATGGCCTTGAATGGAAGTTCAGAACAAATACAGATTAAATACAGATCAGATCTGTATTTCATAGCCAATCACACTTTTATTTACAGATCAAGAAAATACAGATCACTCTGCATGCAGATCAATATTTTTTGTCTTTTTGTGATATTTTTCTGATCTGCAGAGAAAGAGCTAAAACCTCCTGAACACATGCAGACCTATTTTTTATTTTATTATATTCATTTACTTTTAATTTCTTAATTACTTATAAATGATAAAAAAAATATAATTTATTATTTACTTTTATACAAATAAATCCACAAAACCTGTGTTAAATTAAGATTCGCCTAGAAACATTTGTTACATGCATAACAATTTTTCATGTATTTTACATTTTTAATTATTTCTAAAAATTGGTTATAAATATTGGGTTTTCTAATTATTATTTCTTTATATATATGAAAATTAAATCTATAAGATTCTTAGTAGCTTAAGGTATATTATATAATTTATATATTATTTTGTGATTTTTTTTATATTGATTCTTTCAATAAATAATTAAATATTAATGAACATAACAATTTTTATATCTAAAAATTAAATATATTCACTTTACATATTCATATTTTTTATATAATAGGTATTTTTTTTACAATCACTATATATTTATATTTATTATATATATATATCATTATAATTATATTACAAACATAACAATTCAAAATTTAAATTTCTTGAGTTTCATGTTTCTTTTATGATAAAGAGATTCATATAAGTTAGTAAAATGAATTCATAAATGCAAAAATATATTTTTTTTTATATATATGACTAAAGATTTTAAATATTTTGAGATATTTTGTTTATTTATATATAAATATAGCTTATAAATTACAATTCTATATATAATTATGGTTAACATTAGGGAACATATTGCAAGTACATTATGAACCGACCAAAACATTTCACGTTAATTTTTTGTATGTTGTAATCGAATTTAAATTTTAGATAATGTTTCAATTTTTAAATTTCTTGTTTTTAAGAAAATTTTCAATATATATATATATACTAAGAAAACTTTATATATTATATATATATTGTAAATTTTCTTTGTTTTTTTATTGTCCAATTAAGTATGATATTTTATAATTATTTAATATATTTGATAGACATTTGATCTGCATACATATCATAATCTGTATTTGTTCAGCATGATCTGGATTTACTATTTGATGGTTTACTGTAACATGCCGTCTTGTCGGTACGGTTCATACGGATTCAATTTAAAAATCAATTAACTTATGTTAGCCGGTGATCGGTAGATTTGATGTTCATATCGCATCATGTTCCCACGCGCAGCTTGTCTATAGATGTTGCTCCACGCACATGCAGTTAGCTCAGATGCATTATTTTGATTTTTGAAAACCAAAACGTCACTCGATTTATATGATTTTATTATTAATTTTTCTGTTTAGTAAGAACACTTTGGCGTATGGCGTCATCATATGAATATCTGATGGATAATGTTAAATAGTTCCATGGCATGATACACAAAATTACATAACTACGGTCTACGAGTGTCTACATAATTTCTCAAGTTAATTTCTGTCTGGTGCATGTTTAGATATATAATATACATTCATTATGTAACACCAATTTAGTAATCGAATCATATAAATTAACTTTTGATAATGGTTGCATTCACCAGTCACATCGTTTCACAAGTAGAAATAGCTCAATCTCGATGCTTTAGACAAATTTTGTCTTTCCCACAAAAATTACTCAAAGCAGATAAAGTAGTCATCGTTCAAAATATCTGAAAATTTAGGTAAAAGTCAGCAATTACTAGTCCACATGATTTTGTTTTACATGATTGTTATGTTATGGCCATCGATCAACATTTGGCACTTTGATTTTTCATTTATTTTTAAATATATATCGTACGGACAAAGAGGCGAAATTAAATGTACGAACTCTAATATGGTCTGAAAAAGCACGCGTCCCACGCGCGAAAGGTGGAGAGAGTGGCATCAAAAAGTCAAAACCATGGTGAAAACGCCTGCGTTTTATGCTTACTTATCTCCAAAACGACACACCTTTTTCATCTCTCTCTCTCTCTCTCTCTCTCACACACGAGAGTTTTTTCCCCCTCTCTCTCTCTCGTTCCTTGTACCTTCCTCCATTTTTCTCCATCTTTCCTCTTCCTTTTATCTTCAACCTCCCTTCTTCTCCTCCTTGTTAATCATTTTGAGAATTTTGTAGAGTCAAGTAGTATGATCCCGCTTAGATCTTTGAGCTGTTTCCTGTTTATTTTCGGGTTTCTGTACAGAGCTAGTTTGGTTTCTGCTGGAGACATAGTTCACCACGATGACTCTCTTCCGAAGAGACCGGGTTGCAACAACAACTTTGTACTGGTGAGACCAAAAAATTAATGGAATCAATTTTGATTTGCTTAAGCTCTTAGCTCGTTTCTGTTGTTGGTATAGCTGATTTACACGTGCTGGTATAGTTTAGGTTTCTGTTGCTGGTATATGTTTCGGAATTTCTGTAGGCTAATGAGATTTATTAGTGTGTTAATTGCTGGATTTTGTTTTGCCGGCCCTATATTTGTTATTGCAGCAGATACTAGATAGAGAAATTAACTTTTTGAATTTGAGATTTGATGCCATTCAGATTTTTCACTACTAAAAAAAGGGTCTTTAGTCGCATTGAATAAGGAAGTTAATTGGTGTGGATTCTCTTACATTTGTGCATTGAGACAAGAGAGTTGATCTTACCAGGTGAAAGTGCCAACAAGAGTGGATGGGGTAGAACAAATGGAGTATGTAGGGGTTGGAGCTAGGTTTGGCCCAACCTTGGAATCAAAGGAGAAGCATGCTACCCTCATTAAACTTGCTATTGCAGATCCTCCTGATTGTTGCAGCACTCCCAAAAACAAGGTTTTTCTTTTTCTTTTCTTATCATGGAATCTATATATAGATTCTTGTGTCTTTATTATAACTAGTTTTAATTCTTGCTTCATGTTTTCTCTTTTGGTAGCTTACTGGAGAGGTCATTCTGGTTCACCGTGGTAATTGCAGTTTTACCACCAAAACAAAGGTAGCTGAAGCAGCTGGTGCCTCTGCCATCCTTATTATAAACAACAGTACAGGTGAAACAACTGAAGTGCTTCAGCTTCTCTCTGACTAATCCTCCTCTTGAATAGTTGAATATTTAGCAAGCCTGGATGTTGTTTGGCAGATCTTTTCAAGATGGTCTGCGAGAAGGGTGAAAATGTGTTAGATATAACTATTCCTGTTGTTATGCTACCCGTTGATGCTGGTATCAGTCTGGAGAATACCGTTGGCAGTAACTCCACTGGTAAATCTTTGTTTGAATCCTATTTTACTTTATATAATAAGATTTCGCTCTCGTTTGCAATGCTGTTTCTGTTTCTGACTGTATCTGTTCAGTTACTTTGCAGCTCTACTCGCCCAAACGTCCAGCAGTTGATGTGGCTGAGGTCTTTCTGTGGCTTATGGCTGTTGGTACCATTTTATGTGCTTCCTATTGGTCTGCGTGGACCACCAAGGAAGAAGCTATTGAGCAAGATAAGCTGCTAAAGGTGCTGATTGACCATAAAAAATAATCTTAAAACTTTAATATTATGGACATCCACCTTTTGGCTGCCAAGGAAAATGAAGTCCTTTCTTATAAAACTCAAACTGCAGGATGGATCAGATGAACTTTTGCAGCTATCAACCACGAGCTCTAGAGGTGTTGTGGAGATCACCGTGTTATCAGCAATTCTGTTTGTAGTGGTGGCTTCTTGTTTCCTCATCATGCTCTACAAGCTTATGTCATTCTGGTTTATAGAAGTGCTGGTGGTACTCTTTTGCATTGGTGGCGTAGAGGTCAGAACGTTTATCCTTCGTAGCTATACCTAATTGAAAATTCATTCTGTTAGTCTGTTACTGAGATTGAAAGTTTTGTTGGGAATATGTTGCTATCAGGGGCTGCAAACCTGTTTGGTCGCTTTTCTCTCATGGTATGTATATCTCTTTGATGCATCAGTAAAAGTTGCATCAAAAATGAAAAAGAAAAATAAAAAAAACTGGGACTGACGTTTGATTCATTACTATAGTTTCAGATGGTTTCGGCGCATTGGGGAATCATATGTAAAAGTTCCAGTGCTGGGAGCTGTCTCATACTTGACGCTGGCCGTTTGTCCCTTTTGCATAGCATTTGCTGTTATCTGGGCAGTTTTCCGTCGTCGTGTCTCTTATTCTTGGATAGGGCAAGATATCCTTGTAAGCATTGCCTTTCTGTCTCTGTCTATCTTACCTAATTATGTCTAACAAACGACAGAAGGTGATATTACTTGTTCTTGCTGACAGGGAATCTCGCTGATAATCACAGTTCTTCAAATTGTCCGCGTACCAAATCTCAAGGTAATATCTATTTCCTTTCCAAATGTCTCTCATAAGCTTGCCATTGCAATCATGAGGACACCAAATCTCGCATGGTGATAAACTTTTCTGCAGATGAATGTATAGAAGACCTATATTTAATAACAGTATTAGTTCTATTGAACTTAAATGATAACAGGTTGGAGTTGTTCTTCTCAGCTGCGCCTTCATGTATGACATCTTCTGGGTTTTTGTTTCAAAATGGTGGTTCCGTGAAAGCGTCATGATTGTGGTACGTTCTTCCTGCATTCCCATTTTCCATTCATGCAAGAACATATAATAATGTATTCACTACTGATGTTCTTTTTTCTACCCTACAGGTAGCCCGTGGTGACAAAAGTGGAGAAGACGGCATCCCAATGCTGCTAAAGATCCCACGTATGTTTGATCCTTGGGGTGGCTACAGCATTATTGGATTTGGAGATATCATCTTACCAGGACTGCTTGTAACTTTTGCACTGAGGTTTGCACTACTACAACCCCCTCTCGCTGTCTCTATGTTTTGGACATTTCTTCACCATATTACTACTTACTATATCAAGTGTCAACTAAACTGGGATATTAGAAGCATATGATTAGGTTAATGGGATGGAACTTGGAGGGTATGTGTGAAATATAAGTAGACCTATGGAGACAAGATGCTGTTTAGGAAAATAATGGATATTTTAAGCTGACCCATCTTATCACTTAAAGCCTATTATTCTCATATCAATCAATGATGTTTTTACCTTTCTCCTTTTCTTTATTGTCGATTGAGCCAGAGGGGGCTGTTCTGATCTAATAATGTTAAATGCGATTAAACTGCAGATACGACTGGCTGGCGAACAAGAGGCTCAAGTCGGGATACTTCCTCGGGACAATGTCTGCTTATGGCCTAGGTATGAGTAGGCAAAGAAGAAACAGAAAAAGCACTCCCAGAATCTAACATATTACTCACTTATTTTAAATTATGATGTCACAGGTCTTCTGATAACATACATTGCACTAAACTTGATGGATGGACACGGACAACCAGCTTTGCTTTACATCGTCCCGTTCATACTTGGTAAGTCCCAATAGTTACATCTTTGTTGGAAACCAAAAGCCGAGTGTTTTTGAATCTGAAAAAAATATTTGTGGAAAATGTTGTTATTGTCAGGTACATTGATAGTGTTAGGTCACAAGAGAGGTGACCTGAAGACACTATGGACAACAGGAGAACCGGAGAGGCCATGTCCTCACGTTCGTCTTCAACCTCCATCTCAATAAAGAAAGCAGTAATCAGATGTCTTAGTTTTTGTTGTTAATACACACACTTGTTTATTAGGTCTATATGTATCTCTACCTACCTTACAAAGAACCAAACAGGCCCCCTACACCCTTTGTCTTTACTCTTTTTAACCTCTCTTCTTACTTTCTTACGATCCACAGAGAAAAAGACTAGACTGGGTGTGATTCTCTTCCTTTTTTTTAATATAAATATTTATAGGTATCCAATACATGGGAAACAAAAACTCTCCTAGTTAAGATGGTTGCTTATTTGGTAAGGTTGTAGAGAAGGAAGCTCTAGGCATAAAAAATACAAGTTATGCTGTTCACTTTTATTATTAGAAAATGAAGTGTGATCGTTAAACTAGTCGACTGTTCAAAGATGTAATAATGATTAGTCTCATTCACATCTTATTCTTCAGGAGAATTTGAATTTCAGTTTAGATACTTGTATCTCCCCTTTTTCAGTTGAGCATATGCTGCTTCTTCTCTTTCAAGTTTCAACAGTCAGTATATAATTAAATCCCGTTAAAACCGCAAAACTGGATTTATACTTGTAAAGTTATCATTTACGTAGACTAATTTCGTATATTAAATTCCCATCTTTAACTTTGGAATTTTCTTTTCGAGTAATTGCTTTATCTTTTGAGTCGTTTTCTAATATATCTTGATTGATCGTACGACATAAGTCTTTATACTTTCAAGTAAGACTTACCACTGAAGCCAGAGATCTGACCTAAAAGGCCTCCTTGAGAGTTTTGATTAAGAGAAGCAGACGACGAGATCTCCCTCATCGGCATTTAGGTAAGATCCTCCTCTAATCGATATTTTCGAGTTTCGAATCTCTCTGCTACTGTCTCAACTCGCAAGCTTCATACAGTACTAGTCTCTCTCTCTCGTGTCTAAACATTTTTCACTGGAATTTCCTTTAAAATGGCGGATACTTTGTGAATTTGAATTATGTGTTTTCTGTTGCGATTAGTGAAAATGTTTCAATCTTTGTCACCTCTCCGCTGGAAATTTGTTATCTATAAATTTTGAGGGTATGATCGGTTTGATTTGATGAAGTTGCGGAAAGTTGCGATCTCCTGAATTTGATGAAAGATACTTGATTGATCAATTTTCTGGAATTGTTGATTGTGAGAATGTGACAGGATGAATAAAGTAACGGGAGATGCAGAAAAGGCAGCATTCCTCGAGGGTCTGGTAGTGACATTGAAGGAGCGAATGCACACTGATGTTCTTGTTAAACCTGGTGACGAAGGTCCTCCCATTCCCACTCACAAAGCCGTTCTGGTAACTTTTTCTTCTTTTACCTTTTTTAACCGCAGAGACGCTCTGTTTTTTTATAGTTACAGTTGTTCAAGTATCATCAAGACATCAATAATCAGAATCTTTAATTGATTGCTTTATCTTTTCTGCAGGCGGCAAGATCAAAGGTGTTCAGGAACATGCTAGATTCGGATGAATGCAAGACCTCAACAGAGGAATCAATCACTCTCCTGGATATGAGCCACGACGAACTCAAGTTTCTTCTTGAGTTCCTCTACAGCGGCAACTTGAAAGCTCCGTACAGCCAATACCGAGCGCTCTATCTGGCTGCAGATAAATATGACATCTTGTATCTCCAAGACCTCTGCCGAAACCATTTCATCGCAACTCTGAGCTCGAGGAACGTCCTTGACATCCTGGAGCTCGCAAGTATCCCTAATGATACAATCTTGAAAGACGCGGCGGTGGATCATGTCGTTAAACATATGGAAGAAGTGGTTGTTCCGATGAAATACGAGACCTTTGTGCAGAGGAACCCTGATCTAAGCGTTAAGATCACTAGGGCCTTTCTAAGAGAGACCAATGCTAACAAAGCCAAAGATCATAAAGCGAAAGAAGACCAAAGCTAATCGGTCATCAGATGGGCACGATGGGATGAACAAAATCAGATCCATCTCACTTGACAAAGGTGTTTGACTTTGTTTATTTATTTTTTCTTTCTTATAAGAGTTTGAAGAAAATAGACAAAGACTTGTGTTACTTTTTATGGATTATCTCATGGTGTTGCGTTGATTGACTCAGCTACCGTTACCTTCTTTTATTGTTTCGCTAAGGAATTGAATCAAAACGTATAGCTGAATCACACAAAAGATATGAGATGGCAAGAATTCAAATTTTCAGTATAATATATTATAATCTTTGACGTCTTTGTGACTAGTGTATACTATATAGTGATTAAGTTGGCCAACACAGGGGATATGACTTTTCAATTTTTTATTCAAATATATATAAGAATAGTAATAATGTGGTGGAGATGATCAGGTTGATCCCGTGGTAGTGATAGTAATAGTAAAGACCAATGATTTAAGAGTCCTGTATAGGGATAAGAGGCAATTTGCCACCGTAGATGTCTGGTAGTTGGGTTTCATCAATGTCTTGAAGCAGGGTGGGGGTGAGTTTCTTGTTCTCCACGAAAACAATCTTTAAACAAAAATGAAGAAAGAAACACGTTATAATAAGTCATCAAGGCTTGCTGTCGACAAAAAAAAACAAAACATGTATAGTCTGAAAAAGAAGAGAGCTAAAAGTAACCTTTTTCTTGGTGTTGTTGTCGATAAAAGGGTAAATGACTTTCCAGGCGGTCATGAAAATGTAGGGGGCATGTACTATATACATTTTACCTAGCCTCTCTGGGTAGCAATCCTGTAAATCAAATGAGATCTCTTTTGTTATGTGTCCTGTAAAAACGTACGATCATATGTTTTTTTTGTTTCTCGCAAGTTAAAGAGTATTTTAGTTGGAGTTTGTCTTTTTGCACACATGTTTATCATTTATTTTCTAGATTAATTTTAGGTCACCTAACTAATAGGGAAGTAGAGAAAGTAACCTGCAAAATGGAGAGAGCAGCAATGTAGCCACGGATGTCACAGTTGGAATATCCCCATCCTTGGAGATCTCCTAAAACTACGAATTTTTCTTCACCTCTTGGCATTCTAACATGCAAAAACAAGATTAGAAGAGCATGGTTTGGTTTAATCAACCACTTAAAATTTAAACTGATTCATAATGATGATATTAACCTTGCACATATCTTCTCCAGCGTGTAGGCTACAAAACCTGTAGGAAACAAAATTACATTAGAACAGAAAGGAGTAAGATTAAAGGGATAAAAGGGAAAAATGGAGACTGACGCTTGAACTCCTCAGGGTTGCCTTTGGAAGGGTTATGTCTGTTCCCAATGGCAACGACGATAGGTCGGCCGATCTTATCATGTCCTTGCATACACACCTTCTTATGCGACAGATCATTCGCAATCTCTGTCTCCGGAATGTGCCCTTTTGGGAGAACGTTTCTCTTCCAAGTCAGGTACTTGAGAAACAGAGTCGAAGCCTTTTCAATGTCCAGGTCACGCGCTCTCAGAAACCTCCTTATCATCAAGTCATCCACCTCCTGCTTTCACCCACTAATTAAGTTGATTACTACATTGCTGCTCTATCTATGCCATTTCTAGTTCTTATTGCTTTTTTACCAAGTAAGGCAATTATTGATAGTTTAGTCAGCTCAACTGACTCTTGTTTTTTTTTCCGAAAACAAAAACATTAAAAAAAAATAAAAAAGACATACGGACCTTAGTGGAGGGATCTTGTCGGTCGCAAAGAGCTCTCATAATCCCGACTTTGCTCCTCTCCACCTCATCCTCGATCAACGGCCCGTTCTCGCACTCAGCTTCTGCTGCTACGGTACTCTCCGCCACTTGTTCTTTCGCCGTTTTATCCATCCCGTGTCTCCGGAGAGCGACGAGCAGATCTCGAGATTGGTGATGATTGGTGATGAAGTGGGAGAGGGAGCGATCAAATCGACCATAAATAAAGACAGTTGAAAGCAGAAAAGTATCATTCAATACGGTTGGGCTACTCTCCCCGTCAATGGCGAGTGCGACACTCACCTACTCACTCTCATTTATTGACTTGTTCCTTCCTTCCTTCAACAAGTTAGCAAGTACATTTCCAGTCCACACAGACGAAGAAGATGATCTCACTCACTCACAACCATTGGGCCTGTCTACACTTTCACGTCCAATCTACTACTCTACCCATTTACTTTCTTTTTGCTTCAATGGGCTTCCTAATAACACCCCATTATGTAGATTGGTTTATTTATTCCAAACTTGAAAACTAGTAACTGAACAAAGCTCTTTGATACATGTCGTATCTTTTCAAATATTTTCCCACATGTAGCAATAAACGGATCCGCTTCGCTGCAAAATATCTTTCTCTGTGTTGATTGAATGTACCAACTAAGTACAGCTACAACGATACTTTACGTAAGATTAAAAATCATCAAGCAAATTATTGTTTGATGGCTAATAATGCTAATTTATAATGTGAAATTAGTATTCGGTCAAATGAATTTATGAAATGTGATTAGTACAACACATATCTGCTGGTGGAACGTGTCAAAGTTCTGTTGGCTGAGACTGTGATGTGCGGTTGCATTTCATAAATAGCAACGTAATCGCCTCAATTCAGTAAAAGGGTGTTTCTTAATCAATCATAGTTTAGGTTCGGATTATGTTTGTTTCTTTTTCAGTTTGTGATACAAATAATCAAAGTAGGGAAACGAACACGTGATCACAGAAAAGCAAAATACATTTATGAGCTGTTCAATCTTTACATTAACCATGTCAAATCAATCCCTGGAAATGGAAACTAAACTCCATTTCTTTTGCATTTACCAGAACGAAAAATACTGAAAATATATCCCTTTGCGTACAAACATCTCTTTCGAGTTCGACTATGGACTTTCAATTTTTTTTAAACTCAGAATTTACAATCATGCATTATTTTGTCCTTAGCAGTTAGTACAGGTAATATTTTGATAAAATATTTTAATATATTCAAGGCCCGGCACAATAATCGAGACAATTGTGCTTTTGATAAAGCAGTCACTTTCCACACACTTGTTTGCCTTTTCTTCTCCAACGGTCGGAAGTAACTTTTTATCCTCGGCGAGTCAAAAGTGATTCCTTCTTTATTACAGTTTTGTTACCGAAACCTAATATTTTTACAGTTTAACCAATGGGCTTAGGCATTTCAGATTAGGCCGCCTATACCGTCCAAAAGAATCTGGGACCTACTTTCTTTGTTGGCAGAAAAAAAAGACAAGTCAAAGACAGAACCATCATCTCTAATCCTCCATGATTACTTGTATAGTTGTATTATTTCTGCTTCATAATTACGATTTACTAATAAACTAAGCTGTTTCCCACTCATTATAAGAAACAACAAATCTTTAGAAAAGGTTAAAATTGCCGTTATTGTAAATTCTTAAACTCTAAAAAAGTTAACTTAGCTCAAACATGCTTTGGGGTAGTTTAAGAATATAATAACAGTAACCAAAAGTATTATTATCAGCGTGGGTATTGTTAAAAAGCATAATAATGTCCCCACTCTTACACAACTATTATTAACGTTGATTAAAAAAAGTGGTTTTACTAAGATCATCGTTATCCAAGATTCCCTGTATTTCTAGACGTTAGTCTTCTTTTCTGTCCTCTCTGGCTCTCCCCTCTATAAAACACACCTCTCTCTCTCCTTCTCAGGCACTCACTATCCGTTGGATAAAGCACAAAGAAAAAGCTCAAAACTTTAACATTTGTAGAGAAAGAGAGAAATGGAGGGGAAAGAAGAGGATGTGAGAGTGGGAGCTAACAAGTTCCCAGAGAGGCAGCCGATCGGGACATCGGCTCAGTCGGACAAGGACTACAAGGAGCCACCACCTGCGCCACTGTTCGAGCCAGGGGAGCTGAGCTCGTGGTCTTTCTGGAGAGCCGGAATCGCAGAGTTCATAGCCACGTTCCTCTTCTTGTACATCACAGTGTTGACAGTGATGGGAGTGAAGAGAGCCCCAAACATGTGTGCCTCTGTCGGAATCCAAGGCATTGCTTGGGCCTTTGGTGGCATGATCTTTGCCCTCGTCTACTGCACTGCTGGAATCTCTGGTGATAATCATACCCTTTTAATCTTCTTCAGTTTTGTATTCTGTTTCTCGGAAAAAGCTCTGATTTTGAGTGTGATTCTAAAATGCGTTGTGTGTGTGTTTCCAGGTGGACACATAAACCCGGCGGTGACATTCGGTCTGTTCTTAGCTCGGAAACTGTCGCTGACGAGAGCTGTCTTCTACATGGTGATGCAGTGCCTCGGAGCCATCTGCGGCGCCGGAGTCGTCAAAGGATTCCAGCCCACGCCATACCAAACTCTTGGCGGCGGAGCCAACACCGTAGCTCACGGCTACACTAAGGGCTCCGGACTCGGCGCTGAGATCCTCGGAACCTTCGTCCTCGTCTACACCGTCTTCTCCGCCACTGACGCCAAGAGAAGCGCGCGTGACTCCCACGTCCCGGTAATTCCGACAAAACCCATTCATTTGTAAATTCCGCAGCTCTTTAATTCGAAAACCCCATTTTGAGTCTAATTCAATAATTTGGTAAACTTGGTAGATTTTGGCTCCCCTTCCAATCGGATTCGCAGTGTTCTTGGTTCACTTGGCAACGATTCCAATCACGGGAACTGGGATTAACCCAGCTAGGAGTCTTGGAGCTGCAATCATCTACAACAAGGACCACTCTTGGGACGACCACGTGAGTCCTCAAATCCTCTTTATACATTTTTCTGGTTTATTTCTTTGCTAATTTTGGTTGATTTGTTAATTGATCTTTGTGTGTTTGTTGTTTGATGCAGTGGATATTCTGGGTGGGACCATTCATTGGAGCAGCTCTTGCGGCTCTTTACCACACCCTCGTGATCAGAGCCATTCCATTCAAGTCCAGGTCCTGATTTTCTTCTAAAAAAAGTTCAATCTTGTTGCTTATCTTGCTTTGTATCGAGCCTGAAATGGAAAAAAAAAGAGATGTGGTGCTGTTTATTTCATGAATTTGACTCTGTTATCTATTTCTTCTTGTCGTTATGGTTTAGTCGTTAATGAATTATGAAAGTATGTTGTCGGTCGGTTTGCTACGGTTTAATTTGTCTTTATGGTTTCCGTTCTGGACCTCTGGTTTGGTTTGGTAGCTTTCTAATAAGCCCATTTAAACTGGACCTCTTTCGGGCTCGATAATTTGGCACATACTGTATGATGCTATGCAATTTCTTAGACACTGTAGGAAGTCAAAAAGAGACCAACCAAGTTGAGAGAAAACATTCCAGGTTGATAACCTATTTACCCACTGCATCGCTCCAATGCTTTTTAGTGTTTACTTTACACGGTTATCTCATGTCCAATTTATTTATATATCTATCTGTTTTTTTGAGTTTTGGAAATCTTTCATGGAAATTAAATCTTTTTCTATCTTGCATAACTGCGTGCATATCGGTATTTGATAAATTTCGAGTGTACAAATAAGAGAGTTGTCTATTTTTTCAGTAATTGTCTTCAAGCATATACATATACCGTATACGTCTATGTTTCTTTGTAAGGTTCACGTGAGGAGTTGCTGTCACCAACATGTTGGCTTACTCCAATATTAATTTTCCATGTTATACATCATGTATACTATTCATATACTGACACTGCCATTCACATAATATATTCATTTATGTACTGTGCGCCTATGTAATTAACGAATCCATAAATTACGAATCCATATATTCATTTAGTTACGTTTACTTGCAGTCTTGCACGATAATGATAACAGAGAGTACGAAATTACGAATGCACGGCTTAAGGGCGGTCCAACTCCCAACCATCTACCAGTTTATTAATATATCATTGACCACTAGAACTACGGTTTAGTCGACATGCTTAAATTAACACTCCAATGTACGGAAAATCATGCAATAAAAGTTCAGACATATATCAATCAAGTCCTTTTCGTCTATTAACTTGGCCGTAGACTTTATTATTTAATGTATAGTTGAATGTGTACATAACTTTAGCTGTAAGCTATATACTGTATACTATTTTCTTACAACATTGCCAACTATTAATTCTAACATCTCACTCAATTAATTATACAGCCTTCTATTTAGGTGAGCTACTAAGCAACTCTTTTTTTCATGTCAATCAACAAAATAAATAAATAAGCTTCTTTTTTTGGGGTCCTAACTCCTAAACCGCGTCACCACCATTGATAATATCCAACCAATTTTTCATACTAATGAAACAATCAATTTGTTTAAATTAATTACATATTGAATAATTACTCATACAGTCGTATTAAATGTAATGTAATGCGTCTTAGTCTAAACGATTGTTTGGTATGTTGTGATGTGGAGAATTCAGAATCTTCATGGGGATAAAGTGAGAATCAGGGTTATTTTTGATAAAAATGAAAGTTTAAGGATAAAGTCGTAAAGAGGTGATTGTGATAGGACGGGTAACTAAATCTGGTGTGACTTGAGCGATTAACCAATTGAATGCGCATTTAAAACAGAGACCTTCCCTCTCTTTCTCTCCAAATTCCTCTTTTTCTCTCTGTTTACTAGAACCGCCATTTTCAAGAGAGAGAGAGAGAGAGAGAGAGAGAGAGAGAGAGAGAGAGAGAATGTCTCCGGCGACGAAGAGCCGAAGTTTTCCTCCGATAAGCGAGTGTGGAAGCGGAGAGCATGATTCGATTGCTGCAGATCTGGACGGGACTCTGCTTCTCTCGCGAAGCTCCTTCCCTTATTTCATGCTCGTCGCCGTTGAAGCAGGAAGTCTCTTCCGTGGACTGATCCTCCTTCTCTCTCTCCCGATCGTCATCATCGCTTATCTCTTCGTCTCCGAAGCTCTCGGAATCCAAATCCTCATCTACATCTCCTTCGCCGGCATCAAAATCCGCGACATCGAGCTCGTCTCTCGCGCTGTTCTTCCCCGGTACGATCTCGATCTCGATCTTCGACGATTGGTTTTTGCGTCTAGTTTTGGGAATCTCAGATTTGATAAATGTTGATTTCGATTCGATTAGGTTTTACGCGGCGGATGTGAGGAAGGACAGTTTTGAGGTGTTTGATAAATGTAAACGGAAAGTGGTGGTGACTGCGAATCCGATAGTGATGGTTGAGCCATTCGTGAAAGATTATTTGGGAGGAGATAAAGTTTTGGGAACGGAGATTGAAGTTAACCCCAAGACGATGAAAGCCACTGGGTTTGTTAAAAAGCCAGGTGTTCTTGTTGGCGATTTGAAAAGATTAGCCATCTCGAAGGAGTTCGGTGACGACTCACCGGATCTTGGCCTTGGCGACCGGACCTCCGATCACGATTTCATGTCCATTTGCAAGGTACGTATTACACTACTCTAATTCATACGGATTATTTCGTAATTATAGAACTGAGTATTGCTTAACAAGAAATAAATGCGGTAGGACCTATTAATGACGCGTATAGGTTTCACATGATCATCTATGAGAAAATAAATTTATTTGTTTCCATTACAGCCTTCACATGATCTATTCTTTTAACCTTTGTATGTGTATAACAAGAGAAGTCCATACAAAAATTAGATATATAAGAGTAGAATATGATGTTTTATAAATTAGTAGTATAGTTTTGGTTTGAACTTTTAACATTTAAAAACTGAGTTAGTGAATCTAAAAATAAAAAGCAATCACTGACATGCAGTGACAAAAAGTAGATAAAACAAGTAGTAATAGTTTCCATAAATGCGTCCAACCTATCAACAACTACCCTCCCCACATAAGTTGGACGGTCCATTTAATGAAGGAACCCATATGATTCTCAACATTTCTTTCTCTTTTTCTCCTATCCTGACACTTTACTTATTTTACCAATTTTCATTGTCAAACTTTGGAATCTTGTATAATTGTGTTTTTTTTGTTTTTAACAGGAAGGTTACATGGTACACGAGACCAAATCAGCGACAACAGTCCCCATAGAGCGTCTCAAGAACCGCATTATTTTCCACGACGGCCGTCTAGTCCAACGTCCCACACCATTAAACGCCTTGATCGTTTACCTTTGGCTTCCTTTCGGATTCATGCTCTCAATCTTCCGCGTCTACTTCAACCTCCCTTTACCCGAACGCTTCGTTCGTTACACGTACGAGATTCTCGGCATTCACCTCACTATCCGTGGCCACCGTCCTCCGCCTCCTTCCCCCGGCACTCCTGGAAACCTCTACGTCCTTAACCACCGCACCGCCCTTGACCCCATTATCATTGCCATTGCTCTCGGCCGTAAGATCACTTGTGTCACTTATAGTGTCTCTCGCCTCTCCCTCATGCTCTCACCCATCCCTGCCGTTGCCTTGACCCGAGACCGCGCTGCTGATGCTGCTCGCATGAGAAAACTCCTCGAGAAAGGTATTTCTTTCTAGTAAACCCACTTAAAAACAGTTCCTTACACATATTATAAACAATAATCTGAAACGAAGAGGGAACACAAGATTGATTATTTATCACGTACGGTGAGTCGGTGACGCTCATACAAATTATCATTTGTGAATGAAGTACCTTACGTGTATATGAAAGTTTTAAAACAGCGCATCTCTGTTCTTGCACACATAATCGGAATCGGTATCATCATAATCATAACTCTTTTTTACATTATTATTGCAACAGGTGATTTGGTGATCTGTCCTGAAGGCACGACTTGTAGAGAACCGTATCTACTTAGATTCAGTGCTCTATTCGCAGAGTTAAGCGACCGCATCGTGCCTGTGGCCATGAATTGTAAGCAAGGGATGTTCAATGGAACGACAGTAAGAGGCGTGAAATTCTGGGATCCTTACTTCTTCTTCATGAACCCTAGACCTAGCTACGAGGCCACTTTCTTGGACCGTTTGCCTGAAGAAATGACAGTAAACGGAGGTGGTAAGACTCCAATCGAGGTGGCTAATTACATTCAGAAGGTGATCGGCGGAGTATTGGGATTTGAATGCACTGAACTTACAAGGAAGGATAAGTATCTGTTGCTTGGAGGCAACGACGGCAAGGTTGAGTCTATCAATAAGACCAAGTCCAAGGATTAACCATTCCAGCTAATCATTGTTTCCTTCTATTTTACTTGGGAGTCAAGTTAGGTCTTTCTTTCTAGTATCGCAAGTCGCAACTACGTTTTTCTTCTTCTTCTTCTTCTTATCCATGGGTTGTTGGAGGACAAGGTTTAGTTGAATATGCACTGGATAATGAATTACATTTCAATCAACGTACGTACATTGTTTACTATTACGCCTGATCTTTGTGAATGAAGAGTTTATATACTCAAAAAAATCATTGTTTGACATAAAAGAAACTAAAAGAAAGAAAATCCAATAGATTATAGATACAAATCCTAAAAGTTCTCTGGCACGTGCTGTCTTTCATAACTGCATTGATCTCACATGTTCTTGGAGAGTTCGTCCCTAAGTTGTTTGCCATTGTATCTTGCTTATGATCAATTTTCTTCTTGATCTCGACTTTGGATCATATTAGTATATTAATTGTTCCAATGGGTCAATAAAGAGGGGATTAAGCTTACAGTTCTTTTCAACATATAGTCAATACATAACTAGCTAGTTTCTCGTGAAAACTAACTTGAACTCACTTTTTTGGTTAAAAATGTAAGTCACTTTTTTGGTCGGAACAACCTCGATCAACTTATGAAAGTAAAGTAGGACTGAGGCAGCGATTACGATGTAAATTGTATTAGTTTCAGACTATATATATGTTTTGCTTACAACAATTTCATTGAGGAAAATCCAAAGTTTACTAAAAGAAAACAAGCCAGTATTAACTATTTGGAGTATATGCTTACAATTTCATAATGAACAAAAACAATGCTGTATTTCTGTTCAAATGTTTTTCTTGGAATAAAAAAATGTGTATAAGATATCAGACTCGTATATGGCCTTAAGCAACCGCAACTTCCGTGCTTAAGTAAACTGCGGCACCTTCACCAGCGACGCCGTTACAATTGCCGATGAAGCCACCGTCACTTGTCTTCACCACTAGGCTCTTATTAATGAGTCCTTCGAGATCTCTCTTATGCAGATTAACGAGAAGTCCATTCTTCATAAAAAGTGTCAACGACATCTTCTGCTCTACTTTGTGTCCCGGAACCACCGTAAGCCGGTGACGGAGAAGCACAGCTGCCGCGATCGTCTTCATCTGAAGATACGCCAGATCTTTTCCCAAGCAAATCCTTGGCCCGGCGTTGAATGCCACGAATCGATATTGATCGTGATTGATGAATTTTCCGTCGACCGGAGAAATCCATCTCTCCGGCTTAAATTCCAGACAATCTTCTCCCCAAGTCGACTTCATCCTCCCCGCTGCGTAAATCGAATAACTCACTGAAGATCCCGCCGGAACGAAAGTCCCGTCCGGTAAAACGTCGTCGTTCTCCACGTGCTTCGAATCTTCTGGCACTGATGGGTAAAGCCTGAGAGTCTCCGATAGCGCCGCCTTGAGGTAAACCAATCGGTCGATTTCGTCAAACCCCAACGGCTCCTCCGTCCAAGACGCGACGTCGCCGGCGCCACGCGTCTCGATCAGAACGGAGCAGATCTCGCTGACGATTTTATCCTCAACGGTTGGATGCATCGTGATAAGCCAGAAGAACCAGCTCAGCGCAACGGATGACGTGTCACGTCCAGCTAAGATGAAGTTAAGCGCCACGTGTTGGAGAAACGTGTCGCTGTATGATTCTTTCTTCTTCATCATGAAACGCGAGAGGAGATCGTCGTGTCCATGGGCCCCACTTTCTTGCTGACTCATCAATTCCTGCTTACGTGTTTTTATGACTGTTGCTAAGTAGCCATCAATTTCTTCCAAGCTTCGGCTCAAACTGACTTCTAAGCCGAGGCCAAGCCATTTCTTCAGCTTCCACAGAAACTCCGGCAAAATAAACCGTTGGAGCGAGGCTTCAGTGGCTCGGTCGAAAGCTGAGGCAAAGGCATTATCGGGAAGCCCTGGCGCGCAGGTTCGTGTGTCCTTACCGAACGCTAATCCACAAATGTTGTCGAACGTGAGCCGTAGTATTAAGTCTTGGAGATCAACCGGTTCTGATTTGGCTTGAGCCGATTCAAGAATTGGACAGAACCGGAGCTTAATTCCTCGGTTTACCCACCTTCCCATGGCTTGCCGTAACGTCCTGCATCATAAATTTACAAAACCGAATTGAATCTTAGTTTTTGCTAACCGGACATCAAATATTGTAGTCAAAACTGTAAAATGAACCCCAAGATGCGAACCAATAGATTGGGTTGATTCAATTAAATCAATATTAAATAGGCGGGTAGTTACTGTACATGGTAGTGAACCGGAGAGGATAAAATATACCAAGTTGAAATTCACTTGTGGGACAAAGGCTAACCAATATTTGCTTCAATTATTATAATAGAAATGCATGATGAATATCAGAGCGGTTTGGGTATTGGTGGTACCTTGTTGTGAATTCGAGAGCGGCGGTTTTGCGCTGGAAGAGCCAAGTGTCACCGTCGGAGTTGAAAATACCTTGACCGAGAAGGTCGTGGAAAACGGATTGCCACGTAGGACCTTTGGGGTAGTTATCGAACCGGGTCTTGAGCATATGTTCGAGATTCTTGGGGTCACACGTGACAGTCACGAGACCTTGCTTCCTGGCCAAGAAAGGCACGGCGCATATACAAGTCTGGTAAGTGCCGCCGCACGCACGGAGGTTCTCGGTGATCCATTCATGCATCCTGTCACGCTGCTCTATCAGACCAGGAAGACTCCCCAATACAGGCCAGACACGTGGACCCTTTAGCCACCGTGAGATCCTCTTGAACCATAGCCAATACGCCACAACGACCGCAACAAGAAGCATCGCATTTGATACCTCCATATATATTAGCTCCTTGTTTATAATTTACTGGGAACAAAAAGAATGCGAACGTTTCCCGGAAAAGGAATGAATGTGAGTGACTGAGATGAGAAGAGAAGAGGTGATGTTGGATGCAAATGAATGCTTTTTTCCAGGGAAATTTATAAGGAGAAAAGGAGGAAGAAGCTCGGCTCTGATTCACAATCTTTCACTCGTAACTATCAGAATCAAACCCCTCATTAATGATTCCGCGGTTCTCGTTGAGATATATTGATTTATATACATAATGAGAGGTTTTCCAGATTTGGATGTCAGGAAGTGGTAAAGTAGTGTTTATGCTTTGCTGGTACCTAATTTTGCAGCGAAAGGAATAGTCTCATTTAATGAATTTCATATGTATGTATGACTATAAGTAAAATACAAATATATATATAGATCAATAGATTGATATTTTATGTAGCTGTGTGGGGGAATTAAATGAGATTAGTTGAGAACATAAGGCACAAAAAAAGATGGTGGGGTAGAAGAGGAAGAAGTCGTCTATTTAAAATTTTAGAAGTTTGTTGGGTGAAATAAATTCACTAGTCGGTCGCTCCTTAAACTCTATTTAAGCTGGAGATATGATCGACTGACGACCATGATCGACCGGTCGATCCTACTGCAAGTTTCCTAAAAGGCCTAGCATCGACATGACGAGGTACGACCGACGATTCATTAATGGTTTAGCAAATAAGTCTACAACGACCCATGGTTTTATACAATTTCCTAAATCTATTGGAATTGTATAAAAGGACCGACGTAACCTCTAATTAAAAGGAAATTAGGAACGACCGACAGGAAATGGAATATTACGATCGACGTCAAAGCCCAACTCAACAAGGATTAGGATCGACAAGCACCTATAAATAAGAGGTCCCATAACAAGGACAAGGGGACATTCAGAAAAACACACAAAAACCCTAATAGCTACTTGTTCTTCGCCTCTCGACGAGCAAGCGACGAACAACCTAGATACGACGAACTACGATCTACGACGAGCGACAGACGAGATTCTCTTAGTTTAATCTTTGATATTGACTTGTTGTAGCTCGATATTCAATTGATTAATAAGATATCTTCTCCTGCGTCATTCCGTTTATTGTACTTGCGAACCGGTTAAATTTTGCCCAAACAGTTTGGCGCTAGAAGGAGGGGCAATTTTAACTGCGTGAGACATGGCGGCGGGAGATGATACCGCACCGACCGTCACCGTTGCTCAGCTGGAGGCTCTCACAGCTCAGATGAAGCAGAACGAAGAACGACTTGCGCAAATCCAGGCGGAGAACGCAACCCTACGAGCAGAAAACGCGTCATTGGTTCAGGCTCGCAATAGATATCGAGCACCGGTCCCTCCTATGCAATCGTTCGACACTCCACCACTTACGGGTGCAACAGGAGCAGCCCTAGGCTAACAGGTAACCAAACATTGGTTCCACCCCTTGCACCAACGATGGAACATCAATCTGAAGACTCGCATACTATGTTCTCAAAGCGATTGGAGGCTATGGAGCTCTTGCTCGCGCGACTTCCAGGAGTAGCTCCTCCAATCACCAAAAGTGCTCCTAATTGCTATGCAGACACTCCCTTCACGGATGCCATCGTTGGTTGAGATGCCAAAGAAGTTCATCGTCCCTTCAATGAAGATGTACGACGGGACGACCGACCCTGATAATCATATAGCCCAGTACAAGCAACGCATGTTCACAACGGCAATAGCAAAAGAATATCGCGAAGCTAGTATGTGTAAAGGATTTGGATCTAGCCTCACGGGACCAGCTCTTCAGTGGTTTACGAACCTACCGAACGCGTCAATCGACTCGTTCGCGTCATTGACAGACCGCTTTGTTGAGCAATTCGCGAGCAGCAGGAACATAGAAAGGACAGCCGACGATCTCTATGAAGTGATACAGAAGAGAGGAGAACCGTTGCGCGATTACGTAGGTCGCTTCAACAAAGAGAAAGTATCCATTCCGGCATGTGTCACGTCCACTGCCATCTCTGCATTCAAAAGAGGATTGCTCCCAGACAGTGATTTGTACAAGGAACTGACGAAGTACCAGTGCAGAACGATGGAAGATGTGCTATCTAGAGCATGGGCTCAAATAAGGTGGGAGGAAGACCCTGCATATCGACACCTACTTTCCCCACGATCTGATTCGCGTGTTGTTAGGAACGAGCGTCCCTCTCGAGATGACAGACCGTACCAGAGACCACGCAGTGAAAGCACTAGCAAGAGAAGCGACAGCAGAAGCGACCATCGACCACTCAACCAAATTGAGAGCGACCAACGCTCATCATCCACATGGCCAGACATGAGTAACCTCGCAATATCTCCTGCAGAACTAGTCAATGTTCTTAATCATATATCTGGAGTAAGATGGCCTCAAAAGATGAAAGCACCAGGGGAACGAAGAGACACATCAAAGTGGTGCGACTTTCACTCTGACCATGGTCATAGAACAGAAGATTGCATCACGTTGAGAATGGAAGTAAACGAGCTACTAAAAAAAGGTCACTTGAGAGAATACTTGTCCGACAGGGCTAGGAGTCGCATCGACGACAGAAGCAATGACGAGGTGCAAAGAAAACCATCTCCTGCTCAATCTCCGAGCATGATCGAATCATCAACGTGATATCGGGAGGATCAGAGGTTAGTGGAATTACTCATTCTGCTGCTAAAAAGAGTACTAGAATAGCTAGAACTCATCATGGAGATGTCAAAGCTATATGCGAGCGACTGTCGAAGTGCACGATTAGCTTTGCTTCAGATGAAGATAAGTGTGTCCTAGCTCCACATCATGATGCATTAGTCATATCTTTGACAATTGCTAATAGTCTGATGAAAAGGACACTCGTTGATAATGGGAGTTCGACCAACATTCTCTTCATGGATGCTTACAAAGGATTAGGGCTGGATGAGAATGCACTGACGCGAAAATCCACACCACTGGTAGGATTTAGCGGTGAAGTAAAGCAGACCATAGGAGAAGTGACGCTGCCTGTGTATGCAGGAGGAATTAACCGACAGACAAAGTTTCTGATACTAGATTGTGCTACTGCGTACAACGCAATTATGGGACGTCCCTGGATTCATGACATGGGGGCAGTGCCATCGACACTCCATCAAACCATAAAATTTCCTACTCCATGGGGAGTCAAAGAGATCAAGGGAGAACAAGAGCATGCACGTTCATGCTACCAAACTACCCTAAAAGGGAAAGGTCATGAGCTATATCAACTAGAGATCCAATCGTCGATTCCACATACCAAAGAAGCAGAGGTGGAACAACTCTGTGAGATCCACTGACGAAAAAGATCTTGATGAAACGAACCTCGAAACCTACCTCTTCTAGGTTAGTTTAGCTTTCAGTGTTTTGGTTTTATTTATTTCGTTATTGTCATAGTCATAGACGATCCACGAGATGTCTCTGCTTTCAATTGTTTTTCTTTACTTCGCGCATGTCTACGGACGAACTTCTTAATAAAAGGTTTTTCTACATATGAGTATTTAAGAATTCTCAGATTATGTTCGTCACTCGCTTTAATATCGACGTTGTATCCACAACTAGTGACGAGCGACAGTCATTGCACTGCTTATGACAAACGACAGTAAAAAAAAAAAAAAGGCATTGCCTCCTCATGATAGAGCAGCAACGACGATCGACGTTTCTTCAAAAAAAAAACTAAAGGCAATGCCTCATGAGCAAATTGACCATGGTCACTAGGAAGATAAGAGTCATGTACTCAATGTATATCGACATCGACGACAGTCGCTGATAACTAATTTAGAGGTACGACCTCCACATGTTATGACGACAAGTCATAAAGAGTCATGTACTCAATATATAGTAAGAGCGATGACATCGCTAATAATTGATTTAGAGGTACGACCTCCACATGCTATGACAACAAGTCATAAGCAAATAGATAGAGAGACATGTCCTCAATATACAGTGACGACTGTCGCTACTAAATAAATTAAGAGGTACGACCTCACCATGATAAGTCATGATATAAATAAAGAGGTACGTACTCAATAGATAGCGACGACAGTCGCTAACAAATAAGTTAGAGGTACGACCTCCAATAGACTATGATGTCACATCACTCTTTGATTAACAAAGGGGCACGACCTCCAAATGTTATGATCATAAATCATTAGCTAACAAATGAAGAGGTACGTCCTTAATCTGTGACAACATCTACAAAATCAAGAGGTACGTCCTCGTGAAAATATGACAATAAACTAAGGGGTATAGCCCTCACAGCCTAATAGCTGCTTATCCGTTGAGAAAGCAAGTTCTGAATTCATCGACGCTCATCAATAGGTAAGGACTTATGTAGTCAATCAAGTGATCAACCACAGACGAACATATAAAACGTGTTTGTCCTTGCTAGTTTTTATTAGATCTTATGAGATCAAGACCAACTACTAGTAAAAAGGAGCTCCGTCAATTCTACTATAATATCTTAATAGATAAACATCTATTAACGATATAAGAGGAAAAGGAACAATAACTCCAATTGAAAAGAGAGGGAACGACAAAAGAAGATAAAGGAGCGACATACAAAAAATAAATAGCATCTACATTAAGAAGGGATCAAGGTCCCAAGCGATATTATTGAGTAGCGACTAACGATTTGGAAAAAAATGCTTTTTATTTAAGATTAGAGTAAATGAAGCTCGACGACTTAAAAGAGGTCACATGTTAAGTTCCACATAGAGGGAGTCTTTTAAAAATTTAAAGAGTGACAAAGAAAGAAAGAGCAACGAGTCTGTCTTTCCACATAAAGGGAGTCTGTCTTTCCTCATTTTTTAAGAGCCCCACGTGAGCATAAAAAGAGGAGAGATTCTTTACATTTGTTTGTCACTCGACATTCAACTTGATGAAATGTCAGTCCTTCCTACCTTTTTCTAATGGTCCTACGTGGTTACACAAATAATAATCATCATTTATTTGCGAGTGACAAATAAGAGAGGTAAGTACGTATGTTCTCTTTTCCTATAAAGTATATTGTATGAGTTGGTTGTTCTGTATGTGTTCTTGTACATTGTATATATTTTTAGTATTGGAGATAAACCTTACGAGGGACATGCCGAAGCATAAACTTCATCGACCGTGGTAAAGAATCGACAGCCATGAGTAAGCAAGCGACCGACAATGTTTGAAATATTACTCTACAAATTCTAAAAAGAAATTGAAGAGTAGGGGGCAAGTTGTTGGGTGAAATAGATTCACTAGTCGGTCGCTCTTTAAGCTCTATTGTATGTTGGAGATATGACCGACTGACGACGAGATCGACCGGTCAATCCTACTGCAAGTTTCCTAAAAGGCCTCAAGCATCGACATACCTCTATAACGAGGTACGACCGACGATATTCATTAATGGTTTAGCAACGGCTAATGGTCTAGCAACGACCCATGGTTTTATATAATTTCCCAAATCTATTGGAATTGTATAAAAGGACCGACGTAACCTCCTAATTAAAAGGAAATTAAGAGGAACGACCGACAAGAAAATAGAAAGTTACAATCGACATCATGGCCCAACTCGACATGGACTAGGATCGACAAACACCTATAAATAAGAGGTCCTAGAACAAAGAGCGACATTCAGAAAAACACACAAAAACCCTAATAGCTACTTATTATTTGCCTCTCGACGAGCAAGCGACAAACAACCTAGCTACGACGACTACAATCTACGACGAGCGACAGACGAGATTCTCTTAGTTTAATCTTTGATATTGACTTGTTATAGCTCGATATTAATTGATTAATAAGATATCTTCTCCTGCGTCATCCTGTTTATTGTACTTGCGAACCGGTTAAATTTTGCCCAAACAAAGTTTAGGAATCAGGTTTTTATAGGTACAGCTACAAGTGATATTTCGGTTTTTGGTTTGGTTTATTCGGTTGTTTCAGTTTGAGAATATTTTGCAAAATCAAATGAAACTTAAACTGAAGAGAAACTAATATTCAAATAGTACTAGTTCGGCCAGGTTGAATTTAGTTAAAGCTCGATTTGGTTTATTTGCTTGAAGGTGTTTTATTTTATTTATCAATCTATGTAAAAAGTTATGTATCAAAAAAGGTTTTAGTATCAGCTTACTTCGTTTTAGTTTGGTTTAAAAACTCATGTAGATTCATTCATATTCTAAATGATATAAAACTAAATTTATAAAGTAAGCTAGGTGATAACTATATATATCAAGTTCAGATCAGAGAGCCTTTTAATTTTGTATTTTATATTAAACTATAATTCGTTCTTATTAAAAAAACATTTTTATTTTTTTCTTAAGAAGACTTCCTCGTTTTGGTTTATCGATTCTAGGTTTTGGTAAGCAACTCGATATATAGACTAGTATTTAACAATTTACTTTAGGAAAGACAATCTGAGTTTCTTTTCAACAAGAAACACTTCGTGTGCCACTATTTTGACTTTTTTGGTTTCTCCTTTAATGCGCTTTTTTGTCTTCGATTTTTACTGACAATAGGGTACTAAAATGTTAAATAAACTGAAAAATAAAGTGGGACATGGAAGCGGAATATTAAGCATGAAAGATGTATCATTGAATGGTATGTGAAAGTCAAAAAGGTTATGCTGACTTTTGTTACTCTGCAACTCTTACTGTATTACATCATTATATTGCGCTTTTCCCTTATTACACTTGAAGGCATTTTATAAATCAAGCACATATGTATATGAAACAATATAATGATGTGCATAATTGACTTCGATTTTGTGTATTGTGATCGATAAATTATTGTGAAACAATCGTAATATTTTAAAATACAAAAAGAAAACAAACCATAGCAAATGGAACATAAAGGTAGGTGTACAGTAGTGAAAAGTAGATGGCTTGCCAACCTAACAATTCTATTAAATCATTTATCACTCATGGTTGACTCTCCTTTTTAATCGAAATTACTAAATGACACATGATATCTTTGTTAATTTATGACATTGCAAAATCATCATTTACAAATGTCAATGTAAAATTTCGACAAAGTTGATACATTAACTTAAAGATTTTTAACCAAAGTTGATACATTGTAGATTTCAAAATAATCATTCAGCATTTGTATTTGATTCGTATATAACGTTCGAATGCATATCATATTTCGAGTAGGACAAGAAGATGAATAGATCTGTAAATAATACTACTTGTTATCAGGGGAAAGATGTGCATATCCTCAAAATCTATATATACTTGTAATCAGGCCAGCTAGTTAATTTGCAACCCAAAGAACTGTATCAGTCCGAACTAAAATACAAAAAAAAATCACCATGTGAAACTGATAGATTCATACTGAAGATTATTAGCTGAACCAAAGGAACAAATCTTTGCAACCTCTCGTCTCATCCTCATCGGACCACACACAAGAACTCCCACGCTCGAACCCTTTAGACCAACTAGAAGCTCTGCTTTCACATAATGAACAGAGTCAAAACTTTGAAAGAGTTAAAATATACCCCAATGTGATACATGTATGAGAATGCTATATATAATCTTAAATAGACTTACTCTTAAGATTAGGCCTTTCTCCGTAATGAATGCAAGTGGATTGCGATAGAAACTGTTGTGGCGAGCTCTCGTTCATCATCAGAGACAAAACGTCGACGTTTCGGTCGTTTTTCTTATAATGCTTCTGTTTGCCGCAAAACACAGCGACCGTAGACGTAGCCACCACGCTGACGGAGATTGATAGAAGGTAAATGAGGGATTTATAAGCCGAGTTGTACTTTTTCGAGATTTGCTCCATTGGGTAAATGCGATATCTTGTGATGATTCCGATGATGATAATAAAGATGACGAATGAAGAAGAGAGGATGGTGGCGAGACAGAGCCAGGAGTTGGCTCCGAGGATTGGTGAGATGGGTTGGTCTGTGACTGATGGTTTGAAACAGAGGGGTTTGATGATGTTCCTGTTGCATGTTGGTTCTTTCTCTCGGGTGACGAAGGCTTTGATCTGGATATCTAAAGACGAGGAGATCTCGGTGGTGAGACCGGTGATAGGTAAGATTAGGTCGAGTATGGAGAGATCAGAACAGTTCTTGAACGCGCAAATTAGGGTCATTTTGGGGATTTTACGAGTGTTCGTTGAGCTTGTGTAGATTAGGTCGCGGATTATGGAGATGAACGGTGTAATCCCACTGCCTCCACTCACCATTACCAGAGATTCATGTCTACACTTAAAAAAAAAACAGAGCATCAATGTTACTTGTGATGCAAGAAACCGAGTGTTAAACTTTCTCTGTTTGGGATTTAGTTTAATTACCGTAAGAAATCGGTGGAACTAGGGCCGTATGGTCCTTCAATGGAAACAGCGAGGCGGTCTATCTGACGAGAAGAAGAAAGCATCTGGTAGAGCGTATTGGACCATTTGCCTTGGCCCTTGATCATTACACTTAGCTTCTCTGGTTCGAGTTTACTACTCGAAGTTATCGTAAATGGATGCCATTGAAGCCTTGAAATGCTCGGTATGCTCACGAACATTAAACTATTCGGGCTATACATCAGCACTGTAATTAACATTTTGCAATAGATAATCAAAAATTAGCACACACACACACAAAAAAAAAAAAAAAAAAACAGAGGGATCATTGTTAAAACTCACTAGGGTTTTTGGAGAAATTGAGCTCTACGGTGTCACAAGGAAGAACACGAGCTGAGATTAACTTGACATTGTTGCGCGACTGGAGAAATCTCAAGAAACGATCGACGAGGAAGATGTAGAAACCGGGTAAAGAGATCAACGAGTAAGAGATGCCAACGTGGAAGACAAAGAAAAGCATAAAGACCATGTAGAGATAATGAGTATAGAAGAAGACTTCAAAGAATCTCCTCCTTATCGCCGGATATGTGGTGGCCCACATCACAAGTCCAGCCACCAGAGATATCTCTCCGGCTAAATTCGAGATACCGGTCCTATCCCACTTCAACATCTATTTACACCAACAACAACAATTAGTTGTGAGTTGTGACAAGAAAAATCAAACCAAAATTTACTTTTTATCGAACCGGCTCAACTTTTCTTAGACTAACCTGAGAAATTTGATTAGTGGAAATCCAGTAGATAACGTAACAAAGACCGTGGCTGGTGAATAAAGCCATGACCAAGTGACCGAGCCATATATGGTACTTGATGCTTGACTCTGACGTAAGCCCAATCGCAGCCAGCAACGACGAGCAACGCGCCACCGGATAGAACAAGAACGCCAAGCATATGTTCCCGGTTAGACCCAACCGTACTGCTATCGAATCAAGCCTTGCTTCCCATCTTATCAGATTTTTTCATAAAACAAACAAAAAATGCCAAGTTTTTTTTTGTCATTTAGCTAGTTAGCTAATACATGTCAATCTCGATCATGTAAATACACACACAAAATATATCATAATCTGTTAGAAAAGGCCAAATTGTTGAAGATATGATATGAGTGATTCACAGAATTACGGGTCAATCATTCTTGTATATTTTCCATTTTTCTATTGTTTGACTTAAGTTACACTCTAGTTTTAAGACCACAAATACATTTCCACTTTTAAATTTTATTCAACTTATTTTTCATCATCATATCACAATATGATAAATAAATAAAACCCATCTATAATACTAACACTTACAAATTATCTCCATTGATTGCTGGTGATTGAGGAGTGATGGTGACAAAAGTATGGTAGAAGTAATTGGTTAAGCTCCAAAGAAGAAGAGCCATGAACATCGTCAAAAGCATAACCTCAGTCACTGTCACTATTCCTAATGGTCCTTTAACTAACATTGGTCTTCTTAATGCTCCAAACTTGTCTCTCTTCTTCCTCTCCTCCACTCCACTTTTTATTTACAGAAATTAAGTAGTATTAATATTGATATAAAAAGCTGTTACTTATTAGAGAATAATCAGTTGTACTTTAAGATTGATCACCTGTTCAGTTGGTCAAAACTCGATTGTTTCTTCAAGTGAAGGTAAATACAACCCAGGAAAGCCAGTAGAATCATTGGGAACATGTAAACCAAAAGGTTCACTCCTAATAAAAGAAAAACCAGTACCTATGTATAGTTAACTAAGTGAAAATTAGATTAGATCTGTGACGACTTGTAAAGAAACCGATATATGATTATATGAATTACCTGGTTTCCCAAAATAAACCGATTGGCCGAGCTTGGCACGCATGGGTGTTAACCAGGTTTTCTTGTAAGTAGAAGTTGGCATCATGATCCAAATCACCGTAGTCCCCACCAAAATCACCATCGTTAAGAGCGTAATCACCTTCTTAATCACTTCCTTATTCATCTCTCCTGATCTCATGTTACAAGAGATGAGATTCCAACAGATAAGAGAAAGAATACAAACAAGGAGAAATGGAGTTTGCAGTGAATATTACATAACCCAGATATATATCCTTTTTAAACCCATAATTTTGGTAATTAAATTACATTTTCCTTTTATATCTGACGCTAGAAAGTGGGCACTCGTGGAAAAGTCCAAGTAACGTGTATAATTTTCCTGATTTCATAAAGGAAAGCTAATTTCCTCAGGAAGTTATTTATTCCTCAGAAAGTTAGTTCGGGCATTTTTAAAAACATAGTTAGTTCGGGCATACCCAGCACTAAACAAGTGAATGTAACATGTATTTTGATGATATGAGCATACCACACACAGTCCTTACCAAATGGGGTTTGGAAATAGAACGCATAATCTTCTCTCTTTTTTGGAGGATGTTTGTCATTAGCCTGTCACACGCTTAATAAAGCTATTTTTACTGGATTGTATTGTAAAACCAATGTACAGTTTTATATGGAAAGAAGGGAGGAAAAAAGTGATAACATGGATCAGAAAAACAAATGTTCAGGAAGTGCAATAAACTTAACAATTTAGGGCTCATTAGCTAATATTGGAAAGTTGAATCATTGCAGTTTCAGGTCCTCTAGAGTGTGTCCTTTGTACGCGCACGTGTGTACATGTCTCTTTTACACGAATCTTCGCGTGTCCAAACATAAATAAGTATCAAATTTGAAATAATAGTAGGTAATTCTACTCCTTTTTTTGCTCCTGATTTTATTCTTTGTAATGGGTTTTTGAGTGATTAGTCATTACGAAAAATCACTTGATTCATGAACTCTACATTAAATATCATTTGGAAGCATCTGAAGTCACTTTGTTAGCTTTTCACATAAACCATGAGTTCCATGTAGGGATGTTCGATATAAACCATGATTTTTTTATCTTTTTCTCTAACCCACTAAATTCTAACGGAAGTCACATATAATCGTTAACCAAATTGATGTATATCTGGTAGTTAGGTAATGTGAGGTGTCAGTTATATAATTTTCTTTAAATTTTAATTTGTGACATGTCAATTCGAAGGGCTTAATCTTTGATTTTCACGTAACTTCTTCTTCTTCAAGCCAGTAATTCGGTACTTGTGCTATCGCAAGATGGCATTGGCATATGAACTAAGACATATATGCCTTTAAAACCTGATCGGTCCTATATCAATAAAAAAAAAAAAAAAAAAAAAAAAAAAAAAAAAAAAAAACTGATCGGACATGTAAGGTTGAACTAAGGAAAAGAGATAAACCATATAGTACGACCCAGATTGATTTTATTATATTTCAGCATTTACAATTTACAAAAGCTCCATGCCTCGACTCGTGACCGAATTTGTAACACAAGGAAATGTAAAGATTACAGACAAAAGGATTGGGAAACTTTAGGAAGATATTTTTCACACTAAGTATTCCTAGAAGAGAAAAATAAAAACCGGTAAAAAGGTCTATGTGACAAGCACACACAGACATAGGTCAAATGACACGCCCACATGGGAAACAGAGTCGTACAAGCAATCACCAGCTGAAACTGATAGATTCAAAATGAAGATTCTCAGCCAAGCCAGAGGAACATAACTTTGCAACCTCTTGCCTCATCTTCTTCGGACCACACACAAGAACTCCCACACTCGAACCTTCCACATCAAGTAGAAGTTCTGCTCATATAAACCAACCAGAACATGATTAGAACAGCAATTACTTATGTATATATTATTTTTAATATAGAGAAAGAGAAAGAAAGTTAAGAATATATTACTCTTGAGATTAGGTCTTTCTCCGAAATGAAGGTTTGTGCATTGCACGAGAGACTCTTGTGGCGAACTTTCGATTTCTCTCAAGGAATTGTAACCCCATGAGACTGGAGAAGACGTTGGAGATGGAACGTCGACGTTTTGGACCTGTTTATTTTCTACGTTACCGTACTTCTTCTTGTTCCACAACATAGCCGCACTAGAAGTCGCCATGATGCTCACGGAGATGACTAAGATATATAGGATGCCTTTTGAAGTCGATGAATAGATCTTCTTGGTATTGTGTTCGAACGGGTAAATGTAATACCTAGTGATGATACCGATAATTATCATGAAGATCAAAAACGAAGATGAGAGAACTGCGCCAAGCCAGAGCCATGAGTTTGGTCCGAGGATTGATGAGATGGATTGGTCCGAAAGACTTGGTTTGAACCACAAAGTTTTGATTTTCTCTGTTGTTGCTTCGATTCTCGCTTCTTTCTCTCGGGTTATGAAGGCTTCAATTTTGATGTTTATGTCGGAGGATAGTTCAGTCTGGAGGCCGGACAGTGGCAAGACAAGATCGAGCATGGAGATTTCTGAAGAGTTCTTAAATGCGCAAATCAGAGTTATTTTAGGGATTTTGCATTTCTGGTTTTGGCTTGTTGCTATCAAATCACGAATGACAGAGATAAATGGAGTTATCCCGCTTCCTCCGCTCACCATAACCAGAGCTTCATGCCTACAACACCAGAAAAGAAGAAGCTTTAGCTTTCGATGTTTCTTCAAACGCAAGCAATCGATCAAGTTTCTTGTGCTTTACGATACCAAGAATCAAGCTATTAGATGTATTTTCGAGAAAGCGTAAACCACCTTAAGAAATCGGTGGAAGCAGGGCCGTAGGGTCCCTCCACGGAAACAGCGAGACGGTCGATCTGATCAGAAGAAGAAAGCGCCTTGTAAAGCTTAGTTGACCATTTACCTTCGCTCTTGATCACAACACTTAGCTTCTCTGGCTCAAGTTTGCTACTCGAAGTTATTGTGAATGGATGCCATTGCAGCTTCGAAACGCTCGGTATGTTCACAAACAATATGCTCGTAGGGCTATAACCCAACTCTGTTTAACATACATAATAGCTTAGAGACTAGAACTTTGAATCACAATTTAAAAAGAAATTACAAATAATAGGATTTTGGGAACTCACTAGGGTTTTTGGAGAAAGTGAGTTCGATGGCGTCGGAAGGAAGAATCCGAGCAGAGAGCAACCGAATATTGTCACGTGACTGAAGAAACCTAAGGAAACGATCGACCATGAACATGTAGAAACCAGGGAAAGCGATGAAGGAGAAGGTTATGCCGACGTGGAGGACAAAGAAGAGCATGAAGACGATGTAGAGGTAGTGTGTGTAGAAGAAGACTTCGAAGAATCTCCTCCTTATTGTCGGATATGTGGTGGCCCACATCGCAAGTCCGGCCACAAGAGCTATCTCTCCGGCCAAATTCGAAATATCTTCCGTTCCCCACGTGATCATCTGCAATTAGTGAACTCCACATCAGATTATACTTATTTACTAAGTACAGTTGTAAAATGAATTACTGTACCGCGTTATAGACGTAAAGATTGACAAAAAGATCAGTTTGAAAAACAAGACAAAAAGGATCGTAAGATGTTCCTGAACCTCAATATGATTAATTTCTTCATATAAATGAAGACTTATCCAAATATTTTTCACCTTAAAATGTGTGTTTCAATTAAATTTTCGTTTTCAATCAACAATGCTTTATGTTCACATATTTATGCTTCTGAAGACCCAATATATTAAATTTGACCGCAATTTATTACTATAAGTACAAAGTACTGCGTATTCAGAGTGACGTTGACCGGGCATGGTGTATTAATTTGGAGTCGTTGACTTTGATTCTATGTAGAGGTGGGACCCAATTATTGGACGGATCCAGCCAAAATCGAATCCATTTACAATTATGAATTAACTTTGATAAATTAATGGAAACAATTAAACAAATACCTGGGAGAGCTCATGCATAGAGGCCCAATAGGTGATGTAACAGAGACCGTGAATGGTGAAAATGGTCATGACCATATGACCGAGCCAAATATGATATTTGATGCTTGACTCCGAGGTTAGTCCCACCGCTGGTAGCAACGACGACCCACGAGCCACCGGCAAAAACAAGAACGCTAAACATATGTTTCCGATAAGCCCTATTCTTAGCGCCGCTGAATGCAGCTTAGCTTGCCACCTGAATTGATCAAAATCTCAATATTTTAACGAAAAGCTACTGGAAACGTTTACTACTAAGCTTTCTATACATGTGGTATTTTCGATATGTATATATGATCAGTATCAGGTGATAAACCATTAGCCATGAGTCCCATGACATCTATATTTTAGTAGTCAATACAATTACAAAGAAATGTTTTGTTCTTTTTTATTTATAATAACAAGCTGTTCACATGTATTTTCAAACAGGAAAATCACATCTACTAGCTAGTAAATGATTGGACTAACACAACCAGATATAAATTAGATTCTGTATGGTTGATAGAGAAAGGATTACTTACAAAGATTGGCCATGTGCGGCGGCTGATTGAGGAGTGATAGTGGCAAAGTTATTGCGCAAGTAAGTGATAAAGCTCCAAAGAAGAAGAGCCACAAACATAGCCAAGAACATGATCTCAGTCACTGAGACTATCCCCAATGGTCCCTTCACTAACATTGGTTTTCTCAGTGCACTCCACGCTCCTTTCGTCTCCCTTTTATTATATATATCAAAGAAACCAATTGTTACTAAAATGATGAAAATTATACAATTACTCTATCGGCATAATTCACCGGTCTAAGCGATGAATATTTTGTACCTATCAATTTGGCGTAGAGACTTCCGTTTCTTGAAGTGAAGATAGACACATCCCAAACAAGCTACGGCCATCATTGGGAACATAAACATGAAAAGTGTCGTCCCTGTCGTGCAAACAAAGAGGAGGATATTAAGAAATATAATATTGTTGGTGTTTAAAACAATCGGAGGATCCTGAAGAAATATGGATGTATTCTATTGATCGTACAAACCTGTGGCACCAAAATAAGTCGATGCTCCAAACTTGATTCGCATATGAGGCAACCACTTGTTTCGATAGGTTAGTGTTGGCATCATGATCCAAAGCATGATAGTTCCAAGGAAAATCACCATCATTAAGAACTTTGTCACTCCCTTCATCATATCCTTAAACTCTTCTCCCGCCGATGGGCTCGAACAATCATTATTGCTTCTGCTGGTCTCGATCTCCATCTCCTTCTTAAGAACTCTCTCTCTATCTCACTCTCTCTCTAAAGGTCTTAAGAGATATGATCGCTTATAGTGAGGAGGACCAAGTTAACTTGTGTTGAGGGAAAGAATAGTAGAGAAAGTGCATATATAAAGAGAAAATTTTGAGTGGGAATTAGATGAAGTAAGCTAGTTGCATGCTCCATGCATGTGACTCTCCCCATGGATCTTGTTTTTTGTTTTCTTTCATTATTTTACATCTATTTGTTTTTTTTTTGTAAAAAAAGTTTGTTTTCTTTTCGGGATGACGTAAGAATCTAAAAAAGGGTACGAAGGAATATACAATATGCTAAAATAACGGGTATTCGATATTGAATGTACAATATGTACTAAGTACGTTAAGTTCGAGATAATTTTTTGACTTTAATATGGTAACTATGTTTTGGAAGCGGAACAAACCACTTTTCTGAAGACTGATTCGAAATATTTTCAGTGTTTTTTAATTGAACAACTCTAGGTCTCTAGCCAAAGCCAAAGACTATCCCCTAACTTTGTCTCTCTCTCTCTTTTCTTTTTGCTTTTTAAAAAGTTAGTTACCCGCGAAATTACTACTCCCTCCGTTTTTTAAAGATAAATTTTCTAGTTTTTTCACACAGATTAAAAAAAAGTTGATTTTTGCATAGATTTCTGCAATAAAACAACTTTTTATAATTTTAAACCAATAAAAATCCAACAAATATAATCATTGTATCTTGAAAACTGAAAAAGTGCATTAAAAAGGTAAAAATTTTATCTTTGTGAAACAACACATAATGACTAGAAAATTCATTAAAAAAAATGGAGGGAATATTTGCTAGTCCTAGTTGTATTGAGAAATAGTATTATGTATGCAGTATGCTCGATCAATCTAGATCGTTCTATATATGTATATTCTCAGTGTCAAACAATAAAACAATTAAGTATACAGCTATAGGAATATGTTTGCGATTTTTGTTTATCACTTTGAAAAATTTAAAAACTGTAGCCTATAGGTTTTTAAAAAAATAAAGGATTTTGACTTGAGGAAGATGCCAAGGACCATGCTACTTTTTATTACTCATAACCTACTTGATAATTAACTACTCTTTGAGGAATTAATCAGTTAAAACCCGTCCAAATAGATCTGAACATGAGATTAGTAAAATATAACAAGTAACCTAAATACTAAGCTACATGGTTCATACTTGATAGTAGTGCCAAAGAAAACTCTGTACAAAAAGGTTTATATTCGTAATTATGACGCAATAAACATTAAAAGGTAACATAAAAGTCGCTCAAGAACTTAAAGAGAAGTGCTTGCCATTGCAAGGGATAAAGATATGATACCCCAAATTGGATGGTTGTAATGAACCTGGTTCGTGTTCGGTTATGGTAGGTTTATGGATTTCGTGCCCGTACGTACGTGTGGAATGGACACGTGTCATATGTCGAATTATGTGTGTCATTGTCTTCGCCGTCCACGAATCTCACGCGTGTCAACAAGATTGTGCATTCTTTTAAAGCCAACGAGGAAAAGATGAATCAGGCCCATTCCCATTCATGCTCTTTCTTCCTCATGATCATTACATCACTTTACATCACACTAAACTAAGTTGTTTTGACTTTGTATACTTTATACATTTTCTTTTTTTTTATTCGATTAGTGTATATTCCTACCGGCATCGAATATAGTTACATGTTAGGGAGGCTCCATTAAACTATGTTTGTTTGGTGAGAAACTACAACGTAAACCGACGAGCCATACCAACCCCATCTTGCCTTCTAAAACCCATAGTTAGTTGTTCCACTAAAGGGTGTTCCGTGTCCATAAATCCATCAAAAACCTTTAAAGTATTTACATAACATAACATAAGTTGGAAATTCCTAAAACATTATCTTCGCTCTATAACTTGTGTCAAAGGTGAAACTCGATATAAGTAGTTAACCCAAAAAAAAAACCTAAAAATATAGATCGAATTCTATTTGACTAAGAATTCAACAATTTCATCATCTTTACAAGCTCCAACATCAATCACCATCGTCCCATTCTTCTTCCTCGGCAATACCCTACAACAATCTCTTCTAGGAGCCTGAAATTACACCGACAAACAAAATCAGTAACACAACATACAATAAATAAAACCATTATTCAGATTCAAAAATTTTACTGACCTTATTTTTGTCCCACCTATCCGGGTCGGGTTTTTTATAAACGATGACCCGATCAATTTCAGAAGGATCCGACATATTCCAATCGCATTCAGGATCCCAGTCGTCATACCATCTCACGTACTCGCTAGCAGTTCTGTGTAAGGCCGAATCAGGAAGCGCGTTGGACAGAAAATACACGCGCGGGCGTTGACAAGCGTTTTTGCTAAAAGGACGCGTGTTAAAAGCGTAGCTTTTGTCATCGGTGCGTTTGTACCAGTCGATGAAAGTGCGCGTGGGGATCTGCATCTCTCTGGGTGACAAAACTCCACGTGTGATCTGGACTGTGTATCCCCAAGAGACGGACACGGTCCATCGGCGAGCCGTGTCGTAGCAGATTGACTGTTGCGTGAGGCTTGCTGAGTCGAGTTTTGCTGGAACCATGAAACGTTTCATGGCGTTGACTCGGCCCATATTCGGGAATACTGGATCCACTAAATCTAGATGATGGATCGATACTATTGGAGCTAGTGGATGGGCCGATAATAAGCCCAACAGTTTCCCGAATAAATCAACCTGTTTGTTACAGCATTAATTCAAACAAAATCGTGAGTATATATATATGTAGATCGAGAGATTCCAAAAACAGATATATTTGATAATGCTTCTGTTTGGTCAAAAATCAAAATTAAGATTTTGTTAAGATGTTCTTGGATTTATCATAGGAATAACAAAAACATAAACATTTTACCAAAAACAAAAATCATTTTAGAACAAGCCATATAAATGCACGCGGGAATGTAAGATCAACACCTAGGTCCTAGTCATTGACTTATTTGATCCTACAACCTATGTTAGTGCCGAGATTCACGACATCATTTCTGTTTTCTCTAAATATAATGGTGACTAGATAGAACTGAATTATAAAAGATAGATCCGAACATAAGTATTTTATCACTGTATTTGATAAATGTATCTACAGTCTACAAGAGATGAATATGGATCGTAACAGATTTCACACCCATAATTATTGAATCCAAACTTCATCAAAATTTGACTGATTATCAAAGATTTCTTGAAAAAAAAGTAAATGCATTATAAGTTAGAATGTTCTGTTTCCTAAACAAACTATAAAATCATGAAACTTAGATCTTCAAATGGAGAATTTTCTAGTGTATATCAATTAAAAGATATTATTTACCTTTTTCGATATGAATTTTTTTACCAAAAAAAAAAAAAAAAAAAAACAGAGGACTAACCTGATGAAATCCAACTTCTCTAGTCAAAGGAACACCGAGCTCCGCCATGCAAGCATGAATCCGGTCATCGGAACCGTACAGTTCCGGGTATCTTTGAATACACCGATCTTGCATTTTCTCCAAAGCTTTAGCCAACGGATAGCTAATCGCGAATCCTCCACCTCCATAAGCCATCCCGTAAGAGAATTTCAGATTCTGGATATGACTCTCCGACGAGCTTCCGATGTAGTAGAACTGATTGTGATCGTACTTTCTCAAAACTCTGATAAGATTCTCCGTGAAGAACACAGTGTCGTCGTCTCCCATCACAATCCACCTCACATTTTTCTCAGACTCTGTTCCGTTTAAAAGCCTCACTGTTTCGGAGACGATTCGTGTGAGCCTGATCGCCGACCGGTTACCCTTTGGGAATTTATACTTAAACCTCGCCGTGTCGGAGGAAACTCTGATCGGAGGCAATTCGGTGTCGTTTTGGTTAATGTGTTTGTCTAACCAAACGAAACCCTTCATTTCGCCGTCGGGTTTCCACCAGAGCTTTACGTACTCTCTACGGTGTTTCCAGAGCTTCGCAGACGCGGCGATTCCGAAAACGACGTGCTTGATTTCAGTTTGTTCCGGTTTTGGACCCGAACCGGGTCCGGATACGACCGGTGAAACCGCGATTTTGATCAGAGGTCGAGGTCGAGGTTGAGAAGAGGAGATGAAACTGAGAGGGTAGAAAACGAATTGGATAGAGAATATAATGGCGAAAGTTAAGATTAGCTTCGAGAAAAGCCTTAACATAGAACAATGTGAATTACATGAAAAGGTTTTAGCTTTCTCGTATGAAAAAGGCTTTTGTTCTTTCTTAACGTCTCCCATGGCGGAAAAAATATTTATAAAGGGTTTTTTTTTCGTCCTCCGGAGAATGAGGAAGACGACACCAGCGCAGTTACTGAACTACGCCGTTTTATTTGGTTTATATTTTCAGGCCGTGGTGGTGACTGGTGAATGGTGATGTTTTAGAGAGGGAGCTCTTAAAAGGAGACGGAGAAGATGAAACGATTAATTTATATAATCATTGTTTTGGGTATTTATCGTATAGAAAAAGGGATATTTCGTCGTTATGCAGTCCTTCTTGTTCGTGTCTACCATTAACTTTTTTTTTTTTAATTCAAATAAGAATGTAGCATAAAATTTGACTAGATTTATATGGAAATATAACTTCATAATAATTAATTATATATTTATAACTTCGAAGGTGTATAGATGTATTTAGTATGAATTAACAAAGAGAGAAATTGTATGATATGAAATTATGAATATTTGCATTTTGACCGTATAGAGAAAGCACCAGTCAAAATTACCATATTAGAATGACAATGACTATTGACTAATTTTTCGGCACAAGCTGACTTTGCAGTGAAACAAAACCCAAACAACCAGATTCTTCATCGGTTAACAATGTCTGGTACTAATAGTTGTAACCTATTTTTGGGTAATCTGTAGAATCATGATTTGATGACACACCTCATGATTACATTTCCTATGTTTTATACGATGGAAATCTAAAAAGACAGGAAGGTTATAGCAAATTCTACAACTCATATATGTAACCGGATCGTTAGGCAACTCTGCACAGATTTGAGATATATCGGACCAAAGTCTCAAGTCTCAATCCACACTAACCAATTCGAATCAATAGAAAATATTCGAATATCAAACTGTATCTTTATATAATCACAACGGTTTTTATTCGTATAATAAACCGTATCTAACCTTGTCAATGGTACATGGATCTTTACATATCACACCGATCATTCAAATTACCTTCAGATTTACATTTTATAAACCGGAGTTTTGAAACAAAAAACCGGTTTGGACTCCCAAACTTTTGATTAAAACGCTTTATAGATAAGTTAATCAAACCTTTACGTATACAAGTACTAGTTTCATGGCATCTCATACAAACGACCACAATATCACAACCACCTAATGATACATTCACAACCAAGATGGAACAGTCACACCATTTATTCACACAATCGCAGCTTATCAGAACCCTCTGTAGTTTTTTCCGGCAGCCTTTCTTGGTGACGTTGCCAGTGCCGTTGATGCGCCTATCGACCTCAGGTTCTCTAGTAACGTGTCTCGCCCCGATAACAGAATCTTGAAGAAACAATCGACTTCCTTGGAAACAAGATCCAGCCCATTCGATAACTCTGCGGCTGAGTCCTTCAATGGCTGCATGGAAATGGAATCTAATGACGACCCTTGTTGGATCGCAGGGTAAAGCTTCTTCACACCCGAATCAACTGCCTCGAGCTCTTTCAGAACCGTTAACCTGTCGGATAAAAACATACTCTTGATTTCTGAGTTCATTGTGTTCTGCATTTCCATGAATGACTGTGCCCATGGAAGCTCGTTTGAGACAGTAAGGTACAACAGACTTTGCGATGAACCTGAGAACGCTGCAGCGAAAACACCGGAAATGTACAAAGTCTTGACCTTTACGCCGTACAGAGCTCGCATCAGGACTTTTCCTTTGGCCGAGTTTTTCACCTTGGGGAGATTCAAGGTCTGAACAAGGCTGCTCAAGATCGCACGGCAGTTTTCGATCCTCGGGTTCTTGGAAGCAATGTGTTGCCTCCAGCTGTCGAGGGATGATTGAGCTTTGGACAGATTCTGAGGAGAGTTTGTGTCTAAGTTGTGCAACGCAAACTGGAGCAAGAGATGACCTTGGTTGAGACGAGTTAGCTCTGAGCTAAAGGCATTGCAGAGATCAAGAAGCTTCACGCTTATGTCGAGGTACACATCGACCCATTTATCCTCCCAATCAGATACAGGAAGCTGTAGATCGGTGATAAGGGTCTTGATACCGTTATGCGTCTCGCAAAGAGATTCCATGGCTTGCTTCATCCATGAAACAGTCAGGATTTCGGTCTTTTGCTTTGGGACAAGCTTTGTGATTGAAACTGCCAAGTTTGCTTCGAAATTGTTCAACAGTGAGAGAAGGTTTGCAGATAGAAGAGGGCTCTTTGATGATGATAGATTCTTGAATGGGTTTCCAAAGGGAAAGAAACCTCGTGGAGGGTCTTGTGGACGAGCCATTTTGTCAACTTTCAACTGCAAACAGTAAGAAAGAAAGAAAAAAGAGCAAAGATACACATATCAATTGTCACATATCATAATAACACACAAAAAAAATTATGAATCGATACTAAATCCAACACAAAGATCAAATCGTTTATAGCACTAGCTCTGGTGAATTTTCATCATTTGGGTCTTTTTCTCAAGAGATGTAAAACAAGGTAAAAGAGGAAACATCCAATATAAAGCAACACAAACAACATCAAATCCGTTCTTCGTTTAAAGTTAGAGCTCATACAAAGTCAACAACAAGATCTAATATTTTTGCAGAGGAAAAAGCTTTCAGATCAATAGATCCAAGGGTCAACCAATAGAAAAAGCTTTCAAATGAATAGATCCAAGAGTCAACTATAAGAGGCAAGAGCTATCTCTAACTTACGGTCCATTTTTCTGTATACAAATCGAAATTCAGATCTTAAAATCTGAGATTCTAAAGAAGCTATTCCAAAGTTCACATATAAAAGATATCAAATCTAACACGGAAATTTCATAAGCGGAGACAAGCTATGGATCCAGAAGACTAATCGAAACTCACCTAAATGAGATAGATCCTTGAACGAAAACTACCGGTATGAAACACGAATTCGCCTGATAGAAGTTTCTGAGCGGGGAAGATAAGAAATAAGAGAAGGAAAAATCAAAGAACCGTGTCAGATAGAAAAACCTAAACTAAAAGCAAATTAAGGCAAGCTGAGACAAGATGAGATCAAGGGTCGGTGTTCTTACCGAAAATCGAAAACACTAATCAGAGGTCAGAAATTTCCAGGAAAGATAAGAAATGGAAACGCGTTGTTCATATATGACTAAACCACAAAGTTGCCGTAATTCGAGAGATAAACAAGCATGTCAAGATATCACAAATGGTCTAGGTGTTTGACGTTGATTTGGTAGACGAAAGCGAGAGAAAGGGAATTCGGTTTCGGTTACGGGGCTGTGACGAAACACTAAATGACAGATGAAGGCGTGTACGGTTACGATGTTCAGTTGTGAACACACCTTTTTTTTCTCAACTTGTTGCCTACTTGTTACTTCACTGTTCACCCGAGGAAAAGTCAATCAAAGCCAGCCCAATATTTTTCCAAATCATTTGACTAATACAGAACCCCAACTAGTTTAGACATGCCATCGATATTTTTTTATTTTTTTTTTTCATTAATAAGTGAACCTTAGAAGAACGCTACCACAAGGAAAGAAAACAGAAACTGCAAATTAAAAGTGTGATATTTTGGTTGGTAAAGAATGTTAGTGTAACTTTTTTGTCAACAAATGAAAAGGTGCATGTATGTATACATTTTGACGTTTGTATACGCAATACATACACATACGACATATGGCTTAGTGTTCTTTAAGAAATATCAAAGTATCAGAAAATGGAATGACTTAGAGAAAACCTATTTTCTAACGAGTGTGCACTTATCTTGTGTTCTTAAGTTAGCTATCCAAGTTTGATAACAGATTTAACATTCCATCAGTTTCTCAAATTCTTGCAACTTGGAAATTGCCAACATAAATAATACAATCATACATATAGGTCCGTCCACAATCGAGATTATAGAAGTCAAGAAATAATTGAATGGAAACACACAATCACGTAAGCTTAAAGAATCATCGTGGGTCCATTTTGCCAAATTGCCCCATACCGGTTTTTAAAGCGATAAGGTTCCATGGTGAATTCGTGATGGCAACGGGCCGAACATGGCGTCGAGGTAGGTCCAAAGATATTATATAATTTAGAGGTAGACATGTGATCATCGTTGACCAACGATTACAAAAGTGAGAAAAGGTTAATTAGACGTAAGGCAAGACTCAAGAGCCAAAAGAATGAAAACATTCTGTATTTTTCCGACATAAAAATAATAAGAATGAATTGAAACAGAATGATCGTGTGGGAAGCAAAGTCACATAACCTAAGTGACTCCTTTTCATCTCAGCTTATGATGTTGGTCCAGTGAACCGCTCTCGCCGCTTTCACTACCACCCGCAGCCGCTGTCTCTGGTTTCTGTCGGCTTCCATGGTCCCTCGTTGTTCGGCGTTCCTACAAAAAAAAAAAAAAAAAAACAACATCCCGCCATTAGACCTTTTTTCAAACTTGTGAAGAAATGTAAAAGACAAAATGGTCAAGTTTTTTTGTAAAATACATCGCGATAGAGCAAGTCTTCAGCTTCAAGCATATGTATGATATGTCCCATTTTAGGTCTCTTGTTGGCATCAGGATCCACACAACGCAAAGCTACGAGCAGCACTCGTTTAAGAGCCTTTGAGGATGGTGGTTCCGGTATCTTTGGATCCACTACTTCTTCTGATCTTCGGTTTCCCACCATTGACTTCAGCCAATCCACTAGATTCGTCTACAAGCACACACACACAAAAAAAGAGAGATTATTTAAAAAACCATTTTACAAGAACAAAGTATGTGTTTAGCTTTAATCCGCTAAATACCTCTCCTTGAGGGCGACTATAATCAACAGGGTTTCGTCCAGTGATAATCTCCATGATTAATATTCCAAAGCTATAGATATCGCTCTTCTCGTTTAACATTCCGGTGCAAGCATATTCAGGCGCTACATACCTAAACAAACAATACCGCAAAGTAAGGATTTGAATTCCTAAAGATAGTCTCGAAATCATTTCATGAGAGAGAGTGAATGTGATTAAGCCCTTTACCCGAATGTTCCCATGACACGAGTTGTCACATAACTGCTCTCGGAACCCAGCAGCTTAGCGAGTCCAAAGTCTGAAACCTTGGCATTCCATTGGCGATCAAGCAAGATATTGCTTGACTTTATATCCCGATGAACAACTTTTGGTTCAAGACCCTCATGTAGATACGCCAATCTACAGTTATAATAGCAAAAAAAAGATTCACATATAATAAACATAATAGCCGACTGAGAGAAGCATCATCTATTCCACTTTAACATCTATCAAGAATTAATTACCCTTTAGCCATCCCGAGTATAATGTTCATGCGGATATCCCAAGTTAGAGGGCTCACATCGCCCACATCACCATGTATCCATTGCTCCAAATTACCATTATCCACAAAGTCATACACCAGCATCCTGTAGTATGATGAGATCACAACCATGTTATTCCTTTTGCTTCATCTTAAAAAAAAAAAAAAAAAGAAAGAAATACGAGCAGTGGTATTCTATTATTACCTGTAAGCACCTTCAACGCAATACCCTAAAAGCCTAACGAGATTCTTGTGCCGCACACGCCCAATTACTTCCACTTCTACTTTGAATTCCTTCTCTGCTTGACCCCTAACATGTTAAAAGACACAACACCAACAACAAATCTTACGGATCACAGAGATTAAAATCCAAAAGCATACTCTATTATTAGCAAATGACGTTACCCATCAAAAGCCACATGTGACCACCCATCACATATGACATATTCTATAGTCTATACATAGAGATAGAATTCAATTAATAAATACAAGTTTCAGGACCACACTCATACGCATATCAGTTTACTACGACAAGGACACTCGTTAATTCTAAAAGGATCAATTGCAGAATCAAAGACAAACTTCAATAAAGAGCAAACTGATAATGGTCTAGAAAACTAGTAAAAGAACAAACTTCAGAATGAAACCAATACAGAACAGAGCTACACAACAAGTCTTTAGAATGAAATTCAAAACATTTCGAGTTACCTATTGTTAAGCAAGTTCTTGACGGCGACTTTAGTTCCATCAGTTAAAACCCCACGATACACAATCCCGTAGCCTCCTTCTCCGATTACATTCTCTTCGCAAAGACCGTTCGTCGCCGCCTCCAGCTCTCTCAGAGTATACCACCGTCCCCATCCCAGATGCGATACCTCCGGCCCAACGACGTTTCCGCTTCCCGAAAACGATGCCGTTTCGCTGGCACTCGCTGTCCCTCTACTCTCCCCACTCGACACCCGATCTGAAAACACCACTCGATGCTCGATCTTCCCGATATCCACCTGGATCTCCGCCGGAGCAGCCTGCGTCGAGTAGTGGTGGTCATTCGCCGGAACGATCTCCTTTATCTCCTTGGAAATCGGCGGTGTTGCGACGGCGGCGGAAGCGAAATCGGCTCTCGGCTTTCGGTTTTTGCGGCGAGAGGTTAGACAGAGGGAGAGGAGGAAGAGCGCGATGACAATTAGAGATCCGAGTAAGATTCCGATTACGACCCATAGCCGGAGGCCGAAGATCGAAGTCGGTTTCGATAGCTCAGTATTGAGGAAAGCAGCATCGTACACAGACATCTTACTTTACTTTCACTCCCTTTCCTTAGACTCCGTTGATTGGTTTCTTCGCATTTCTCGCCGGAAAACACACAAACTTCCCGAAACTCCGGCTAGGATCTATGGTTGTCACTCACCGCATCGAGTGTTGGAATCGGGAAAACAAGGAGAAATCGACGAAAAACAGATAGGAATAAAAGATTAATTAAATAGTAGAAGTGAGGGAATTTAAAGAAGGCTTCTCTCCGAGTGATCTGTGTGTCTGTGTGGATGTATTGAATGAGCTGTCTTTTTGAGTTTCTGTCTCCGTGTAATTGCATGTGTGGTCTGTGACGGTGAGATTGTTAGAGCGAAATGGCGATTTTGCCCTCATCGGGAAAGTGCAAGACAAGTGGATAGATTCTCTGATGGGTTTAGTTCCGAGGAGTTTTCGGGTAATAAATCAGTGTTGACTTGATGCGACGGACGGAGAGATAGATAGCCGTTAGGGTGTTATGGTAAGGTACGGTCTAGTGCAGTGTACAATCTGTGGATTTACACATTTTACAGCTAAAACTGGAACTTTAACAAACGTTTGATTTGAAATTTTAGTATTAGAATTTGTTGTGTTTTTAGTTAAAGAGTAAACCTATTGAAATTACTTTACAAGAAAGTAATCACTTGATGTTTAAAAGAAGAGAGAAAGCAATCAATTTTGTCATTGCAACATGATGGCACTAAAATTGTTTGGTTGCTTCTGCTACACATTATCATTGATTCGACATAAACATTTTCGATTGTTTTAAACTTTTATGTTTTAAATTGTTTCATTTTTATTGATAGACCCAAAGTCGTATCTTTGATGGAATCGTAATTTGGTAAATCACAAAATCCTATCCTTGACACACTGTCTGACACACTGTAATCGTAATAAGTTTTGAGTTTTCTATACAGATTTAGCATTTCTGCAGTCAAAAGTGTGTTAAGTCAAGATATTTATTAAGTCGAAGATTGGTTTGCTCTTAAAAACTTGTGCAGTTAATGAGAAAATAATTTTTAGTGTGGCCTCGAATATTTTAGGTTTCCTCCTAAAAGGGGTTTAGGTGGGGCTCAAAGAAAAAAACCAATTATTGCTTTATCATATTCATAGTTTCATTTCATACCAACCAAGTAATGTAAGAGATTACAGTAAGTCAACATTTCAACAAGTCAATGACCGCTTACCTTTTCTTTTTGACAAGTAAATTAAAAGTGTATCATATGTACATCAGACCCGTTTCTAAGGGTAACTCAGACGAGTGTGGACTCTAGGCTTATCTTCAATTTCACAAAAAGACATGAAAATGGGCCCTTTGAGAAATAACATTTCCTAACTAAAACAACAACCCTGATTAAAATGGCCCCGATGTACAGATTACTATGGGTAATTGATAATTTGATCATCTTATAGAGGATAGAGGATATAGATTCTGACTACATATGATAAGAACATTTCTAATGCAATACCCGGAACTCATTCCAATACATAGATCGCTTTCTAAATGTTATACCAAATCTCAAGACAAATTAATAGGATTACTCTAAATTAATCAAATGAGTTATGTGAGGCTACTTCATATCAATTGGTGGATTATATAAGTTAACTATTTGTTTTCGATTATAAATTTATTAAATCCATTTTAATATTATGAGAACAACTTGAAAAATTATTTTATAGAAATCAAAATAACAGTGAGCTGTAAATTGAGGTTATAAAACATTGCTAGCTAGTACTTTTATGGAGGATACAGCAAGCACTGCAACAACTTAAAGTCTTAAACCATGCAACACTCTGTCAAAAAAATTCTTTTTTGGGTTACCTGTATTTCACAAATGGTAACTTTTTTGGGTTACTTGTATTTCACGAATGGTAATAAATTTTCTGTTTCCAAAAAATAATTATAAGATGACAAGTTGTAATTACAGCATTACAAAAGATATGGTAATATCTTATTTAATAATAGTAATTATAGGCCTTAGATAGAAAAAAAAATGTATTTAGATTGGTAATTTATACCTGTAATAGGATTAAGTATTTCCTTTTTAAAAATCAAATATTTTAATTCTTATTATATGATAAATAAATCTATAAATACAAGTAAATATTCTATCTAATATTATTAATTTATTTGTTTATCTTCAAAGTACTTTTAAAATGGAGAGAACGACTAATGGTCGTAGAAAAATTAAAATGGTGAAAATGAAGAACGAAAGAAATCTTCTTGTTACTTTTTCAAAAATAAAATCTTGTCTTTTCAAAAGAGCTAGTGAACTTTACACATTGTGCGATGCAGAAATTGCGTTAATCGTAATTTCTCCAGGTGGAAAAGCTTTTTCTTTCGGTCACCCAGATGTTAATGTTTTACTCGAGCGTTTCTTCAGACGTTCTCAGATCTTTAACCTTCAAGACATCCGCGGCACTGAATCTGTTGAAAGCAACAACAATTCTCATCTCCAAGATCTAAATCAGATTCTTACTGAGGTAAATTTTCAGCTTCTTTTCTCTACCAACCACCATTAATTATTTTATTTTGTTTTATAAAATAAAAATATATAAATAGTTTACAATTTATTCCCAATTGAAAAAAATGGTAAAACTCATTTGCAAGATTTCAAACATAATAACTTTTTTTTTAACATAAGATAATGATTTGCTATTTTAAAATAATAATTTAATGCATAATAATAATTTGATCTATTTTTAATCGTAGTTGCTAGTTGAAAAAGAAAAAGAAAGTGAAACGAAGAAGAAGATGAAGCGTATCAGAAATGAAAGATCAAACAAAGGCTACGAGAGTTTATTCGAGAAATCCCCAGAAGAGCTCAACTTAGCTCAAGCAATTCAGGCAAAACATGCTGGTGAAGAGTTAAAGAAGAAAATTGATCATCTACACTATCAACATATCCATCAAACAATCACCCCTCGTGGAAATTACCATGTCGGAAGTTCTAGCAATGTTGCTCCGGGTGCTGGCCCTCATGGTGGTAATATCTACCCCAACCACAACTTGTTTGATCAAAACAGAATGATGGGTACAAATCCAAACATGATTGCTCCTAATCATACGCTGCCATTTGGATATAATCATAATGACAACAATGTTTCTGAAAGGTTTGTTTCAGATGGTGCTATGAATCGTACACCGTGGTACAACCATAGCCAGATCCAAAACCAGGGGTTTGAGCAAGGCCATCCTCATCTCGGGCCTCGTTACCATTAGTTCATGTTTTCTTCTTCCGTCGTATGATTTTTCAGTTTTCATTCGTTGTGTCTTTTCCGCTTTTCTTTTAGTTGTTTTTGTTGGTGTTGTATGGCTTTTTAAGTCTACAAGCGTTTGTTATGAAGTTTTTCTATCAATTTTAAGATGTTGGTCTTATCTTTATGCTGTATGAGAAACTATTTTTTCAGAAAATTTAAGTTTATCGGATTTATATTTAGCATTTCGTATTGTAGTAAATAACTATCACCTTCCACTATTTTAGTCATAATCCAAACATGTCTCATGTCTGACAGACAAATACATGGATTTATTATTCTCATTTCTCCATCTCCACTCTTCAATCAATTCAATTTACTTAAGCTACGTAACAACAATCATTTCTTTCAAGAAACATGTTCTTGTATGGTGCTCGTATATAATACAAAATACTTGGCGTGTTACACATGAAAGCCTTACAAAACGTATAAAAACTAAAGTACAAAACAAACGCTAACTATCTATCTATCTCCTAAGCTCAAAACGGTTCCAAACCGAGTCTCGACTTGTATGTATAACCTGATTTGATCAAATCAGGGCCAAGGAGAGCTCGACTCGTAACTCCAAAAAGCTTATGCAGAGAATGAGTAAAGAGTTTTCTTTGGTTTTCTCTCTCATTTGTCATTGTATGATGATGATATTAACTTGCGCTGCACAAAACAGAGCAGTCATACCGTAAGCTCATCAGGAAATCAAATATGTTATGAAGCGATGAGTAATAAACACTTACTTGTTCTTCAAACTCGGGACTTGTCAGGTTCATAGACAAGTTTTTCATCAGTAAGAGGACCTGATGACCAAAAAGAACATCGTTATCAGATTCGAGATACATTCCTGAGGAGTAGATGATAGAGCGGTTTCGACATACCGTTTCTAGATTTATTGGATCCATTTGCTTTAATCTCTGGACATGACCTGTTGTTTCTGGATCAAACACACTTCCTATAAAGCTATAAACTTCAGCGAAATCCGGCATCACTGTATCGCAAAACCAACACACAGAACAAAGAGAGCATAATCAGTGTGCATCTCAAAGACTGAATCTCGTTTTTGGTCTGCAGAGAGTTGGAAACTTTTACCTCTGTGTGGCTTCTCGCAACTTCCCTGCTCAGTTGTCTCTGTAACGGTTCGAGTCCTCTGCTTATCTCTACTGCTACTAGTGCTGCAACAGTTCTCTCCGACGCCCAATTCCTCTACAATCACAATTTCATTTTATTAAACAACTCAAACAAACAAACAAAAGCATATAACACAGCAAATTTAAGCACATATTTATTACCTTTGATTACTGGATTTGGTGTAATAACATTGTGGAGCATTAACCCATGATTTGGAGTATTAATCATCGGTTGTGAATCCGTGCTGTACAGGTACTCGTGTTCAACCAATGCGTTTGGAGATGTAAGAGCAGCTGCAGCAAAAACAAAAACACAAATCATAAGAAAATCAGAAGATACGATTTGAAGAAACAGAACATAACAAACGCTGAATGTATAAGGATAACAAAAGACTCACCAGTTTTAGAAGCCTTTTGAGGATAAGGATGATTTGCTTTCCTCTTTGGTCGAGGAGGAGGGAGATGTTCCTTAGTCCCATTCTTCTGAACCTTGAGAAAGTATTTCTGTGCGTGGCTTCGTATCTACCAAAACCATTAATTTTATTCAAACACTCAGCATAATACCCCAACGAGAGAGATACAGTTTTAGCTTATTACAAAACAGAGCTCATAAATGTATATGCTCTGTTCTGTCACAATCAGACAATCTGATCCTCATATCAAAAGTTTTTTTGTTCATTTCTTCTTAAAAGCAACGACTTCTACATGACTTTTGGAAATCTAAAATACAAGTAATACGTAATTTCAAACAGGTCATGATAAAATGGAATGTATATCTTTAAGAAAGACAGATTCTTCAATTACCTGTATCACTGTTTTTGATCCAACAAACGCCTCGATTTTCTTCCAATCCCGGTCAAATCTGTAATCAGTAGACATGACTTCACCACAAAAGAATATCGAAAATAATTGGTCAGAGATAGTTAAAAGAGAGCAGAGAGAGAGGAGTCAAATCTGTTGCATACAAATGGAGAGCTTCAAGAAACTTGTCGTGTTCCTGCTCCGTCCAGTTCTCTCTGGACTTGGTGATCGTGTAAGGCTTCCTAATCTTCTTCGATGGATCCTCATAAAACGACATCGTATTGCTCCGTACGGAAACCGGCATCGTCGTCGCCGGCGCAGCCGTGTGGGGAAGATTATTGAAACCCGGTATATTCATATTCATGAGCTCGGCCAGGGTTTACATACACCATACAAGTATACAACTCGTCGGCTTCAAGTTTGGATACCTCTCAGTCTCAGGTCCTTCCTTTGAGTGAGAGAGAGAGAGAGAGAGAGAGAGAGAGAGACTTGTGTGACTTTGTGACGTTGTGAGGAGGAATGTGGTATATGGGGGAGAAAGAAGAGAAGAAGGGTAGAAGCGTAATTTGAGAGAGAAATGGGATTTAGGCCGAACACGTGTAAGGAGCCGGTTGCTCTGGTTCAGAGCGTGGGACTATGAACTACAAGACATGTGGATCTTCTACTACTTAACACTGACGCCATTTAAAAAAGGAAAAAGCAAAGCCTAACGTCACGTATCGACGGTACAGAAACTGCCACGTGGATGGCGATCGCAATCAGGCAAACTGTACTTACGATTTGGCATGTGCTGGTTCGAACCTCGAATACAATTTATAGAGCGTCTCTTTCCCCATTTCAATAATTTGGAATTTGGAACACAGATTATTGACGTATGTAAACTTTTTTTTTTTTTTGTAGTTTAAGTCAAATCTTAATTCAGTAAAGATGTTTTATGGAACACATATATATTCGTATATACAATACACATACAACATCTACTTCAAAATACTAACACACATCATACTTTTAAAGTTCATCTTATCACGACCAGACCCAAAAACAAACAACAAGCAGAGAGAGCAACTCAACACAGCAAACCACACACACACAAAAAAAGGTTAGAAACAATAAGAGTTATAGATTAAAGAAAAAAAAACTTGGTTGATACAAATTAGACAACACGGTACCGTTCAGAAACACAAAAAATGGTTGGCATGTGTGAAACCTAAGGATGTAAACCAAAAAGAGAAAAGAAACTCACAAACGGAGAGACTCTGTTTCTTTTCTTTTTTTGTTTGGTTTAATCGATCCAACGTGTAATACCATCGTCTCCTACCATCGCCAATATCTCCACCCGTACCTCCAAAACCGCCTGCAACATTGTTTTCACATTTACACATACACCAAAACTGGACATGCACCTAACAATTACTGTTTTCATTTCTGAGACTCACCGAGGAGTTTCTGCAGTTCACAAGCCGGCATTCGTCCAAAGAACCTTCTAGGCTCCAACTCTCCCACACGTCAAAACTATGGCTAGCAAACACAAACTCCATTCTTCTATTGATCTGCATAAACTCACACAACCATATTTTAGTTTCCTGAAAATTTGGTGTTAATCAGTTGAAGTAACTGTGTGATCTTAAGAGGTACCTGCAGTAACTTCCCACCGGCAGCAAATGATCTCAGACCAACAGTGTCCTGTACAACAAGTTCGTACACCAAAACCAATTAGCCACTCAATAGTATGGGAAATATATGTTCATCAAGATTCTCCACTGATAGTAGCCGGAGTCAGGCATTGCAAGCAAGGTAAATGAGAAAGGAAGAGAGAGAGAGCAAAAAAGGTTTACCTTGTTTCTGTATGCGATGATGAATTGTGCAGCCGGATCCCGTTTGGATACATTGGACAAAGTATCCAGGAACCAGCCACCGTTTTTCGTTCTTTGCCTTGAGACATGGAGACCGGAGAGGTCTTTTGCGTACAAGGCTATTACAAATCCATCTTTCAGCAGTTCACTCGACTTTCCGATGAACTTCTTGCTTGACATTACAAGCTGATTCTTGGGGGACTGTTGCATTACTTCAAGTGGTGTTTTCCTGCTTCTTGGATCCTCAGGGGAAGCACATCTAGAACTCGAACTTAATACTTCCTCCGTGTCACTCATAGCAGTATCATCTCTTCGCGACGTACTTTCTTCATGTAATCCCGAGGAGCCCTCAGCTTTTTGCATGTATTTTTGCTGTGAATGCCTCTTTTTGGCTTTCTTACCAGATCTGCTGCGTCTTACTTCAGTTTTCACGGCAGTGTCTGAAGTAAGAAGAGAAACGTGTTGCTGACCAGGGCTCAGTGATTCCTTAAACTCACTAGGAACGATTTCAGTGCTGGTGAGAGTACTTTCTCCCTGGTGCCTAGTGGTGGATTCCACTAGTGCTAATCTCTCGTGTTTGATAGGTGTTTGCTCTTCTTCTTCTTCGCTTGCATCACTTTCCTCAGCTTCCTCGTCAGAAACAGTGTTGTTTGGTATAACACCATCCAAGAAAAAGGAATGCAAGATGGAGATGGCCTTCTCCCTTATCTCCATCCATACTTCCTCACTGTAATCTGCACTGCGAGGTAGGATTAACACATTCGGCATTTCCTTCACCTGCAATTATAACAAGATATCATCAATTGCCAGATAAACCACAGAAAGAGAGAAGATGATGTAACAAGAGAAATAGAAAAGTCATACCCATGCTTCCATCCATTGTGGACCTTCAACACCGTCAAGGGCGCAGCCAGCTATGGTGCCATCAATCAGAAGTTGTTTCACAGCACAATCGTCCAGCAGCTGACAGCTTCCAGTATTTACAAGAAAAGCCCCTAAGATACGAAATCAACTTATTAACCAGAACTTAAGGGAATGAGAGAAAGCGGAAAGCAAAACCTCATTTGACTGAGCATACCAGGTTTTATATGCTGCAAACACTCTGCATTGAGTATCTGAACCGTGTCATTTGTTAACGCACAGTGAAGCGAAATGACATCACTTGCCGCTAGCAAATCATTCAATGTATCCATTCTTCGGGCCGCGCGTGGAAATCTGGAGGGCCTGATTCGTTCTTCATCTCCCTAAACAGAAGCAAAACATCAAACTTCAAATGTACAGAATCATTATATGCAGTAATGTAGGAGCTAAACCGTTCAACAATCATTTTTCGGTGCCTTGAGAGTCTGCTTATTCTAAGCTAAAGAAAGACATTCACAAGAGATACATACCTCGGGAACATCAAAGTAGAGCACACTCATCTTGAAAGCTAAGCTCCTGCTTGCCAAATACCGAGCGGATACAGATCTGCCGATGATACCCAAAACCATACCACGGCACCGTCTCATTCCCCGGCAAAGCGGCTGAAGCGATCCGAGCCATCCGGAAGCCGAAAGCGCGTGGCGCGAGAGTAAATGAGTCCGCCGGAGGAGTCCAAGGATGAGCGCCATGACAGTATCCGCGATTTCCTCGGCCCGGGAAGTATCGACATGGACAAGTCGGAGACCTAGGTCGGCGGCGAGAGTCGAATCGACAGCTCGATCAGCAGAGCCAAGGCATAGGATGAGCTGGTGAGGACGGAGTCGGCGTTGAGCTGCACGTGGAAGATACGCGAGGGAGTGGAGGAGAACCGCGGTGGCGGACTCGATCTTACCATCGGCGATGCGACTGAGCGGGACGTATTCGACACCAGCAACGCCGGCGAGTGAGTCCTGCTCGAGCGCACAATCCTCGACACAGTTGAGTGTGACTACGAGAGGCGATGCCGGGGACGGCTGGTTACGTTGGGGCATTGTCGCAGACGAACGGATCTTGCTCATCTGCTTCTTCTCCTTCTCGCTACTCTCGATGAGTAAGTAAACGGGAATCATGAATTTTTTGGGGACATAATGATTTAGGGTTGAATGTAGTAAATTCAGAATAGCTCAGGGGCTAATTTGCATTTAAAATACATTCTTTTTATAAAGGAAGGACAATTATTTTGCGACAATCATCATCGCTGACGAAAAACTTTAATATGGTAGTAACAAAGTTTTGGAACTGAACTTTTAATACAAATCACCCAAAATCTTAATGAACAAACGTTAAAGTAACCAAGAAAATTTAGATAAAAAGAAACATTTACGAAAATAACCAAACAAAAAGAGTAAAACTCAATTAATCATTAGTTAAGGTTTCAAAGAGTAACAAAAGAATAAAATAAACCATAACAAAGTAGGTATACCAAAAACAAGAGCAAGGGTTACAGAAATAGAACAGAGGAAGAGTATGAGTAATAAATCGCCACAGATATGAGCAACACCCATGACACCGCCTTCGAAGGGACGCTCTGGGATGTTCTTGAACATGTAGACCGATGTAGCCACACCAGCGATGCTTGCTATGCAGTAATAAGCCACAAACCACTCGATCGTATGTTCTTTTCTTAAAACTAAGGGAATCTTGTTATGTCTTATAGACAAGAAGGTTGCAACATTGACGCCTATCAAGAACACGTTCACGACAATGTCGTATATTACGTATTTGTTTTGCCTGCAAAAGCAAAACCATCCACCAATTATATACGTACAGGTCTCGAATGTTATATTAATTAAGATTGTTTAGTTTCTAAATGAAAAGGCCAGTGTAAAGTAAGCTCGTTGAAAGGACTCACCACCATGGACGCCGTGTGCTTGAAGATTCATCGACGGTAGCAGGATTCATGGCTTTGTGTTCTTCGTGATGTTAAGAAATGTTCACGTTTCAACCCTAACTAGGATTCTGAAAACCTTTTCCTATTTAAATTAGAATCCACGGCGGCATCTAAGTGTTTGGTAAGATCGTATCTCAAGAAAAATATCTTCCTCTCTCAACAATTATCTTATTCAACTTTTTTTTTGGTTAAAGCTTAACGAATATTATCTAAAGCTTTTATTTATGAGGAAATCTACATATTTTAAAGGAAAAACGTTTAGTTCTTATAGATAAAGATAACACATTAACATTTTCTAACAATGTTTACTTACAATTAAAAACTTCAAAATCTGAGGATATCTAAACAATAGTTTTGATCGTGTGATTGTCAAGTAATATAGTAATATTCGAAATTACTAAACCTAATATCTAGACCACATCTCTTTATAGATATCAATTATATTCATACATTTTAAAGACAACTGGCCTCCGATCGACCTTGATCAAAACTACCTCAAATTCATAATCAAAATCGCCACTCT